TGCTCGTTGCTTGGGTGTTCAATCGGGCGAAAGCGTCTTATTCTTGTAACCAAACCTTCCGGGATGTCTGCATCGACCAACGAGACCTTGCCACCTGTTTGATGCCAAAAAAAAGATAATGGAGCCTAACCACCAGCCCTTGTTTAAAAACCTGATTTAGACTTACCATTCATAGAGTACCTGACGACATGGGAACGGTGGAGTAGTGACAGAGCATAAGTGACATCAAGCAACATATCCTGGAGTACAAGTGGCATTTTGAGGGATCCATCTGTTAATGTTTTTGTTTGGTCGTTTTTTGATCCAATTTCAGTGCAGCTAAACTCGATTGGTCCAGAAGCAAAGACAGTGTCGACACCTCATCCCATCTTACGCCTTTCAATTGGATCGATAGCTGATAGCTTTCACTTTGCATTTTTGCCATTTCCACTGCTTTCGCTTGACTTTTCGGAGCTATACATAGTAAATAGAGAGATCAGTACATTGTTTCTTGCGTCTTCACATCCTCCTTGATCATCTGGTTACTCTACCCTTTAGCAGTAATCAGCGTATCCTCAAAGATGGTGGTAAAAAAGCCAAGAAACTTGTAGAGCTGATCTGCTTCTGGAATGCTAGTGATGTCGAGTGTCTTTTTTTTTGAGAAACGGCCTTGATACGTTTTGCAGCTCTGTTGACAGCCAAACCTTGAGTGAATCATCACATAGATTTAATGGCATTCTGCAAGCATACATAAATACTTCTAACGGTGACTTCTACAAAATATTGATGGTATGTATGCGATTCTGTTTTCTCTTGTTGATATGGAGGCAACAAGCTTACCATTTCTTTCATTGAATGTCGACGCTAACTCCTCTGGCATCTTACACTCTTCCAAAGGTCTACCCTTCAAGGACACTTCTTCCAACTCATCTTTGCTAAATACACTTTGCCAATTGTCATCAGTGATGTCTAAAATTATCTTTTCTATTATATTTTTAATTTATTAATTTTGGTAGATTTATTACTTATGCTTAAATTAATAGTTAATGTTAAACTCCCCTTAATTACAAAATTAAAGTTAAATACAAAAAATTAATAAATATTAAAGTTTAAAAATTTTACTCTAATTATATCTACTTTCTAAAGTTAATTCAATATCTTTATAATTCCTATTATTGCTCAGTGATATAATAATTAATAATAAAGATAATGTAATTTCGTAAAGAAGATACATATAGTATATCTATAATGATGATTTTTTATAATTAAAAGGTAGAACAATAAAACGAAAACATAATAAGAATAAAAATAAAGTTATTGATATAAATTAAATAAGAGATATAAACAAAGATGATAATATATATATGAAATAGAGAAGATACAGTAATAAAACATACAATTGAACATAAAGAATATCAATTTTATGTAAAATGGAAAGGATATAATGATCACGATAATTTATAGATATCTTTATCTACATTTAATGAAAAAGAACTTTCAATAGATTATTTAACAGAGAAATGTAATCTTATTCAAGGTATTAATTTCTAAATGATATCTTTAAAATTATTATTAGAGAAGTTTTAAATATATATTTATTAGTATATATTTACTATTGATTGTTCCTCCTAGTAATTCGTCCCCAACATTCTTATCATATATATATCCTTCTTCTTAATACACAACCTTTCCATTATATTGAATAGTGCTTTACCAACATAGTCAGCAATGATCATTTCCCTAGCTGACATTAGTTAAAGTATTAATGATACTGGAAGCAGCAACACTATTATATAAAAATAAGTAGTTAAGATTCACAAATATGTATTAATATAAGAAAAAGGATTGATCTGGAGGAAAGATTGCATACTATATATAGAAATGGAGATATCTCTCCTTTTTTTGAAAAAAAAATTATTTATCAATAAAATACAAAATTAATCTTTTTTTTAATCAAATATATTAATTTAACATTTAAAAAAAAAGATTAAAAATTTGATTATAAAATAAAAAGTAATGCTATAAATGTTTTTGAAATCTTCTTGTGGTAAACTAAGATCCGGTACAGACAGATGTCTTGATAGAAGGTTTCTCTTTACCACACTGGGATCTAATAAGGGACACGGTTGCGCATATGCACCTAGCTGGATCGAAATGTGGATCCTTCATATAACTCAGTAAAGAAACCAAGTATGAAACAACCATTCAAGAACACATCTCAAACCATCATAAAAGTTTTTTATTCGTTCTTACAGCAAAGCACCAGTAAGGTCCTTGCTGACAAAGAAGTTGATAAGCTTTCCACCTTTAGATCTGTTTCTCCGTTAAGACTGAGTTCTCTAATAATGTTTGAAAGTTAGATATAAAAGAAGATAGTTTCTATAGCTGATATTGCACTTTATTCAATCTTTTTGAATATAATCCATTCTCAAACGACTTATTTGTCTTTGTTTATTTCGATTTACCATACTTCTCTAGTATCTAATATTTATAACTTTATGATTTTGATTATAATCTCTAAAAATCCATATAAAAAAGATAATGGACAATATTTTTTAGTTCTTAATTTTTTCATTAAGTCACTTTTATCTTAAAAATATCATATATTATTAGTAATAATTCAAATATTAGCATCAGTAAATATATTAAATATAGAAATTAATTTCAGACATTTAATATGTTTAAATCAATTTTTATATAAGTTATAGATACAAAATATTAATTTTTACATTCTATTTATTCTATTATTGATATATACATTTATATTTTCATAATTAATAATTTTATTTCCCTTAAAAAGAACCTTTTGATCTGTTTTTTATCTTTATAATCTTATAAATATCTGTATCTAATATATCTGAAGTATCGATTGTCAGATATTAAATTATATAACTTATCCTTCTCTTTAAAAAAGATACATACTGTAAATATTCTTCTTTAAAGTTATTGAGTTTATCTTTAGAAATATATGTAAGAGAATATTTAGATCTTTATGAAAACCATTAATGGTGGCATCAGAAGTGAAGGAAAGGAACGCTGTGGACTGTTGCCCTAGAATCGATATTAGTCAATTTATAATTCCTAACGAGATCTGGTAAAATTAAATAGTCTTACTTTTTGATTAAGATATTTGATTATAGGATAGAGTACATTGGTAGTAGCTTGACCTGCTGATGGCTTTATTGTTTTGATATTAGAATTATGTTTTGTTCAGACCTAAATGACTCTATTGGGTTGATTGTTACCTGCTGTGTATCTGTAACTATTCTTTCACCAGTAGTATTGCTATTTGCAAGATTTTTCTTTAGAATAAAACAAATCAATAAAATATTTAAGTAAAATATGAATAAGTACTAGTACATTAAAAATGATAGTATACTTTTTTGTTTGCCAAGGCAATCCAATCAACCGCCGCATCGTCTGTTTTAGTATCAGAACGTGTAGATATTCAGCACTTGAAGAAATAAAGTCCAGCTAAATAATTGAGTGTGTATCGTGCAAAACCAAGGCAAGATCGCCCATTGCCTCATGGTAGTTGATCAATGTGCCGTCATGTCGATCAGAGGCTTATTATGTTCATCTACGGCTTGCTGCTAATGCTTTGGCGGTGTCGACGTATTCCCTACGATCAAACGCGCCAGTGTTGCTCTGCTCTGAATAATCGTTTGGCAGTGAACAGTAGCAACGTTTTTGTATTATGGGTTGCTGTTGTTATTGCTGATAATGGTGCAACTGACGGTTAGATTGAGATTTTTGTTTGATGCTGTTGAGAAAATCAAGGGGGTGAATAAAGAAATAAACAGCAAAAGTTACTTCTATTTTTGCAAAAGGAGATTGTTTCGCACAGAGTGATGTCTCCAACAATAGAGTTCGCCCACCAAAAAAAAAATCCTGCGCACAAAAAGTTTCTTCTTTCTAACATATTCTCATATGTCATTTCACTTATTTACAGATTCATATCTTATATCAATAAATTACCAATAAAAACAATGGTATTATTGCTCATACTTCAGCAAAAAATAAAAAATATATATTTCATCCAAACAAGAACATTTTAGTATGAAAATAGTGAGATGAGGAACGCTGTGTCTACTTATTTTGTGCATGAAGTAACTTGTATTTGACCAAAATAAAAACCTTTCGATGGTAGATCAACACCCAAGTTATATCTGCTAGGCGCAAACCCACCAGGCAAAAGAATGGCAGACAAATATATTCGTAAATCCTGACTTCTTGTTGAGTGAAGTTATCCCATTACACAAATGTTCAATGCGTCCTTTTCAACAAGATTATTATGGTTCACCATGGGTATCCACCTATTCTCCATTGTCCACTAGAACGTTGGATCATCAATACCTCCTAATGGATGAATAAGAGCAATTATTAGCAGCTTCACCGGTGGAAACCATAATAATCGTACAAAGTATGCATTACCTAGACAGTAGCATCAGCTACATATATACTTATACAACATCCTAGTGCGCGAATAACAGAGGACGATCTGGAGCCAAAGCAAGCAAATCGTTGGGCCGCTACTCTTAGAACTTAAGCGAGGGCTGATGGGGGCCAATAAAGGGGTGCCATCAGGGTGTCGCAAAAGCTGCAGCTAGAAAGTGTACTGTTGTCCATTACCAGAAAAACGGACAAAGTCGATCCACCTATACAAAAAGATGGAAACAATATTAGTTAACCACGGGCCCATAATTTATAATAGTAATACTAATAACTGAAAGGTATGCATTACCTGGTACCAATATGCGCTTATGGTTTAAAATGTTATGAAAAAGATAATGATCTTGGTCGGGTAATGATATAATAAGTTATTGTTAATTTAATATAAAAATAGACATCAAGTGAGAATTCATGTTGATGGAAAGTTAAAGTCAGTGCATGTTGTGAATCCAAACACCATGATCACAATGTCATCGTTAAATTACCGTAGTTATAATATCATGGTTTTTACCGTATCATGGTTACAATATCATAATAACTAGCACATTAACTTGCAAAGTCATAATAAGCAGTGAACTAATTTTGTCGTGTAGAAAGAAAATATGTTACATAATACAAGCATAAATATGAATATACCTTATTGATAAATCGAGTACAAATTATAACAATGTGTGGACAGTGGTCCATTTTTATAACGAAGGCACAGTTAGCGTGGGTGGGGCCATGGCAGCCAATAGGATAGAAGAATAGTAACAACGAATTAGAACGCTGGATAGTAAAATAACGCCGAGCTTCCGAAGCCGTGGCCAATGAGAAAAGGAAATAGTAACTGGCCGTGTTGGTGTAATGGTGCTGCATGAAACGCACAAGGACCATGCACGACGCGTTTCGTTGATAAAGTCCCTTCTTTTATTTTATTTTTTTTCTTTTGCATTCCAACGAATGGGGAATCGTGGCCGCCCAAAAAACCAGAAAAACAAGTAAGGCCATTAGGCTGGTCGTCCAAGAACAAAAGAATTTGGTACACAGCTGGCACTGCAATTCCAACCAACATCGAGGAACACTTCAACAGCACCAGCACCACTTATCACACCTGCACCTACATCAACTGATTCTTCCACCAATCAAGTCAATAGCAATGCATAAATTGGGGAACCAGGTGTACCACTTTCCGATTTGCTTGTAGATATTGAGCCTCGGCCAACCACTACAAACACGGATGATGACTTGTATGATGACAACGATTTGGATCACACATTGGACCAGCAAGAAAGTGACATTACTGAAGATGATGGTGAAGAACCTGTCAAAGTGCAAGGCCATGTGCAAGCATACCTATTGGATATGCAGAAGCAAGTGGTGGATGATGTGAGGCAATACGGTGAACCACGTCAATACAAGAACAAGTCTTTTTGGATATATCCGCCTGATGCCTTCTTTCTATTGCGTGAAAAGCTTGACCCAAAGATGCTGTACTTGCCACGTATCTTCATTTGGATCCCACATATATTGGTGAAGCACTTTCAAGTGACTCTTATGTGTGTCTCATGCAATGGAGAATTGAAATCTGAAGGATACAACAACATTGGTCGAAGAGTAGTGGATCTTGATAGGTATGTGTTATATGGCATTTGTACCACTACTTGCGATTAACACATGGTATCGTATTTAGCTCGTTATACATCATTGGCACACGCTATCAATGCAAGAAGTGTCCTCCTGAACTCAACTCGCATGATCCAAGGCTTATTCGTCAGCTGCCTTTCTTTTTGCAATGTGAATATCCTGGTTACACTACACGGCGTTTGGCGTTATCGAAGACAGTGGGAGACTTGATGAGACCATGCACGCAAAACTCTGTTGGCCCCAAGCGTTTTCAAAAGATACTACGTAAATTACATATGCTACGCCATGATCGACTTAGAATTGCAGTACCTCAACATTGCCATGTATCGAAAGCAGCAGCAGCCATCTATCACCCAGTCCCTTTCCTTATCCCATGATATCTTGCCGTTCTCTCCATATCACGATCAAGATGGCTATGCTGGTCATATTCCTTGTGCATTGTATTTTCGTTCCTTTTATGCATCATATATCGAGAGTATGCGGCACCTGATGGATTAGCAGATGATGCTACTGGATGGCAAATATCTTAAGGCTGACCACTCATTCAAGATCGTCAAGCTTTTGGGAAAAGTCAACAGCTCAGTAGTATTCACTGCAATGTACACGCTATGCAACGAGTATGAGGAAGTGAGAATGCGACACCTTGTTCCGTCCGAAGCCTTGTCCCACCTGAAGCATGCATCGGATACTATGCGATCAGCCTATGACCTTTATGCCCATGACCAACCAGAGATATTCTTTACTGACAACGTTGGTGGTGACAAAAGTTTCTTGAAGACGTTTTGCCATCGTTGACAATAGATGTTGTGCCTGTCAATATGCCGGAACCTGTGGATATCTCTCCCATTGATCATCTACCACCGCTCCCCATAGCCGACAACACCGTTGTACGATGCTTGAAAGATCCTGAAGCTACTGAAGAAAGTGCTAGTGGATTACTGTCGAGAGCAAAAACTGTGACTGAGAATGGGAGTCGTGGTATCAGCATCAGTTTCTATTGTGAATGGCCAGTTGATCGATATGAGGATGGCGAGTCTATAGGCAGCATAAGATCGCTATCATTCAAGTTGCATACACCAGACATATTGATCTTTATTGCGTCTCTCATCTTGCACATTAATCACCATCGTTGGTCACTTTGCTCTCTAATGAAATTGTATCCAAGATTGGCCGTCAAGTGGGTGGTGATATACGCAAAATCAAGCGTGATTTCGACTTGCATGGATTGGAGCCCGATCGTTCTGGATGTCTAGAATTGGGAAGATTTTGCAAAGAATGTGGAATCATCCAAAGTGGGAAAACTGGACTGGCGAATATATGTGCATTGGTTTTGGGCAAGAAGCTACCAAAGGAAGAGGATGTACGACTTGGTGACTGGGCTGCTGAAAGCTTGAAAAGTGAACATGTACAATATGCTGCATTGGATGCATTTGCAGAGCTTGAGATTTACAAGAGGAAAAGAGAGTATGGCCCTTTTGAAAAAAGGATTTCTGATTAAACAGAAGGTACGATCGACATATTCTTACATTGTTATACTTTTGAGCTCATTGATAATATGTACTCTGTTTAAAAGTATGTGATAAGCAAACGAAATGAAATGATCCGGTAAATGCTTCTCATACTAAATGAGACGTAGCGTATCGAAAACAGTGTTGTTTGTAGGATTACCAACCCTACCTACGAACTTCTAGAAAAGCATATTGTTGCTTTTAGAAGGAAATGTATGAAAGCAGCTACTGTGGTATCTTTTGGTATGTGTTGTGAATTGACAGCAATTGAAGGAGATAATTACTGTGTTTATACTTTTAAACGAGCATAGTGCATCTTAGACCGCTAAATGAATTTTTGATTTTATCTCAATATGCGCATGAATAGGCCAAGCTGCCTTTTTACATGTTTCCAGCGACGATGCATATTCAAATGTGGGGATAATACATATTGTGGCGCCTACGGTGACATCTTTACCTTGCTGAAAATTTTAATCCCACGATTTGGTTTTAAAGGGAGTTTTGTCAAGCAAGACAAACCAGAAGAATTCCGGAAAAAGATCGATTACAGAACAAAAGCAATCCATTTGATGTCACCAAGGATATGAATTGCGTATCTATCGGTATGGAGTAAGTCTACTTTCTCTAGGTTTCCCGGGCAAAGAGCTTCGTGGTATCGCCGTTAACAATCCACATATTAACCACACTTCCTGTTCGACTTATAAACATATCAATGGTATCAATGGAACTTTGGCCAGACATTGAAGATTGCTGCTGTAGATGATACATAGCACATTGAGAGTGTAAACATATAATCTTTTAAGCAACAAGGAGTACATTACACCTGATTCATTGCTATTTGGATGGTCCTATCATACCGTTCGTTTCAATAAATTCTGATAAATTCAAGTTATCATTGACTTTCAATGTCGCATATTGTATCAAAGCATAGTTTATTGCTTATCAAGTACGGATGTCCAGGGTGGTTCGAAGAAGATGTTAAACAAAGGGTATATAATGGCAAATATCTACACAAAAGATTCTATAATCCGGATTTCTTGACCTTTTTGACCTTTCTTCCACCCTTTTTCTGGAAATCTCGCCAGCTGTTTACCCGCTGGTCTCGCGTTGCTTCCCATTGCTTTTGTTCGTCACGTTGTCGCTTTCGGCTATTTGCCTCCTCTTCAGCTTTACGTGCCTCCTTACCTGTATACCAATATTATTTGTAAGCACATACACGTACAATCAATCATTCGTGATAAAGTGGCTTGACTCTACCTTCTGCCTCCATCTCCTTCTTCAATTGTCGTCGTCGACGTAGTTCCATTTCGATCAGGATTTCCTTCACCTTGGCTCTGACTGCCTGCTGTCCATTCTGCGTCTTTAAGAACGGGTATTGTTGTGAATCCACGCTTGTGGCCGATTCAATCACTGTCTTTTTTCTTGTGGATGTTGACCCTGCTACTGCTGATCCATCTTTATCTGCTCCTTCTTCTTGATCTTCTTCTTTACCGTCATCATTCTGCTGTTGTTGTTGCTTGGGATCGGTTGTCGAAGCAACGACCTGAGTCTTGACTTTATAACCATTGTCACGCAACGCTTCCACTTTGGCTTCCTCAATTACCGAAAGCAAAAACTTGACTTTGGTGTCATCGTTGAGCTCTGATTCTGCCTTTTTCAACATTGAGAACGCTTCTTCAGCACGATCGTGCTTGACTTTGTCTGGGTGGATCATTAAACTCTTTTTCCGGTACTGCATCTTGATTTGTTTCGCTTCGAGTTTGCCGTATGGTAGTTCGAGAATCGAGAACGGATCCAGTTTGAAGCATTGTAAAACGCGTTCGATCTCGAGTTGTTTCTCTGATTGTGAAAAGTAGCGTTCAAGGTCTTGATCGGCCATAGTTTCAACAGGGCGTTGTTTTGGATTGTTTATGAGAGAGAGAGAGAATAGAAAGGCGTGTGCAGTGTGTGCGAGCAGTTTAAATTAGGAGAGAGTCGGCTTTTCAAGCTTTGATAGTGTTTTTTAATCCCTCTCTCCACCTCCCACCCCACTTTGCATTCATGCGCATTGCTTTAGAAACCGTCGATCCGTTGCCACGGTATAAATGCTGGTTTTTGTTTGAGGAAAACGACGACAGTACGGTCGGCGATCTTCAAAAGGCGCTGAATCGAGAGTTTGAACTTGCAAAAAAAAGCTCTCACATTAAGCTTTTGGCAGGCGGATTTGAGTATTTGCCACGTTTTAAAGTGAAGAACTACATTATGGACAACGATCTCGTCATGTAAAACATTGCCACTCTTTTTCTATCGACTCACATTATTCGTTGCACTTTTTTTTGAATGAGAGATGTGCTTACAACTGTGCTCTCATATATAGCGTTGCAAGTGCAAAAGAAGAGGCAGCGCCTGTCAAAATCCAGCAAGAAGAGCGCGTCGTTGTTGCTCCGGTGGTGAAAGATAAAAAGGATAAGAAAAAGAAAAAGCAAGACAGAAAACGCGCAGAAGAAGAAAAGAAACGGATCGAGGAGGAGAACAAGAAAAAGAAACGTGTCGAAAAGAAAAATGATGAAGCAGCAACAAAGAAACGGAAGCGAGATGAAACTGTGGATAACCACGCCGGTAATGATCAAGCAGCACCTACCACATCAGAAGGAGAACCTGCACGAAAATTGACACCCACACAACGACGAAACTTACGCAAAAAAGCTATTCGTGAACGCAGAAGATTGGAGCAGCAGCAACAACAACAACAACAACAACAACAACAGCAATCTAATGAGGATAATGAGCCACCAACACAGCTCTCATCACGCAAAGAAAACCAACAACAACAACAACAATTGGGATCCAGCAATTCTACTACTACGCCGTCTACCCGGTTATTAAAGCAAAACAAGAACAAAAAGGCCAACTTTCTAAAGGAGATCGGCAAGAAGAAACAGTCGCATGTTCATTTTGACGACGATGACGAAGATATTAAAGAGAACCAGCAGGATCTAGAACAACAATTAACAGAGTATGGAGAAACGGAACCACAGTCCAACCAAGATACCCGGCAGCAAAATGCACACGGCTCTGCAATTGTCACATGGATAGAAGCCGATGACAGATATGACGGCCCAACGAGAAGCAAGGACAATTATCCTATTCACAATGTGGGTGATCACTTTTACGCCGATGCGTCGTCGTCATCATCGTCGTCGTCGTCGTCATCGTCGCCTTCTTCTACTTCTCCAGCAACAACTGCTGCGACTACAAACCGTCGATCCAATAAAAAAGCACAAAAAGAGCAAGTGGTACCAAAACCTGACTATGATAGTTTGCCAGCAGTAAGCTTTTCAGGTCCTGCTTTCCCAGCAGTTAATGATATTTTGGGCATCAAGGTAAATACTCTGGCCTTATGTTACTGCCAAATACAATACTCAGAACAGTCTGTTTCCCAATAGCTGCTCGAAATGTCAGCATCGTACACTCCCGAGATATCTGACTGGAAACAAGTCAAAGTGCTAGAGTTCGATCAAGAACAAGGCATGCTAAATGTTGAATTTCAACCCGGATTCCTGCTTAAGGAACAGCAGGGTAAATTTACCTTACGCGAGAATGATTCTGGAAATCAAGAAGACGAGGAGGACGAGGAAGAAGAAGTTGAACAGTATTTGGAAGACCAGACAATGCAGCTGACGCAAGTGGACGTGGTCGATATGCGTAGGCTGTAGAGAAGTCAACAGCAATTGCTGTTTTTTTTACACAAAATAAACGATCATGTTTTGTACGATAAAAACAATAAAATTATAATGGCACTAGTAATGAAATAATAAGAGAGGATTAAGGAGATGGAGTAGCCCCAAAACAGCAATTAAATTAGTGGAATAATAAACAATAAGGTATAGTCGTGAGTGTGCGGGTTGGAAAGATAATAAAAAAAAAGGGAAAGAAAAGACACTTGGTAGAAATGGAAGAGGAATGAAGAATGATTGATATACTATCTAAATGATAACTACGCAAACAAATGGAGAGGCAAAAACAAAAGAAAGAGTGGATTCGCTAAGAGTTCAAGCAGTAACCGCCTTGTTGGTCGCATCATATTCGATGCGCTTGTTTGGATTGACAGTGGACGACGACGATGCCGGATTCCACTGCAACCAAGAGGACAACATGGCGAGCTTGATACGGAAGGACATTGGTAAGAACGACGACGATTGCTTTTCAGCGGGCGGCTGGCGGACAGGCCACGACTGGATCGCAGAGACTTGCTGTTTGACGCCGACCACACGACTTTCGAGCATGACCTCATACAATGTCAGTTGCCAGGCACCTCCAATTTCAACCTGGATCGTCTCCTTGGCCATATCACGCATACTCTTCAGTGTCTGTTTCGGCATGGGTCGCAATACGTTGTACGCCAGATCAATCCGATCCATGGGCCGGATATCAAACGCGGCACACTGACTCTTCATCTTGTGTTCGATGCGTTTCGCCAACTGTGCGTAGGCCGGGTCGACACGGAACCGCATCGTCAAGGCCCTCGACGGTCTTTCTGTGATTTCATAGCCGCAAAAGGACGGCGGCGGTAGCTGTGTTGCTGTCGCGTCGAGTTCTTGGTTGACAACCGATATAAACTCGTCCACGGCATGCCATTTGGCCAAGAACTCTTGGCCCCGCTCAATATGCACTCGTCCCAAGACTGACACATGGGGTGAGGCATTGTGCGCTTGATTCGGTCCAAATTTTGAAAATGATTGCTCTTGGAATGTCTCCAGTGAGGTTTGGAATTCCGTGCCCTTGCACGGTTCCAAATATAAAGCGAGCGATCGTCGTGCTTCTCGTAGTCGGTGGGGAGCTGGGGTGCCCGAATCTGCAGTCAGGTGGAATGGATTGAGCTTAAATTCGGTAAAGTCGGGTACCCCGGATGAGTTGGCCGAGCATGTCGATGTAGCCGTCGTGCTCACACTACTTGCAAGCCCACTGCTGCCAGTGACAGGTGTGCTAATGGCTGAATTCAAATCTACAGCCTGTTGTTGTTGTTGGTCTTGAGTAGTAGCCATAGTCGGTCAATAGTGTGTTTGTAGTATGTTGAAAGAAAAATAAAAGAGCGAAAGATTGAAACCAAAAAAAAGAAGAAGAAGAAAGTAAAGGGAAAAAAGAGGGACTATCCACTATATAAAAGGAGAGGAGATCTGGAAGAGGAAGGGAGTTGCGGTGCGTAACAGTGAAGTAGTGGGAAGCAGCAGTGTGTGGATGATGTGCAAAAAAGCAAGAAAAATGTGTCAAACATCATGATGATTATATTTGTGTGTCACCATGTCCAATCCAAGTGACATTATTGAGCGCTGTATAACCAAACCCAGGACCCATCACACAGACGTTTTTGTACTCTCTTCATAAGACAAAATAAAAAGTAGTACACCCGTTCTCCTTGAAATCAAGGGGAAAACAGCAGCAGCCAGCAGTATAGCAGTAGTAGGTATGTTGAAGTGGTAGTTACTACTAAGTACACGCCCGCGTTGTTCTTTCTTGAAGTACAACACACACTTCGTCTCATTAACAAAGCCTTGGATAGTAGACCTCCTCTGCCCTGTTCTTTCCCTCGTGCATTGCCTTTCTTTTGCTTGCCAGATCCGACAGCGGGGTTGCTTTAACAGGCCGAGAGGGGGGAAGGTGCAAAATAAGGGAATGTGAGTGAGGATGCGCGTGTATATCATGTATGATAGCACCTAGTACTAACATAGCAGTTTAGTATCAGCAGTGCAAGTTTATCATTACTACGCATACCGTATATCACACAACTGCACAAGCCTTCTTATGCAGGCAATTGTTGTCGCTATGATACATATTCAAGTTCCACTTCCGGGCGGTGGTTGATAATGCACACAACAAGCATCGTTACGCTAGAATTAATAAATAACACTATCACGACGGTTCCGGTGTATCTTTAATCTTGCCTCGGTGTTTGTTATTCATGCCTATCAAAAATGATAAACAGCAGCATCACCACACGTGCCTTCGCGTGATCTCGTCAACAACGGAAAACGAATAGAGTAGATGGTTCCGTGTGTTGCTACTTGTAAATTGACGGTATTCACAGTGACAAAAGTCACCCAACATTCAATCAGATGATGGCGGTCTGTGTGGCACCTTCTTTTATGGGGAGGGGGAGCATAGGTGCTTCTAAGGAGAGGATGCCATGCGTGCTAATTGAAGCATGAACTGTGAGATTGGCAGATATCAATGTACGTACGTATATTACATCGATAATGTAGGGTGTTGCCAGTTCCTCTCACATTGCTGTATTGCAGCCTGACATGATATCAGATGGTTGTAGGTTTAATAATCATGATGATGGTGATGCGCCTTTGTTTGCTTCATTAAATTTCTTTTCGACATAACAACGAACGGGAAACCATATATATGAATACAAGGCTCTATTTATATCTGTTATGATACAATAACTACACTTTGAGGTAAATATGTATATAACTGCCGACTATTGTTATGCTACTGTAAGCTGCTTTCAAACTGCAAGGTGGCGTCAAAGCCCAAAAATGGGCATACGGTACGCAGCAAGCAAATAATACGAGGAAAAGAACTTGTTTCCAAACGTTTTCTTAAAAAAAAATCTTTACGAACGCCATTGTGCTACCCCAGAAAATCAGAGAGGGCGTTGTGCTTCGCGGCATATAGGCATTCATGGAGCAACAGGAAGGGGTCAAGAAAGAAATGCAAGTTGCGCATCGTTCTTTTCCGATTATCACGCTAGCAAGACTGCTGTCGCTACGGCTACTGATGGCTGTTGTCTTGAGCTCAGGGGTAAGCAGGGAAAATCGGCAATAATTAGCGATATAAGGTGGTAGTAGCGACGATGAGCAAGACATGCCAACAATGATAATAAATGCAAATCATCATCGCCAATATGTAGCAAGTCCGGCGCGGGACAACACTGCGTTTTATGGGCTACGTCTATGTACGAAAAAAGAAACTTCTATTGTTTTGTACAGCACTATGCAATAGAGTCATTGTGTCGATACATTATATAAAAGTCGTGTAGAAACAGATGCTTTACCGGCGATAGTGGAGGAATTTAATTTGTTTTCGCAAAAGGTTAAATATCCACTAAAAGTGGTCAAGCCTCTTCTCATTCAAATATGGTAATCACAAGAACGCATACAGGCCCCCGCCCCTTAACGCGTCTATCACTTTTGTTGCTAAGCAGCCAAACCCACCTGAGACGACGTTTTTTTTTTTTGACTGATCCGCTAGAATGAACATTAGACCAGCAGTGCTTAACACACGCAGCACAAACACCAATTCACAAGCAAATACAGATGTGCAGCGTAAACCTGGTATCACACAGAAGAACAATATACACAAATAACGCAACAACAAAAAAAAGAAGGTTTATGCCTTGGATTAGAAAGGGGGCGCGGTGGACGGGGAGAAAGTTTCATACAGGTTTTCCGCGGTAAAAAGCTCTTTGAACTTGCCCCTTGACAAATCTTTTCGGATATGCACCATGATCAGTGGTCCCTCTCACTCTCTCTCTTTGACTTTGCGTGCTGCTGCTTCTCTGTCGAAAAGAGAATGAATGAAGAAGGGGATGGATGTATAACAAACCTTGTATAAAAAGGCCGACCGTGTTTGTTTGTCTCTTTTCTCTTTCTACTCTACTCTATTCCTGCTGTTAACACAGGCAAAGGCTCCCTTTCTACAGTATTGCTTTCTTCCCAATACATCTCCTACATACAAAACGACAGCCATTAGCTGGGAAACAGTTATTACAAAAAGCGAAATTCATATCATCCCAGCTTTGAAGGTCGACTGTCTGTTTACAACCATAACAGCCCCACCTTTGTAATACTCTTTTCTTCACAATTGTTGTATATTAAGCACGCCTGTTTTCTTCCTCCTCCACCTACCTTTTCTCTCCTCATCAATCCTGTTGTGTACTCTAAACCAAACATGACTTTCGGCCATCACTACGTTTATCTCTTTATCCTTGCGGTGTCTACTACAATGACAAGTCTTATGACCGATGCCATGCCGTTGATAGGACCCGAACAGCAGCAAGTGATCCGATCATCACCACCACCATCATCGTCCCAGGCCGCAGCCGCAGCATCCCTCCTAAATCAAGTACTCTCTACCGACAGCGATGAGGACGCGTACTTTGGTCCCTCATGGATGACCGATGAAGGTGAAGATGAAGAAGGATACGATGATGACCAATCAGACATGAGTGACGACGACGAAGACGCAGACGATGGAGTCGACTATGGATTTATCTTTAGTATCTTTGGCAGTGATGAGAGCAGCAGTAAGACCGAGGCAACGTCAACATCATCAGCAGCTTCTGTCGTTGTCGAGCAACAGCAGCAAACTACTTTCACTGCAAAGAAGGATTACAGCAGCAATAAGAGCGATAATAGTGATGACGATGATGCAGTACACCAAGCACTTCTCATGGTATCGTCTTCGGATATTGATGACAATGTCATCGAAATGGCAATTTTGGCCCGCACACGACAGATCTTTAGGTCTCGTCAGCATCGCCGTATTACCATGTCTTCTGTCCGTTCGTTCACGGTGGATCGAGAGGATGGTGAGGAGGAAGAAGAACTCGATTACTTGTCAGATACATAAATCATGAGGCGGGTATTCCACTTGTAAATCCACCTCCACCCCATTACCCCGTAATCATGTCTTCTGTTGTTTACTTCCAATTGTATAGTTTGTATATATTTCCCTTCTTCGCACATACTTTAATGTGCAGCAGATTTCCTCTGTTAATCTTACTAAGAGAGAATACTTTGTTTTGACAATAAAATATACTCTTTCTTCTTTTCGTGTAATAAATTCAGCGTCATGTACAATTCGATCGATGATACTGTAACAATTTCTTTAATTGATCACGACGAGCGGATGCTGATGGATAGATGATCCGAGCTTTTTACTATATAAATGTTAATATGGTTTCAAATCTTTTACGCCCCCTTTATTGTAACAGCCCTCACTAACTCGGATTTGCAGAATTAAGTCAAATAACTGGTTTATCGTTTTATACTACCCCGGTTCTGGACCACATAGACTGCTGTCAACAGTAAGAAATTCATATCGTCTTTCTCTTCTTTTGGCGTGTGCCACTATTAGACACAAGTACGCAGAAAGGTTCGAGTCGCATTGTTACTTCTCCACTAGTGTATACATATAACCAAAAAGTAGGTTCAAGGAGAAATGTTACTCGGCCTGCTGTGCTGCTGTTGCTGGTGGATCGTATGATGTACTAAGTAAGGAAAGAGAAGGAGGTCAAACATGTACAATAACGCTTATTGATGAGGGTGCTTGCTATGTACTGCATATGAGCAAATTATGATAGATGTACGATCGTTGCTCGACCACCCCACCTTTCTCCGTTATTCTTGCTCTATATGAATGCATATACGGTGTACAATACATCAGTTTCAAATATCACAATTTATAATCAGCAGTGTATAGTTTCCCTATTCGGCGAGCCGGTGCCACAATTTCCATATTATACATTAAGCGCAAGCTGTCAAGCCATTACAACTAGTCACAATTTTATCCTTCTTCCTACGTATGTCGCCTCACACCACCCCAAATGCACAATGCTGATGACCGGAGTACATATTGAACTACAGTGAAGTTCCGTGTCATGCACCCATCATTCACTCATACCTCTTACGCAGTATTTCTTTCACCTTACTTTTTTCTACGCAGTTGTTTACTTGATAAGTATATAGTAATATTGTAAAGTGTAATAGATTATCTGCTAATGGATATTGGGAACAATAATAAGCAAGTTCTTTTTAGATGTGTATGTAGCCACCGTGATAACATCCGATTGGCCAAGGATTTGATTTCGTTTGCTCATCTTGCATTATAGCTTCATGCATATGAGATAATTTGACGACATAATACTGCAGCAATAGCAACAAGAGCACAATTGACGTTGTGATACGCTCCTGTATTTTATTATTATGATGTGTACTGTACATTGGATGTACACATCACAACGTACTACCCGTATTATGTACATATTCACTGATTACTATTATTAATGATGTGAGCTAATGAACCATAGTGATCGGTAAAGAGCTTTACTCGTATAAGTAGCTGGTCTTGGAATCTCTAGAGCTCATTAAGATGATTGTTTACTACATTCCCCTAACTAGAAATATAGATATATTCTTTAATTCTCCCAAGTGCAGGTATTAAGGATTACATACTCTTTGTCGTTATTTTGGTGGATAGGTACACAGTACTCGCTTCAGTGATTCAACAGGAAATATGTAGACATCTTCACTTTCAAGTGATCTCTCTCTTTCTTTGCCCGTCATAACCATCCGGCGATACGTTAGGAGTATTCCGAGTTCATGTGCTAGCACGCCAGAGGCGAGCTAAAAAAAAGTGTTTCTCCACTTTTTTCTGCTTTTGCCTTCGCTGAAGGTCATAGCAATGAAGAATCCATAAGAAAAGAAAGAAGTGGTTCTTTTAGCGCTGCCTATTATTTTTTAATCAAGAATTACTTGACTTCAACTTCTGATGTTTTTCAGCTTTAACCAGTGGATCGAACTGCATTAGCTCAAGTACATGTAAAACTGTGTATGTAGCTATTAAGCATGTTTTTTTCGGGGATCTTATTCAGGATGTATATGCTTATAACTTTCGTTTCTTTATTCTTGTCACGCAAACTGGCAATCGAACGATCCTGATGCTTTTTGGTTTTTTGTTGTAAAGTGCTCCAACCTCTAGTCTAGTGTTTTATACAAAAGTATGTTGTATATAGTCTAGCAGTTACTCTGCGTACTGCCTCGCCTGTCTCTCTTTACACTCTGCCAGGGAACTAAAGACGCTTCCATATAGGTCATATGACAGTCGGCCGACTGCGTCACCGCAAATTACTAAATCCAACGTTAAAGCTATGTTGCAGTTACCCAGCATAACTTACGCGTTGCAAACTTTTGCTGTCGCACTTTGTAGCTATTGCTGTTGTAAAGACATTTTCACGTGCTTGAGTGCTCACAAGGAAATAGCTACGTTGAGACATATGTTGGCTAGGATACCGCACTCATCGAGCATAGAATAAGAAGACTATGCTAGCATGTGGAATAATACGCTCAGACATACAACATTGCAGGGTTGCAACAATTCAGTCAGTAAGATACTGGAATATATTTACATTATAAAAATCGAAACAGATTATTAGTACAGTAGGAATTATACATGTGCTAGCGATCTTCTACACCTGAGTGGGGAGCAGTAGCAGCAGTACTCCTCTGAAATACAGTATACGGCTTCAAATGAATATCTATGAGCTTATAGTGAGATGGCTATATAATAGAGAAAAAGATATTCAAGTTATATTGTAATTGTTGTCTCGTTCCAAAACTCATATGGAGGTACGAAGGAATGCAAGAAAATCAGGGGCTAGCAAGGCGAGTGCCACAATCAAAGCAAGAGCAACAGTGGCATGTAAGCGTTATGATACTTGAGCGTTCGACCTGCGCGAGTACGGGTAATGACAAATGCTTCTATACGAGTACGACATCATCAGCATGTAGTAATGATGGAACGAGGATTCGGTGGGTGTCTGGCCTATATTTCTCCGGACGTCCCTTCTTGCCACCGCTATCGTGTTTGAGCTGCCGTTTCATATACACCCACAAGAGGTGGAGTGCGAAGCTGAAGTGGGCGATTGTTTTTGATGTACATAGGAGATCCGGAGACGGCGGGGCAGCGTGTTGATAAAGACAGCGTAAAGAAGTAGACTCAGGATCGAGCTTGTAGAACACCACCGTAAAGTTGCTGGTGACGCGACCCCGACTTGTTTCTTTACTTTCTAAAAATAATGACAACAACCAAGGTCTACACTGTTGCTCAGCTACCGTCATTACCACGTGAGATTCAGTATAAAGTTTTCGAGGGTTTGTCATTTGATGATTGCTTGAAATGCAGCCAACTGTCCAGAGCATGGCGATCGGCAGTGCTCAATTGGCAAGGAATGTGGAAGTGTCTACGGCTGCACGAAAATTTCAGATACTTTGAGATCCATTGCGATCGTATTGGAAGGTCAGCATAGTATCGACGTAGACGCTTATTGGGGCAAAACCAGACTCTGGATCAAACTAGTCAGCTTTTTAAATAAGCAATCAACTGGGGTATGTCAACGTAAAAATAGAGCTTCTTTGCAGTAGGCCAGCTTTGAAAACAACAGCTTTGATAACAACAGCTTTTTACATGTATAATATAGCAACGTTGAAAGTCGATATTTTGACAAAAGACACCGCGTTGATGTTCCTCAACACGTGCGGTAACACGCTTTCATACTTGCACATTTCCTTGGATTTATTACGAAGAGGTGAAATTGCGACGAGTGTTGGCCCAGACATGTTCGTCCAGAGATGTCCCAACTTGGCGAAACTGTCGTTCTTTGGACCCATTTTAAGATGTCTGCTCGCTACCAAGTGTCTGTTATATTATACATTTAGGTCATAATCTCAATTAGTTGCATTTGTAGGTCGACGTAACCGGGTGGAGACCTAGCACTGCGTTGATGAACACCAAGCACCAGCATCTTACCGATTCGACGCTCGTTATCTCCAATATTCACGGTGATATGGATATCGTATCATTTCTTAAAGCTGCGCCGAAGCTCAAGTACCTGGCCGTAGCAAATAACATCGCGCACACAGCCTCCAATCCCTCGTTTCCGACGGAACTGCAGCAATATTGTCCAGACCTAGCTACTATTGTCATCTCAAGTAGTCGTAACAGCGATATATGTTTGTGCGATTTTCTAGAATTTCACGACGAATACAAACCAAAAGTACGCCATGTAACCAATCCAGGAGCGGAAGACCTTGTGCTCCATGATTCTGCAAGCGTAGATCGGGAAACAGCCGTTCTGTTTCGACATCTACTTTACAGTGTGCGCAATAAGATCCAGTTCCTCGACATTGCAGGCTCCGCTCTGTTTGAACCTCGTTTGCAACAACTTGATCTGGCTGTTCCCCGTCTAATCGAGTATACATTTCCATCATTGACTCGTCTGGACCTCCGTCGTGTAAACACAACAGGCCCCTCGAATGAATTACGCAACCTGATCACCTTACTTTCACCAAAGCTGACGTCTCTATCATTGGACGATTGTTGCTTTGTTGACGACGACTTTCTTTGGCACTTGGCGATCATGTTACGGGCTTACGCGAGTTCATGCTAGTTAACTGCAACTGGTTCAGTAGCAATGCTTTGGTGCAATTCTTGGAGATGGCGGCAAAACCTGAACGTAGTTTGCAGAAGGTCGGATTTTGTTCGATCATGGAAGGTCTTGATCGGCACGTTCTCCACACCATCGCAACATTAAATACATGTGTCATTGACGATTTGACTATAAAACGTTGCGGGAATCTAACGGTTGAGGACTTTGAAGCGTTTGCTCACGCTATGCATGCTCAAGACAACAACAGGAGTTGTCGGATGAAAAACATGGATTTGAAAATTAATGTCCTATACCCACCTTTATATTGCAGGAGCAATAGTGGCAAATTGCTTCTTAAATTGCTGGACTCCAAGGCGGATGCATGGAAAGTGGAATTTTATAATCCGGGCCCGTTTGCTCATGAGTATCCAAATCAGCTGTTTACACATAGCATCTACAGAAAGCGCGAGCAAAGAAAACTGTTATAATAAAGGAACCAGAAAGGGTCCCACAAAAATTTATCCATGTTGGTCTGCGTTTTAGTTACGTTATTCAGATATTACTATATAATAGCCAGACACAGGATATTATTTTTCTGTGCTCACGTTGGTCCGTGAAATATCTTGGCCTTAATAGATGCAACAGCAGCAACAGTTGCTACATCTGCTGCTCATAATGGTATAGCTGAGTGATCCATCATTATGGAAGACTAGTTGACCTACGCAATGAGCATGCGGTCGCTTTCTTTGGTACTATGTATCAGTAAAGAGTATAAAAGAACAACGGAAATTGGCAACCTGCCCCCAAGAAGAGTTATGTGATTGGTTAATTGATGGTTGTTGTTGTAATCAAGAAACACCCACAGCGCAGTCACCATCAGGGTATTTTCATCACGCTCACAGACATTGCCCATTGATTAACATGGAGCAGTGGATAGAGTATCAGACTGCGTGAAAAGAGACAATGTAGCACCACATAGTAGGCGGTTCTTAGTCTTCCTAATATGTGAGCTAGAAGAAGAAGATTACTTCAGTCAGCCTTCCTACAGTAGTGCCTTCTTTTTTAGGCTTTATTCCGTCGCTTTTACAACATGGCGACGAAATGTGGGGTTTACCGCTGCTGGTGCTGCTGTTACTAGAATATCTCATAGGCGTTGCTGTTTACTTGTTCAAGACATAGCACGCATCCAAGTGCCATGCTGGATCCACACCCCCGTTGTATTCTGTTTGTAATTCGCAGGATCCTGTGTCATTCGAATGTAGATATTAGTTTTGTAGCGTGACCATGGTAGGACAATCAATATTGCATCGGCGAAACGCCTTGGATACAGTCATGCACCGAAGGATGTCACCAAAAGAGAGCTCGTTTAGGATCACGGTGAGCACATCGGAAGGTTGTACTTTCATCATATTCTTACGCTTTTCAAGCATATGGTGAGCTTCATTGGAGAGGTAGATTAATGTGTCTGTCAGCACCGTTATTCAGAACCCTGCGCATATCGCTATTGCTTTCTTGAATCTCTGTTGTCTGATCAAAAATACGTGCGGCGATACCATATGTCCTCAAATAGCCGGGGAAGTAGTCGACAAAGAATAAGGCTGTACACCTTTTCGACTTTGCCCTGTTGCGCGTATGGTTCGAGGCGGACTGTCAGGAACTACACTAAATATCTGTGTAGCTGAGCGAGTGCTGAGGTAGATTCATGAACTTCTGTCGCGAGATTGCGTGCTTGGAGGGTTTCGCTTTGATTTATGCAAAGTGTCTTCCAGTGAAGCCAGCGTTGACAACTCGGTCGCAGAGTCCATGTAGGGATCATGAGTTGTGACGAATCCACCAGTACGCCGTTGGCAAGTACATTGTCTTGGGCAACAGCGAGAACAGGCCATACTATTATATCAACGACTTTTAGCTGTCACTTATGCCTCCGTTGCCATCGCAAACGTCTATTACATCAAAGCGACAAAAGGTCGCGCGATACACGCTATTAAAAAAATGTAAAGGTTACAGATGGAAGAGTTATTTAATTTTTTTTAAGAGTGTAAGAAAATTAACAAAGGTGAAAAAAGTGTCTAGCTGAAGAAAAAGAAGAAGGCATTGGCAGTTCTCTCGTCTATTAGTTTGACAATAAACGAGAAAGTAGGAGGTTGAGAAAAGGCACAAAGCACCTTTCAACCTCCATGTCCACCACAGCCTCAGTCCCAGCTCGAAGCTGGAACCTACACCGCCAATCCTTCCAGCAAGCCTTTCGGCAAGCCTTCAGGAATGACACCAATGCCAATGCCTTTTCCGTCAATTCCTTATTCCCTCAGTCCCTCAAGCGTTATTTCAGGACTATCTGACAGACACACCATACTCCGGAGAGTACGGCACGTCCAGGCTATAACAGACACGCTTGTATCGTCCAAGGCGGGACCCGATCGTTCAGGATAGCCACTGAAGGTGATCGAGCTCTTCTTCGCGGGGCCGATGCGACTAATGGTCTCCCAAAATGAACAATAGACCTCGACGTAGCGCCCACCTTTGTGTCAAGCCAGGAGTCGAACCTGCAAACGTGCCCAGAAACACTACCGACACATACAAAAAGTTGGTGGACCTTTGAAAAAGGCCACTACGGTTATTCACAGCTAAAACACAGGTGTGAGCGTGTGTAAAGCAGCAGAAGCAGTGTTATAAAGGAATTTACCTGTGCTTGGCTTAAGGCCGCGTTTATGACGATTACGACTGCGCGAAATAGAAAAGCATGGAGATAATAAGGGAAAGAGAAGCGAAAAGGCAACTGAGCTGTGATAGCCGGACTTTATAACCATGGGAATTCTTGTCGATTCTGATTGGCCGCCGCTTGAACAGCAAACTTCTCAAAGCTGCCCCTTGTGATTTGGGTTGGTTTGCCCATAGTCGCATCCAAGGATGGGCGATACTGCTTCTGTTGGATATGCAGTTCTGCACCACTCCCTCTTTCAATGAAGATGGTGATGAAGTACGCCATGCGCATGTATGGATAAATAACAAATAGTAAATGCACGTTGTTTGCAGCTTCACGCGACAAACATGATGTGACATTTAAACAGGTCGATAAACAACCTCTCTTTTACTTTTCTCAGCTACACATCCACCAGCTTTTAAGATTACTACTGACAAGTACTGTATCATACTCATAAGCTCAAGTTTTAAATGGTAGTACAGACATCGACAGCGCGACGCTTCTTGTCTTGCCTTCTCGACATCCACCTTGCCACGAGTATGCAGCGACAGTTTAAGCTAATTATAATTCCCCCACATCGTTCTGCATCGAAACTCAAGCAGAAGTGCTCTCGGCTGAAACTACATTCCCACAATCACTGAAGCATAAAAGTTAAATGAAGCACAAATGTGCATATGTAAATTGTCACCGTACAGTGAACGCCGGCTGTATACAATTGTTCTGAATTTTAGCTAATGCAAACTCTTTCAGATAGAAGATCAAACCACTCTATATCATGATAATGGATTGTACTGATGTTTTGCGGCATGATAAGCGCTTTTTGAAAGAAGAGCTAGAGGAGCTTCTCCTATGATATCACTCCTTACTTTTTTAGAAGTATCATTGGTATCATCAATATGTAGTGTTTATTAGTTATGAGAGCAAGATATCGAAAATACAATAGTAGAGACTATTCTCTATGTCATGCTCTGTGTGTTTCGGTATGATTTGAGATCACTACTGTAGCTTATAGATACATAGACGTTACATTCTCAAATTCTATCGTTCTAAGCAGAATCTTGGCTTGCTATGATGTTTTTATTCAACTATAGACGTCCGACGGGCAGTGGTTTTCAATGAATAACAATACCGGCAGTTGTATGTATGCATCATAGAAATCGCTCTTGAAAGCCGTTCCTCGGCTCGTATTCAGTCTCCTTGGGAAGCATCTTTGCAGGCAGGTAAAACTGCAGCTAACTCAAGCAGAACCACTTGGATTCAATGAGATCGTATTAAATTAGCAATAATATGTTTAAAGTGATAAAGTAAACAGCAGGAGAGGCTTAACCAACGACAAACACTGTAAGAAAGATGTAGGTTGTGAAAGTAGGACTTTTTACTCAGGAATCTCTCCAGTAGTCTCTCCCTGCACGACCTGATCTTCGATTTCAAACTTGGCGTCACGTTGAAACCAGAGCTTGCAAGTATGTTTCGTGCCCTTTGCTTCGGTCCTTCGTGTACACCGGTCCGCAATAGTTTGGAAGTGAATTTTTGCTACTTTGGCTTTGTAAGCATCCCGTATCATGCATAATGCAATGACGCCAAACAACCCTGACACAAGCCGCGCATTTGCTTATAACTTACTTGAGAGCTGCAATCAAGGTCTCAATCGTACAGAGAGGACATCATAGAGCGTTTGTTAGAGACCGGTTTGCTCGACATAAAGTGTAGGTGTGGATAAAGAATAGACTTTGGAACGGACTTGGGCCACAAGTCATCTTTCCGCCCAGAATTCTCGTCGCATATCGAGCACACTCGTGTTTCGTTTTGCACAATGTTGTGAGTAAAGTCATTTGTTATTACTTCACATTGGAGAGAGAGGCGCAAAGACGTTAGAGAATGTGAAAGAGAGACTGCGTTACTTGGACGACGAGATCCTTGTGTAACTTAGACCCGTTCAATTGTTTTGCAGGATGACCTGTCGAAAGATATTGACAGTTTGCTGCATTTCTCCTTTCAACATACCCAGCGTAATATTGCATATGGGGACGAGGAAAAATCAATATTTACGGAAATCTAAATTTGAGCTCGATGACATGTAGTGATCTTCCGGCTACATAAAGCATAGTTGTTACAGGGCATCTTTCGCGCGGCAGGACAAAGCAGGCAGGCAGCTGACGAAGGGCGATTAAAATGTCAAGAATACATGCGTTTCCATTTCAGACGTGTGTTGTAATACTTGGATTACATTGAGATGATTAATAAGAGACAAAGCAGTCGAGCACTACGCATAATCTGATTGCTTCTTCCACCAATCACAGGGCATCCCTTTCCTTTCATGACTGAGATCACGATACCACACCGTGTAGCGAGCAGTGCTTTCGACACACAGACACACTAAATTCATATTCCGTTCCAAACAATAAAAAAGGATTATGATTGCTTCTTGGTCGATTCGCCTCTTCCCTTTACTATTCCTGCCATTATCCATTACGTAGTGGTTCACTGATACAAAAACGCTGTATATGGTTTCAATACTGCTCATTATGCTGTATATCCAAGGAATTGTTATTCTTGATTAAATTGCATGTGATTGCTACTAGCACATAAGACCAGGAGACTTGTATCATGATGGTTTTATCAATTAGTACAATGATTTTTGACAGTGTGATTAATTTTTCTGATGATGCATTATAGTCATATCTATATAATGTGTGTTAAGTCTTTGACCGACTCGTATAGGAAGCAAAATATATGATACTATGTGCTTTTATATAATTTCTGTCAAGTGGTGATATCTCTACGATGGTAAGATAGAATTACAGCTCGCGTAGTATTAATAGTTTAATTCCAACCATCTAGACCGTAATAATTGAACGTCGGTCCGGCAACAGTAGCGCCCGACGACCAAGTGATACTCTAAGAGTGGGATAGCTAAGATGGATGGGAAATTTGCTCTTGCTTTTTGCCATAAAACGATACCACAGTGTCCTGGCTGTCATTAACGTGCCTCAATAAAATCTATAGCCCAAATGCGGGTGAGTGATATGTGGGGAACCCCGCTATACATGCGGGCTTTCTTACACATACCATTTTAGTCAGCATGTGAAAATAAAGGAAATCGCTTGCACCAAGCATTAAACTTGTTTTTATACCCCCCACCCCCTTTCTTCTTTTTCTCCTCACAACGGCACACACACGTCAGATACAGCACTATGGTCGAAGAACCAAAAAACAACAGCAGTAACCAGCAGACAGCTTTGTCAAATACATCTCCTCCCAGCAGTAGTAGTTCTAACACCACCACCGCTGCTACTGCTACTGCACCAAACGATAGTAGTAGCGCACCATTAAACGAGCAACTTATAAAATCAGCAGTTTCTTTCCTGTCGTCGCCAAACGTCAAGTCTGCTGAAACAGTCAAAAAGGTTGCATTCTTACAAAAGAAGGGATTGAATCCTACTGAAATACAAGAGGCGTTCAAGCGAGTGGATGAAGCTGTTCCTTCTGTACCTGCGGGACCCACTGTAAGTCTTCCCTCGCTCTTCTTAAAGACGAATATCCATACTGATCAGTTTGATAGGCGAGCTCACCAGCAACAGCACCCTCTGCACCATTGATTCCCACACGTCCAGTATATCAGCAGCAGCAACCAAGTATCGTATACCAACCGCTACCACCAGCACCAGCAATGCCAATCCAGCGTCTTGTTGCCATTGCGCTTCTTTTCGGTGTGGGAACAGTTAGTGTGACAGCTGGTGTTGTAGGCATTGTCAAGGTAATGGCAGAGTTTCATTCATGTACTGGAAGATCGATTCTCACATATAAATCGTATAATTCTTTGGCGGTACTCATATTGTGATATGTATATGTAGCGCCTGTTGCTTCCGACATTCAATGCCGTTACTGCGTACCGAACTGGTCGGTATAAGCAACAAACGACAGTATTGGATAAATTAGGCGGTCAACTCGCTGGCAAAGATTCGGCTGATACTGACGATGCTATTGAGGAGGAGAAGGATTCAGTCAAAGACGTAAAGGCTGTGGTTGCTGATGCAAAGGATGACGAGAAGAAGAAAAAGAAAAAAAAGAAGGCGGAAAAGGTGGACGTGAGTGCACAACTTGCAGAAAAGCAGGCTGCATTGGCGGATCGGTTGGCATATATGGTCGCTCAAGCACAGGCACGGCACAAGGAAAGCAAGAACAATGTGGAACTATACACGGACTTTGGTACCTCGATTATGAATCTGCGCAATACCATCAATAAGCCCGAATATATGCATACCCCTTCCCTTTATTCTACATCAACACCAGCCGTCGGTATGGAAGCAACCAGCGGACTCAAGGGCGAAATCCGTTCTCTCAAGGGCATTCTCTTGAACCGACGACGATTCGATTAATACACACTTGAATTATGTACACTCTGTAATGACAATAAACTCCCTTTTTTTATTTTTTTATGATATCTGACCATGGGCTATACTCTTGCATTGGATAGGCTGACCGCCATCGTTCGTGGTTACCAATCTATAGCCCTTGTAGGTTGCAACCTTGTGTGCATCCGTTGCCAAAGACTGTGCGACGCTTTCAAAGATTTTTTGCTTTGGTTTCAATACTGGATCAGGTTCACCTGTTGGATGCTGCGATTCGACCTGTACGCGTTCGCCAATTTGACTAGTTGCAGAAGGTTCAAGTAACTCGACGGCTTTGGAATCCTTGTTCGATGCTGCCAATAGCATACCCGAGGATAGCACGCCTCTGAATCGAGACGGTTTCATGTTGCTCACGACGACAACGCGTTTGTTCTGTTTCCATCGATATGAGATTAGAGAAAAGTATGTATCGAACGCAAACAGTTTGCTATTATTACCAAGAGTGACTCTTTGGCCATATAGGGCGCTAGTCCGCTTACAATGGTCCGGGGCTCTTCCTCATTGACATTCACTATTACAAATAGTTAGCCATTGGTTACGCTGTCGTTTTCAAAGGATTTTGCTTTTGTATGAATCACCTTGCTCAATGAACAAGTGGTTGGCTTCGGGATGTTGTTCGACGCTGACGATCTGACCGACGCACAAGTTGACGCGATGGATTGGGTCATTTTCAGTAATGGTATTTGCGGTGCAAATTGTTGAAGAACCTTCTGGTCCAACATCAGTTGCAGCAGGGGTGTTGTATTGTCTGAAGACTGCAGCAGCACGCGAATAAGAAACAAGTCGTGTCCGAAAGCAAGAGTTGCATGGAAGACGCAGCATATTTTTATGGTACACAGGGGGAAGGGGGAGGGAAACGAAAGAAAATGTATTTAGAGATTGACAGCTTTTTTTTTGTATGTTCAAATGAGGAAAGATAAATCTAGCAAAATTATTATAATTTTTAAATATACACAGCTCTACGGATATAACGCTGTGGTTTTGGTGGTTTGCCATACACAGGTTCAGGAACGCCTATAGCAAGTAAATTCCCCACATGGTAGTTAGTAAAAGCATCACTGCATATCCAATGGAGGAAAGACTCACCCAAGATGTCGTTGTAGATACTGCTGACAGTCTCATCCCACACCTGGCGGAAGAAGGACACGCCACGGGGTTGGAGACCGTGTGTTTGTGCAAAAGCCTTGACATCAAAACCTTCACGCTTGTCAGCCTTGATGTCGACCTTGTCACTGCCTCCATTAGGTTGCTCATATGCAATCAGTGTGTAGCGGTGGTATTTGGTGCCCTTTTGCGGATGGGGAGGAACATAGTCCAGCACAGTGTCACCTCCAGCAACTGTTGTTTCCGTAGCAGATAATGGCACGTTTGTTATTAACCAATGGCAGTGTTGTTGATACGTTTTGTTGGCGACGTCAGGCGAATCGGGGTCTACGAGGAGAATTGTGTATAGTCGTTTGTCGGTATGGAAGTTGGTCACGTCGATCTTTGGTGCTTCAATGCTCTACAGAGGATTTTGCGTTTGTCATGTCAGGTATCTTTCCTCTCGGTTCAATCAATCTCTGACATATGCTCCGACTTGTTGAATGCATTTTGCTCTTACCTGCTCTGGCTTGGTGAATACACCGGGTTCCACAGCACCATCCTGTCCCTTCAACTGAATAGCGACTTCGACCGTAGGGACCAAGCCCAATGGAAGCAAGTCTGGAATGACGTTCATTTGGGTGACACGTTGTAACAATTGTTTGCGTGGTGCCTTTTCAAATTGCTTCTGACGCAAGTACCGGTACACAGGTCGTTCCATGTCCACTAAAATAAACGTACACATCCGTCAGTTTGATAGGATCCGTAAATAGGTGTGTGCGTGCGTATATATGCGTCGTCGTTGCTGTCGTTGTAATATATATATATATATATATATAGCAAGAGGTTCTTCTTACAGTTGCTGTTTGAGAAGTTGCGTCGAACTTCGGAATCGTTTAATTCAGACTTGACTTGCAAATCAAACTTGAGTGCGTTCAAAGCCGAGAGTTGTGCTGCTTGCGTTGGTTCACTGCCTATACACATGAATACCCGGGAAGGTTGTCAACATTCGTTTTGTGAAACAATACAAAATAGGGGAAGCGAATGATTACCCTTCTTGACACGGGTTATTTCTTTGTCGACTCGTTCGAGCATCTTTAATCGTTCTTTTCTGTCGACTTGAATAAGGTTTAATGCTTCTTCGTAAGCAGTACCATGACCTTTGTGTTGTTCCGTTGACGCGTGCCGAGTGGCCTAATACATGATATTTCAAAGTGTCAAATCGTGTCCAAGGTAATGAGTTTGTCTGTTTGGTGAAGGGAAGAGAGGGAGACGTTGTGGTATATGTATGTTTGGTAGATTCCAATTCCCTTACAGAGGCCAGTCTCGAGGACATGGAACGCATGCCCTGATTTGTAGCTGCTCGCTTTGCCCACGCGCCAAACATTGTTGCAAGTAAAATGGAGGTGTTTTTTTGTTGAGGTGCGGGTTGGAGGGGGGGGGTAAGAACCAAAATGTATTCCGAATTCAGCGATTATTTACAAGTCAAAGCCACCGACATTGTCGGGTGCTAACCCAGGCCCTCTTTTCCCGTTTAGCACACACACACACACCATACAAAGCACTCTTTCTATTTTTCTTCACTTCCACACATAAACAATCATGATTGGTGCACTGTCTCGAGCTCGCTGCCAAACGGCACCATTACGATGCGTACGAGGTATGCAAGAGAGAAAAGAGAAATGGAGGGCTATACCGCATCGCGTAAAAACCTGGGCCTTGTCAATTAACTTTTTTTATGTGTTACCTTTCCCAGCGACCCGTGTAATGGCATTCCACGCAAAAGCACCTGTCATGAACGAACAACAGGAACTTCCACCTAACGTCGCAACGCCTACCAGCAACAACTCGACCTTGAGTGCGTTCGGTGCTCGTGTAGGCCTGCAGTCGCTCAGCCCCTCGCTTTTGGAACAAGCCGTGACACATTCTTCAGCAACGAACTTGACTTATCTCGGTACATACACCTATACAACTTTAAAACCGAACGCTCTATACACGCACATACGCGTATAACCGCTTTAATGTGTGGAAACACGTATGAAGAAGAAAACTAATGTGTTTTCTGATAGGCAAGCGTGTCCTTGGACTATACGCGACTGAGTATCTGCACAGCAAGTACCCATCGATGCACATGTCTGCATTCAACGAAGTATTGAAGAAATACATTGGATACCGATCGCTATCACATATCGGCCGCGAGGTTGGACTACAGGATGTTGTGCGTCGGGAGCATGACGAGGAGGTGCAATCGACCGTCCTGGCCGAATGCTTCAATGCATTGGTTGGTGCTCTTTACCAGGAACAAGGCCCCGAAGCTGCCAAAAAATTCGTACACGCCCATATCTTGTCGCGCGAACTCGACGTACGACCTCTGATCAAACTGGAGAACCCAAAGCGATACTTGTCGGCATTAATGAAAAAGACGGGTCAGGAAGCACCCGTGTCACGCCTCCTTTCTGAAACGGGTCGTCTGTCAAGCGCACCTGTGTTTGTCATTGGCGTGTTCTCGGGTGAAAACAAGTTGGGCGAAGGATTTGGCAGTTCGTTAAAGATGGCAGAATACAGAGTAAGTTTTAGTTGTTGCTCAGAGGAAGAGGAGGGAGTATATTGATTTGGTAGTAAATGTATGCCTAATGAATCGTGACCCATTGTAGGCTTGTCAAGATGCACTGGCATCACATTATGGCAAGGAGGAAAAGGACTTTGTGCTGCCTTCGGACGCTGACAAAGTGGACAACTATAAACCCGCAGCCTTGGGATGCACAGAAGCCATCGTTTAAATAGAAACTCTCGCATCATTTCCCCTGTTCCCCCGCCCTTCTCCTTCCCAAATAGTATACACGCATCACACACAACTCGTCCACATTCTTCTTTCTTTTGAAAAGTCTATTTTATATTTTTTTTTGCTCCCTTCTACTGTGTATTTTCTGCAAAATAGATGCCCTCCTACATTTTTAAACCAAAAGTAAAAGCAACTCTTATGTAAGTTTCTACCATGAGGCTTGCGTCCTAGCCCGAAGAATACCCTTCTTACCTGTGCTATCCAATGTGTTGATTTGGATGAAGTTTTTGCAGCTGCTACTTCCAGTTGGCCCGGAATAGGTTGTCCATATTGATGGCTAGTGCTAGATGTCAGATAGGTCTTGCTATCCATATGTGACAGCTGGATAGGCTCCTCACGAGTCCAGTATTTTCCTGATGGACATTCCACCTTCCAATCATCGCCTAAACAAGTAGACACAGATGAAGTTAACAATAACTCACTTTTTTTTTAAAATAGCATGTATCTAAAAGCCAAGCGATCAATTACCAGTATCTTCACCATCATAGCAGCTGACTTCCTGCTGCCGTGACAACGGCGAAGAGTGGAGATGGCTGTGAAGATATGCCTTTGTGTTGGCATGGCGTAAGCGTACTATCGATCCACACGGTACCGGCTCACTAATATACGTAGATGGTTATTATTGCACTTTCCCCCCGGTTCCCTCCTGGTTTATACATCATCACACATTACCCTCGCTTGCATCTCTTGCCTGCACCGGCCTGTATAAGCCAGAAACTGTTGCTATCGTCTGCTTCGGCGAAAGCTGTAATCGATTGCTGCCCCGAACCGCTTCCTATACAAATTATTCCAAAGGAAAAGGACGCTGTTTAGCCTTTTAAAAGTGTTGAGAAAACCGGAAAGGATGGGATTCGAAAGCAATGCAGAATGGTTTACCGTAAGAAACGCCGTGTGAATGGAGTTTGTATCCAGAGGGTTGATGTGTAAGTTTAATTGTGCTGCCGCAAGTAACTTTTTCAAAACCTAAAGTAATGACGAAAAGACTGGTTTAGCGGCAACCATTCGTAAACTAAGAAAAATTATAAAGTTTACCATCTTCAAGTTCAATGGCACCGGAGACAACAGCAACAAGGCATGTAAGCGCTGATGCTAGAAAGGCCAGTTTCATGATGAAGTGTTAGCGGAGTGTTGTTGTTATGGAGAGAAGGGAGACGCGAGAGAGCTTTTACATGCTTGAGAGTTCGCCGTTTTTATTCGCGACGCGATCATAGAAGGACACGTGGCATTAAAAGACAAAGTGTACTGTTTTGTGGGATAGTAATCCTCACACAAAGCTACATAATTCTTGTTGACTGTGCCTGGGCTTGATCCTAGTGGCTTTAAACAAAGCCAGCGAGTCCAACAAAGTTGACCATCACAAAGCGCAAGGCAAGCTCGGTCCAATTTGCCCATCCTCAGTACAGCTTTCTGATCAGGGCATCTTTTTTGTGTCACCTGGACAAAGTACAGAGCTTGGACCGCCACTCTGACTTGCTGGCGACCTGGACTTGCACTCAATTTCGACAGAGACCTGGAAATTTGGAACTTGGTCCAGCTTTCCTTTGGATCTTCACGACAACCTCTTTGGCTCACACTCGTCCCGTCCACAAACTGCTCAAGCTCAACAATCCGATGGATGACAACCTCAAGCACTTGGACAACTTACACACCAGTCAGAAAATCAACAACCTGACTTTTTTCAGCTCGGTATTACATTGCCGCATTGAGCAATATGAAGTTCTTCACAGCAGCAGATAACTTTTCCTGCACGGCCTTGTTTGCCGACTTTTTAAGTGACGGTGATGGCCAGAGGTTGCACGAGTGTCTCGAGCTCAATGCTACCGATGATCGATATATCTTCATCTAGCCCAAATATCTTGAGTACTGATTTGTAAATAACAGAATAAAGACGTCGCGCTGTACTGGTAGCATGAATAAGGAAGTGGATTCAAATGGAGGAGACATATAAGTAGAGTTAGGTCGCTTGCTATGTAGTAGGATGACCGTCCTTTCCACATTATACATGAATCTAGCTAAATCAGGGACATCTTTTGATGGTCTACAGGAGTATTGTAAGAAATATGCTTCAAAAGATCATTCTTTTCCATGTGCCTACAGTATCCATCGCCACGGTGAACGGGGTGGTCATGTACCTTGCTTATTGTAGGTATGAGCTGCTAATCTATATTGTAACGGTAACTGCTCATAACCTAGTCAACAGCCGGATCCCACTTAGGTTCAACCTCACTAAGTAGTTGAATCATAGACGTATCACCGATTACTACGTTTGTCAAAGCTGACGATACGCTTTGTTTCTATATTTAAAAAATGATCAAAGGTGAGCACGATATTGCTTACAAGACTCTTGACAGGAGCATGTAAATTGATCATCAAATTATTTCTAGAGGGTTCATAGTCTGCATTTCTTTTACCCAAAGAGCTCTGTCTGATGATTTAACCTTTGTGCTAATTTTCACCTATGGTAAAATAAAGACTGTTTGAACTGAAAAAGGCGGAATTTGACTGTACTGCTGTCTTAAGAAGATGTAAAAGCATTTAATAGCTTTCCAACAACTTTTGTTTCTCTTTATGACAATGTATCCATACAGTATATCTTCGATAGTAGGACTTGGCTAAGCGGCAAAAGAAGTGTAAAACCGACCGCTTAATCCTGGGCTAAATTCTATCTTATTGAAATCTGTCAATCACTGCCTTTTAAAGTCCTTTAATATGTATGTAGTCAACATTGTTTATATTTTCCAAAGCTTTCGTTGTTGAATGTTAAAATAGATTAATTAATGTCTGCAGAAATTGGATATGCAATAGAGTATATGTTCTATATGTAATGCAGAGAGCGAATGACGAGAGTACAATTGTTTTTAACGAAGCTTTAGAGTTCTAGTGGTAGGTACAAGAAAGAGTGTATATGTAATGATTTTAACAGATTTGAGAGAGAGACAAAAGGACAAAAGAGGAGGAGGAGACTATATTACCAGATGATGTGATATTAAGGCACTTACAAAAAAAAAACTAATTTACACACTAAGGAAAAGAAAGAAACTATATACGTAATGGGGTAGAAAATAATATCGAGTATTTACGAAGTAAAGTAAAGGATAAAGTAGTGGTCATGGTGTAAAGGGCGATGTTTGCTGAGATACGTTTTTTTTATGAAGATGGCGATGCTTTGGACCTTTTACGAGCGTGTTGCTGGTCATGTGTTTTTCGACTCGCCATGTCGCTATGGCCACTGTTTTCATTGGTGCTATCAGGGAGAGATCGTTTTGTTGCACGTCGTCCTCCGCTTTTTCGGTTTGCTTGCTCGACGTCGTTACCAGTAGATTTTTTACCAGAAGACCGCTTTTTCTTTGCAGGCGTTTGATTTTTACCACTGCTCTCCTTTACGCCTCGCACTTGTTCGTTTAGCAAACTGCCGTTGTCGTCAGCGTCGTTGGCGTCGTCGTTTTGCTGATCGAATATAGATACGTCGATCATGACACTGTCCGATATGCAGCTGCACGCTTTCGCCCGCTTTCCAATTTCAATCCATGAATCCAACGCAAAGTTGACGCTTTCTGCGCAATTCAGCCCAAGGTTGTAACCAGCATGGTAGCCAAAGGGGAACGTGATCATGAACTCGCCTTCATGCTGGACACAGCGATGGACAGGGATCGAATGGTTGTGCAGTAATTTCGGCGATATGATGAACGTTTTGTGGCGTAGGAATTCGGGGCATTCTTTGTGTTCTTGTGGGAATAGGTCTATAGTATATGTGATTAGCAACACAGACACATTATTAGGTATCAACGGTAAGCGGCTAAACATGGAAATCACATACTTTGCATGACATTTTCGAACTTTTTCGTATGTGTTGTTGGTATAGCATACCATTGCTTGGGTGCGCCAAAGTGTAAATAGTTGATGGAGTACAGATCCATGTCCTAAATGTACAGACAGCTTTTTGTGTTAAAAACGACCATTGGATAAAGCGCAAGCCGACTGCATCACTGACCTCAACGTGCCATGCAAAAGTCGCTTTCCACATGCCAAAGTACAAGTAAGGCTCGTTTACGCCGGGGACAGAAACCCCTAACCGATTCAACATATTGTCCAAGCTATTGACATTCCATGCACGGACAGATTTATCAAACAAGGCTAGACGCAATAATCAATTAGCTTGTTGGGACCACAGCCATGTTTAAAACATATTCTGACGAGAGAGTAGAACGAAGAAATACTTACTTCCAGCCATGTCTGCACCGTACATTGGTTGAGTGAATGTTAAATTTCGCCAGTAGTTTCGTTCAAGCTCCTTGCAGTATTCCACGCTGTATTTATCAGGATCAGGGCAATGCAGATCGCGTGGGAGTGGTACTGACGTATCAGACTGTGCCAATGCAATCTCATCGGATAGAATCTGGCGTTTATTTTTCAGTGGAGAGGAAGATTCATGCGCAGCAGCTAAGGACTTTGATCTCGTCTACATAGTGTAACGACCTAGTTAGCGACAGCTATACATATCAGCGGCACCCTTTCCTCTCTCTCACACTCTCTTATACATTGGCAGAAGGTGGCTGCTGTTGCTTTTGTTGTTGTACTAAAAAACAAAAAGAAAGCACACGTTTGTTTTTAAGTTTGGCAGATTCCGCATATTTCGTGCGACCCGAAACGGCGATGAACAAACCTTCTCGATTGTTACTGTTGCTACAGACTTTATCCCGCTTTCGGCTTAACGGTGTCACAGGTTGTCGGGCTGTCCGATCGCATCCTACTTCAGGTGGTCGGTGCTCTGATTGTTCGCACAATGCAAGCCATTGAGCCAGCGTATACGGCCGTCGCTTCTCGACATTGGTTTGCGTGTACATGCCACGGCTGCCCATTATATGTTGAATCTATCATTAATCAATAGTAACATGTGAAAAAATTAATGAAAAAAGTTAGTGGGTGTGTGTATGTGGATACAAAAGAAACCCCTCTTTTTTTAAGCTGCGACATTTACGATTGGGTTGCGCACCCGTAGTCGTTCCAAGTGGCGCTTGATGTCGGGCAGCTTGTCCTTCCTGCAAGACGAGCAGTAACAACGATAAAGGGATCAATTAGTATGTACAATTTCCACATTAGCTTCGCTTAACAACATTTTATTCTCGGCCACAAAAAAAGAAAAGTCAGAACATTCTATACCATTCTTTGGGAGGGACCACCTTGACAATACCAGAATGTCGTCCGTAAGGATCGATCGCTTCCATAAACGTCTTGAAGTCTTTGAATTGTTCCATGGACGGTCGAAAAACTGGAATTTGACCGCCACTTGCCTTTACATTACAACAACAACCATCAATTAACCAATCACCACCACGAGTGAAAAAAAAAATAGTTCGGGATCTCGGTAAGTTTATTATTGTTCGAAAATAAAGTTCAAAACTGAGGCAAGAGGTAAAAAGAAAAAAAAAAGACGTACTTCGTCGTAATATTCGGAAGGCTGTATGATATCCATGGTAACTCTTTTTGAAGGCAGGTTGCCAATTTCCGTTGTTCTTTTATACTCTTTACTGATAATGGTAGATGGGCAGGAATAGTAAAGGGAAGAGAGCGAATCGACCAAGAAGCAATCATAATCCTTTTTTATTGTTTGGAACGGAATATGAATTTAGTGTGTCTGTGTGTCGAAAGCACTGCTCGCTACACGGTGTGGTATCGTGATCTCAGTCATGAAAGGAAAAGGATGCCCTGTGATTGGTGGAAGAAGCAATCAGATTATGCGTAGTGCTCGACTGCTTTGTCTCTTATTAATCATCTCAATGTAATCCAAGTATTACAACACACGTCTGAAATGGAAACGCATGTATTCTTGACTTAATGAGTCATTTCAATCGCCCTTCGACAGCTGCCTGCCTGCTTTGTCCTGCTGCGCGAAAGATGCCTTGTAACAACTATGCTTTATGTAGCTGGAAAATCACTCCATGTCATCGAGCACAAATTTAGATTCCAGTAGATATTGATTTTTCCTCGTCCCCATATGCAATATTACGCTGGGTATGTTGAAAGGAGAAATGCAGCAAACTGTCAATATCTTTCGACAGGTCATCCTGCAAAACAATTGAACGGGTCTAAGTTACACAAGGATCTCGTCGTCCAAGTAACGCAGTCTCTCTTTCACATTCTCTAACGTCTTTGCGCATCTCTCTCCAATGTGAAGTAATAACAAATGACTTTACTCACAACATTGTGCAAAACGAAACACGAGTGTGCTCGATATGCGACGAGAATTCTGAGCGGAAAGATGACTTGTGGCCCAAGTCCGTTCCAAAGTCTATTCTTTGTCCACACCTACACTTTATGTCGAGCAAACCCGTCTCTAACAACCGCTCTATGATGTCCTCTCTGTACGATTGAGACCTTGATTGCAGCTCTCAAGTAAGTTATAAGCAAATGCGCGGCTTGTGTCAGGGTTGTTTGGCGTCATTGCATTATGCATGATACGGGATGCTTACAAAGCCAAAGTAGCAAAAATTCACGTCCAAATTATTGCGGACCGGTGCACACGAAAAACGGAAGCAAAGGGCACGAAACATACTTGCAAGCTCTGGCTTCATCGTCACGGCCAGTTTGAAATCGAGAATCAGGTCGTGCAGGGAGAGACTGCTGGAGAGATTCCTGGGTAAAAAGTCCTACTTTCACAACCTACATCTTTCTTACAGTGTTTGTCGTTGGTTAAGCCTCTCCTGCTGTTTACTTTATCACTTTAAACATATTATTGCTAATTTAATACGATCTCATTGAATCCAAGTGGTTCTGCTTGAGTTAGCTGCAGTTTTACCTGCCTGCAAAGATGCTTCCCAAGGAGACTGAATACGAGCCGAGGAACGGCTTTCAAGAGCGATTTCTATGATGCATACATACAACTGCCGGTATTGCTATTCATTGAAAACCACTGCCCGTCAGACGATTGTAGTTGAAGAAAGACATCATAGCAAGCTAATATCCTGCTGAGAACGATAAAATTTGAGAATGTAAGTCTATGTATCTATAAGCTAGTAATCTCAAAATCATACCGAAACACACAGAGCATGACATAGAGAACAGTCTCTACTATGTTCGATATCTTGCTCTCATTACTAATAAACACTAAGTGATGATATCATAGGAGAAGCTCCTCTAGCTCTTCTTTTAAAAAAGCACTTATCATGCCGCAAAACATCAGTACAGTCCATAATCATGATATAGAGTGGTTTGATCTTTTATCTGAAAGAATTTGCATTAGCTAAAATTCAGAACAAGTGTATACAGCCGGCGTTCACTGTACGGATATTTTACATATGCACATTTTTGCTTCATTTAACTTTTATGCTTCAGTGATTGTGGGAATGTAGTTTCAGCCGAGAGCACTTCTGCTTGAGTTTCGATGCAGAACAATGTGGGAGAATTATATTTAGCTAAAACTGTCGCTGCATCCTCGTGGCAAGGTGGATGTCGAGAAGGCAAGACAAGAAGCGTCGCGCTGTCGTTGTCTGTACTACCATTTGAAACTTGAGCTTATGAGTATGATACAGTACTTGTCAGTAGTAATCTTAAAAGCTGGTGGATGTGTAGCTGAGAAAAGTAAAAGAGAGGTTGTTTATCGACCTGTTTAAATGTCACATCATGTTTGTCGCGTGAAGCTGCAAACAACGTGCATTTACTATTTGTTATTTATCCATACATGCGCATGGCGTACTTCATCACCATCTTCATTGAAAGAGGGAGTGGTGCAGAACTGCATATCCAACAGAAGCAGTATCGCCCATCCTTGGATGCGACTATGGGTAAACCAACCCAAATCACAAAATTTGCGCGGGGCAGCTTTGAGAAGTTTGCTGTTCAAGCGGCGGCCAATCAGAATCGACAAGAATTCCCATGGTTATAAAGTCCGGCTATCTCAGCTCAGTTGCCTTTTCGCTTCTCTTTCCCTTATTATCTCCATGCTTTTCTATTTCGCGCAGTCGTAATCGTCATAAACGCGGCCTTAAGCCAAGCACAGGTAAATTCCTTTATAACACTGCTTCTGCTGCTTTACACACGCTCACACCCGTGTTTTAGCTGTGATTAACCGTAGTGGCCTTTTTCAAAGGTCCACCAACTTTTTGTATGTGTCGGTAGTGTTTCCGGGCACGTTTGCAGGTTCGACTCCTGGCTTGACACAAAGGTGGGCGCTACGTCGAGGTCTATTGTTCATTTTGGGAGACCATTAGTCGCATCGGCCCCGCGAAGAAGAGCTCGATCACCTTCAGTGGCTATCCTGAACGATCGGGTCCCGCCTTGGACGATACAAGCGTGTCTGTTATAGCCTGGACTTGCCGTACTCTCCGGAGTATGGTGTGTCTGTCAGATAGTCCTGAAATAACGCTTGAGGTACTGAGGGAATAAGGAATTGACGGAAAAGGCATTGGCATTGGTGTCATTCCTGAAGGCTTGCCGAAAGGCTTGCTGGAAGGATTGGCGGTGTAGGTTCCAGCTTCGAGCTGGGACTGAGGCTGTGGTGGACATGGAGGTTGAAAGGTGCTTTGTGCCTTTTCTCAACCTCCTTCTTTCTCGTTCATTGTCAAACTAATGGACGAGAGAACTGCCAATGCCTTCTTCTTTTTCTTCAGCTAGACACTTTTTTGACCTTTGTTATTTTTCTTATATTCTTTGAATCAATAAAATAGCTCTTCCCTCTGTTTCCCTCAAAAATATGTCTTTTCAGAAAGGCGTATAGCACGCGAGCTTTTGTCGCTGCTTCTTTGCTTTGATGGAATAGACTTTTGCGATGGCAACTGAGGCATAAGTGACAGCTAAAATTCGTTGCTATAATAGTATGGCCTGTTCTCGCTGTTGCCCAAGACAAAGTACTTATCAACGCCGTACTGATGGGATCGTCACAACTCCTGATCCCACTTGGACTCTGCGACCGAGTTGCCATCGCTGGCTTCACTGGAAGACACTTTGCATAAATCGAAGCGAAGCCCTCCAAGCACACAATCTTAGTTCATGAATCTACCTCAGCACTCGCTCAGCTACACAGATATTTAGAGCAGTTCCTGGCAGTCCGCCTCGAAGCATACGCGCAACAGGGCAAAGTCGAAAAGGTGTACAGCCGTATTCTTTGTCGACGACAACTTCCCCGGCTATTTGAGGACATATGGTATCGCCGCACGTATTTTTTATCAGACAACAGAGATTTAAGAAAGCAATAGCGATGTGCGCAGGGTTCCGCAACTTTTGATATAATCCGCTGACAGACACATTATTCTACCTCTCCAATGAAGCTCACCATATGCTTGAAAAGCGTAAGAACATGATGAAAGTACAACCTTCCGATGTGCTCACCGTGAACCTAAACGAGCTCTCTTTTGGTGACATCCTTCGGTGCATGACTGTATCCAAGGCGTGTCGCCAATGCAATATTGATTGTCCTACAATTGTCACGCTACAAAACTAATATCTACATTCGAATGGCATAGGATCCTGCGAACTGCGAACAGAATACAACGGGGGTGTGGATCTAGCATGGCACTTGGATGCGTGCTATGTCTTGAACAAGTAAACAACAACGACAATGAGATATTCTAGTAACAACAGCATCAGCAGCGGTAAAACCCACATTTCGTCGCCATGTTGTAAAAGCGAGGGAATAAGGCCTAAAAAAGAAGGCACTACTGTAGGAAGGCTGACTGCAGTAATAATCTTCTTGTAGCTCACATATTAGGAAGACTAAGAACCGCCTACTATGTGGTGCTACATTGTCTCTTTTCACGCAGTCTGATACTCTATCCAGCACTGCTCCATGTTAATCAATGGGCAATGTTGACACTGCCAACATTTGTGAGCGTAATAGAAAGACATTGATGGTGACTGCGCTGTGGGTGATTCTTTATTATCATACGTAACTATGTAACAAGTGATCTTAACAATAAATAGAATCAAGAAGAAATGCGCGAGCAAAAAGATATATAGAATAATTGTAAACAGATGAAGGCGAATATACATACATATCATACCTACATAAATGCAACGAATGAAAGGAATGGAAAAGGGCTCAGTAGATAGAGAGCACCCTTTTTGTGTTGAGGTATGTTTTTCAATACATTCATTACATTGAAAAAGATTTTCGTTGAGGAAGCAAAAAGAAAGAGAAAACATATACGTATGTATAGATAGTACAAGACAGCATATTTACGATAGACAAAACTAGTATAAGGTTTGTGCGTGTGTGTGGTATGTGTGCGCTTTAGGCGAGTTTGTGTAGAGAGTGTAGTGTAATGTAGAGTGTGTCTCTTTTTTTAAGGCAGGGAGAGAAAGGATGTGTATGAAGCCGGATGACCAAAAACGGAAGCTGTTCTTAGTGTATAAAGGCATAATTAAGAGGGGAGTGAATGAAAGGGACGAGAAGAGGTGGTGGTGTGGGGGGGGGAACATTAGTTAAACAAAAAATTATAAAGAATCGTTCTTGAGCTTGTCGATGGGGAACATTTGGTCAATCTTTGATATCCAATCTATCATATCCGCGCGGGAACCGGCTTGTAAAGTATATGCATTGTTGTTGGTATAGAGAGCAAACACATTTGTCCGCTAAAGACGATAGCAATAAAGTGCATTAGCAAATCTGTAGAATATGCGCTAGTTGGAAAACTTGGGTGTTACCTCTATCATTTGTTCCAAGGCACGGTTATAATCTATGCGTACAGAAGATACATTGATAACGCCTTGTTCATCGGTTTCGGTGTGGTTGCTGTATATGTAAATGTAAGGGCGTCGGATGACAAGCCATCGCTTGACCCACTTGTCATGGACTGCGCTCTCTTGGTAAGTTAAATATCCACGCTTAGAAACGTTATCACTAAAACATACATTATTAGTAAAGTTTTCGCGTTAGTCCTTGCTATGTTATCTAGGAAGTAAATATGATATCGGTACCTTTGTGTGACTAGTTTGACTTCGGCGAGCAATTTAGATGAACCACGTAGTTCTTGTCTAGCATCCAAATCTGGCATGCCTGGTATAGGTGGATCCTGACTAATAACAATCTAAAAGCACCTCCAGTCAATATACAGCAAAGTTTTGCATATGTGTAAGAGAGGTCAAATTAAGTATAGCTGTACCTCTTTACGGGAACCGAGCTTCTGCTCCCATAGATCAAGCACGCGTTTAGTCAATGCAGCTTGCTCTTCGGTTAATACGTCAGTATCCACGTGGTTGGATGATTTCACTACTGTAGTTTCGCTCTTGCCATTGATGGCACCATTGCTTGTTTGTGATCGTGCTGCTCGTAAGGTCAAAACTTGAGCCGTAAAAGCAACTTGTTCTTTTCGCCGGATTCGCTCGCGGATATGCTTGTAATCGTTCACCAACGACACACCGCGCGGACGCCACGAACCAAGATACTCTTCTCCACGTACATATTTGGATGCTGTGTTTAGACGCCAAAGTTGGCTGAGACGTCGTGTCATAGGTGGTCGCAAGTTGACCAAAAATATACCACTGCATTTTGGCAATTGCTTGTCCGAGCCCAACAGCTTGCGCAGTCTGCTGCGACCTGTTGAAGAATCGCGTCCTTGGATCTGGACAGCAATGTCCATGCTAAACTGGATGGGTTTGGAGCATTTCTCGGCTTCAACTTCCCATTTGAGGTTCAACAGGATCCGGCTGTTGGTTGCAGTGATACGGTTCAAAAATAGGCATTCGTGCTGAGAACTGTCCCATGCACCTTGGGCTGTCAGGTGGCTGGTGCCGTCGTTGTTGTATACAATATCTTGTTGCGAAAGCAGCTTGATGGGTATATCGTCGTGTGCTGGCGCATCAATGATACGGCCCTTGGGATCGAGCAGCCGTACACGGCCAATGGATGCCTTGACAATACGATTCCACTGAAACTGTCGCCCAGATGTATGCGACAGCGTAAAACAGATACGTCGTTGAAGACCTTGTCGTAGTGTAAATACACCGCGATCCAATGCATTCTGTGCTGTAACGGGCACGGGTATATAGTCGCCATCTGGTGCAAGCTCACAAACTTGGACCCATGTAACAACATCATGACGCTCAGCAGCCAGTAATTCTTCTTCAGAGCGCCGTTCAAGGGAGCTACCGTTTGAGTTGCTGTGGTTCGAATGCATGGACGTTTGATCTGAAGCTATATTCCGTCCATTACTTTCCAAAGAAGTTGACGATCCATTTGCTGTATTATGCTGGCTTGCTGCAAGAAGGTCGGCCAGACGTGGCTTCTCGCGCTGGTCATCCCATCGTTCAAACTGTGACAGCGCACGTGATTGCGCCAGGCCATAAACCTCAAACGAAATCATACCACACTCTAGGACTTCCATGACATTGCGTGTTACGACCAGGGACAAAGTTTGGCTGTGGTCAAGCTGAATCGGACCACTGCCAAAATCGCTCACAGGATCGGTCGCAAAGATCTTTTCCGTGGTCGAATGGGCAGGTATGCCACCAAAGGAAGACAGTTTGAATTGGACATGGGCTTCACTGTATTCGGTCTCGTTCAGCCCGCTCATCTCCAACAGACGCACTTCGAATAGCAGCTGCTGACCCACTTTGAGCGTAAAACCATCGTCGTCCGAGTCATCCAATTCGTTGTCAGACAACGGTTGCCGTGCCTCGGGGCCTTTGATCGCAACAGATCGTGCAATAGGCGATATTAGTACACGCAACTTGCCCTTTATTTGGCCGGTGGAGCGGCATATGATCTCCACGCAGCTCTCGTAGGGCTGTTGCAGCATCAAATTACGGATCGACGTTGCTGCACTGCCGATAAAGGTGTACTTTGGGCATGGCTTTTCGAAAAAAGGATCTTCCAAGTTGAAATGCGAGCGATACATGGGCCTGTCAAAAAAGTTGTATAGACTTCGCATCTTGTGCAACCGAAGCTTGAGTTTCTCCAGAGACCAGACATAGACGACTTGATGCTTACGATCGATCACTCGAACGCCGATGCATGGTTTTGGTGTAGACATGAGCGTCGTGTCTTCGTCCGTTTCGAATTGGTGTAAAGCCGACGTGGTTTCCCAGTACGACATTGGATTGGAAAACTGTCCATCCTCGATAATCGCATATTGATACAGGACGTCTTTGTGGAGTTCGCGCGAAATAATATTGGCTTCTTTAAGCATGACGGCATTTGTCAAGACAACTTCTGCCATTGTGACGTATCGTAGCTGTCGCCATTTTTTGGCAATCTTTTGCATCAGCGCGAATTGTCGTTCGGAATAGCCATTACTGAATTCAGACTGTGAGAATTGTCGAGACATGCGGTTAATTTTGGCCTCGTAGATGCGTTTTTGATTGACGAGCTCTTTCTCAAGCTTCTCCTTCTCGACCTTGTATTTTTCTTCCAACTCGCTTGGCGCAAACGTTGCATCGGTGCATATGCTTTCCAAGCCATCCTCAACCATGGTTGCCGATGTCGAATTGCGGAACGATTCACCGGATGAATCGTCGTCGTCGTTCTCATTTCTGCTTTCGGAACGAGTGCGTCGAGAGTTGCGTATCCGAGTAATATCGTCGTAAAGCTTTTCGAGATCCTCATCCTTCATGCCACCAAAGTTGCTCTCGTTGGCGTAGTAGTTCAAAACTGCCTCACGTCTAGCATAGTTCCAGTCGATCACCTCGGAGCTGATCATACTGGCGCTTTCTGTAGGTGACTCAGGACGTTCGTCATCTTCGGCAGCGTTGTTGTTGCCGCCCATGGCATTCTCAACAGCGACCTTTTGCAATCCTCGTTCGCGTCGCACTTCTTCCGGATGGTTGAAACGGAAGATGTGATAGTCGCCAAGAATGATACGGTAACCGCTACGTAGACGTTGAGGCTCGTAGATCCGCATACCGTTCACCATGGTTACAGATTCCGGGTTCGGGGTGATCGTTACTGTGCCATTGTTGTTTTCAAAAGAGCAGTGTTCGTCGAGAATGTTTGATCCAGAGAGACGAATATCTGGCTGTGCAGAGTTTTCCAGACGCCCAACCTTGGTCACGCCCACCTTGATTTGGTACATGAGACATTCTGACATGAGCGGATCTTCGTTGAGGTTGACCAGATGCGGCATCTTTTTGGGCGCATAAACGCCAACATTATTTTTATGCACAGCAATACCGAGTTCCTCCAGGGCCTTTTCACGCTCTGTGTGGATCTGCTCCGTCTTCTTGAGCTTTTCTTCCCACGTCTCGTTCAAACTTGCCAGAAGCTTTTCTGAGCTCTGGAGTTGATCGACGATCTGCTGTCGGTTCATTTTTTTCTTCATGCCTTTGCTGTCGACGATTTCGATATCGACGTTCGGTTTGTTGAGTGCAGATCGAGACGGTGCTGGCATCGAATGTCGACTGCTTCCTCCGCCGCCGCTTCCACTGCCACCGCCACCACTTTTGTACGCACTGTTTGCAGTGAGTTGCTCGACTTCTTCAGGCGCGTACGTTCGTAATCGATCGCGTAACACTTCCAGTTCATCTTTGAGCTCGCGGATCATCTTGGCGTTTGGATCTTCGTTGACAACGGCCTTGTTCTTGATCTTCTTGGCCTGATCGGCGTATCGAAGCGTACTAAGCGTTTCATCGTAATCGGCTGGCGATATTGCAGCAACCATGGCTGTTTTGGAATTGCCACCTAGTGAATCCTTCAAGAGCCATGTAAGGACCTGTATGGATACGGATGAATAAAGAGCTACATCAGTATCTTGACTTTTCATAGTTGAAAATTAAAAACCGCGTTTTTTTCTTCTTTACCGAATCACGATACGGAATGAAGGCTTCTTTAGATTTGCGTCCTTTTTTGCCCTCGTTCTGGGATTGCTCGGCCAAACCAGCAATGACCTTGCCGAGCGTGGTCAATGATTTATTGATACTTGCACCTTCTTTTAAACGAGCACCAGTAGCGCCGGTGCTGTTGGCGCGTTCGCTTCCTGCTAAATCAACCAGACTTTGCTCCATTTAAATTATTGTTCTAAACGTAAAAATAATCGCTACTCTATACTTTTCATCATTACCTGATACGAGCAACTTTTTCGCCTTCCATCTGTGTTAGTTCGTCTTTACGTTTTTGCGTCAAAAACAGTGTGAACACGGCGTGTGATCTAGATGAGGTTTCGTTCATGTTGGTCGCAGCAACCGTTCTTGCCTATGTATGGCAGGTGTTAATATGATGTTGCACCGCCACTTCTACCCATATATATCGCTCAGAAACAACCAACCTTGTTACCATCATCCATTAGCTGATTGATGTCGTTGAACGAATTCACGGCAGCTCGTGACAAATCTTCGACGTAGGGACCCGTACTCGGATGCTCGCGCACTTTGAGGTTGCCCTTATTTTTCGGACTTAACAAGTCGCGCACTTTTTCGTTGTAAATCTCAATATAGGTAACTTCAACACGGTATGTCACGTTTGGATCCTCATTCCTTTTGATCCTTTCGAAAAGTTCGGAACAAGTACGCGGCGTGATACCGTGATCTTCGCCATAACCCATCTATGATTCCGTTCCATGTTTGAATTATTATTTACACTACATAAGAATGTAAATCTATTTGGGAGGGGTTGCTCCTTATTCCATACCATAGAGTACGACTTTCCTGAACCAGTCTGACCATCTGTTTATAACAACAAACAATAACAAATTTCAGAAAATGCAAAGACCTCAATATCTGCCATTTTCTAATCATTCTTGTGGAAAAAAAAAAGCTTACACGCAAAGATACAGCAGTTGTAACCGTCAAATGCATGATTTAAAAGATCTTCACCCAAATCATCGTAGACCATTTGCTGATCGGCATAATTTGGTGCAGATTTGTCGGCTGACCAATACGACTTGTCAAAGGTAAACGCTTTGTGATCTTCAGAGTCTTTGCCCGTTCGACTATCTGCAGGACGGCTAAGGATCGTTTGGTTGCCTTCCATCCGAATCAAGCCAACTGCACCACGTGCGAGTTCTGAAATACGATCATCAAACAGGCGATCATTTTTAATATATGTCGTAAACGCATGCATTCTCTCTCGCTCTTCTCACTTGACATGTAATTGATAGGGTACCTCTGGAATTTAATGGACGACATCGTACAACGACCTTGATATTTCCTCCACCACTCATATTCTTGGATCAGCGTTTGTGGGGCTTCTTTTTGTAGGTAAATGGTAGCGGTGGTGTTTTAAATAAGATACACGACAGGTCGTAGGCGGACAAAGTTGTTGTGACAATTCTAAATGTATAATAAATTGTTGTTAAGCCGACCGTTAAAAAGCACACAATTCCATTACTAGTCTCGTTTTACTTATTGGGATTTACCGGAAGGGACGAAAGGAAGTTGTTGTCTGATTTCTCGGAATGGCTGTAGTACCAATTTGTGCTTTACGATTTACAGATGACTTGTTAAAGTCACCAATGGATGGGAGAGAGAGAGAAAGCTATATATACAAGAGATATAAATAAATGGATAATAGAGAAGAGAGAGCTGGTGAAAAAAAAGGGTATAAAGCTGAAGAGGCACAGGAGAGATGAGGGTTAGGTCGACTCTTGAATGTATGTCTTCTTTTTTTTGCTTTCGTTCAGGCACCAAATGGTTACAAGCAAGAAGGGGAAGGATCCTCGTCGTTCAGCTTAAAAGAGTATAGCTTTTTCGTCGAATGTTCTCTTTGTTGCTACTCGTCTTCTCCTTTACAAATGGCCAGGCAAAAAGAATTAGCAGAAGAGATGCAGAGCAAAAGGTGCGCCAGGTCCTACCTACCAAACGAAAGTGGCGAAGAAAGCATATAGGCAAGGCGCGGAGTTTCCTGATGTTGAGTGTGTGGTGTTGTGTAGCATAGTGTGTGCTATCCCAAGGGCAGCAAGTGAGTGCAGTTCATCCAAACACACTTATCCCCCCCCCCACCCCCGAGGCATCAGGGCCAATCCCTAAGAAACTTATATCAGCCAGATTTGAATGCATGTTTCGCGATGTTTGGAACATTTTCTTGCCGTCGCAGCTTTTCTTTCAGGGCACTGCTTGGGAAGCATGAAAAAAGTGATCTACACGCGTAGCTGTTTTTAGTCCTCCGACAACGCAGCACACACCAGATGCCGGTGCATACAACAACAACACAGCCAAAGCAGCGCAAGCCATGATCCCGTTTTGCGTGTGTTCCGGTGTTTGTATTAGCCATCAGCCCGACACACGCGCACACCATGCTGCACTGCTCCAAACGATCCTCTGTTTAGCATATATCGCGTACAGCAGCAACCTTGTCTTAACGACGTTCTGGACTCCTGACATGTAAACAATCGGTTTCAATAACACACAACACAACATAATAGCTTCCTTCCCATTCGCTGAAGCTTGACACTTTCTCCCCCCCCTCGCCTTCTACCTCTCTTTTTCTCTTTTTTTCTTTCTTTCTTTCTCTCTTCTCTTCCTCTTTTCTTTCCCCTATCCCATACAAACAAGACTCTTCTTTGTTTGTCTGCGCTTATCCGTAACACATCTCACACTTAAGAAATGCTACAAGAACAGGAAGAACAACAACAACAACAACAACAACATCAAACACCAGACGACGAGTCCAAAAAGGACGACAGTTCATCAATAGCCAAAGAAAGCCCAGCCGTCCGACGTCTTCGAGTAAAGTCAGCAGAGGACTCTTCTGCTACGACTCCGCATATTGATTTCTCCACGCTAACACTCGAAGATGGTACAACCGTGACCACAAGGGAAAGGGTCGTTCGTGGTACGTTTGCTAATAATACTTTCTGACCCGCTCAATACAACCGCAGTATAGAATCTATGCATATTGTGCGTCGGTGGGATATGTAAAGTTTGTACTGACGCACACTGCTCAACCTTTCCGAAATGGATGGATGACAGAGGTGACAGCGCCGGCGGTGGGCGTTCCGTCGCAGGAAAACTTTTGGAGCTCAGAACGGCCAGGCTATCCTGACCTTCAGTTCTTGAAGGAACATTTTTACCGCGAGGGCCGTCTTTCCGAGGAACAAGCCATCTACATCATTAACAAGGGCACCGAAATACTCAAGCAAGAGCCAAACCTCTTACACCTTGCAGCACCTATCACTGGTAAAGCTTCTTTTTCCATTTTGCTGCTAACCTATGATTGCCATGATATGGTTGCCCTGACGATAATGGATGACAATAACAGATGATTGTTGTTGTTGTTATCGCGACGACCGGATGAACCTTGTTTGCTTTGTATGTGTAACCCTGACAGCCATCTTGTTGCTCTTCTAACTAGTATGTGGCGATACCCATGGGCAATACTACGATTTAATGAAGCTGTTCGAAATCGGTGGCGATCCTGCATCAACGCGGTTCCTATTTCTTGGCGACTATGTGGATCGCGGCTACTTTTCAATTGAGGCAGGCAGGGGCAGCAATTTTAAAAAGGGCAAAGAAATATAAGAGCGAGAGTAAAGCTAAAACCTGATTCTATGTTATCCGCATGACCACGACTATAGTGCGTTTTGTATCTGTGGGCACTCAAAATATGGTACCCAAAGTCATTCTTCCTTTTACGCGGTAATCATGAATGCAGACATCTTACCGACTATTTTACTTTTAAAATCGAGTGTAAGTAGTTTCTTTGCTTTTGATTCTGTGAGTTGCAGAGACCTAACAATATTTTTTTTTGGTTCCGTGCAGGTGAGCACAAGTATACCAATCGAGTCTATGATGCATGCATGGAGTCCTTTTGTGCACTTCCGCTTGCAGCAGTGATGAACAAGCAGTTCTTATGTGTTCACGGCGGATTATCGCCGGAATTACACGTTCTAGATGATTTTGCAAAGGCAAGTTGGTGACCTTTAAAGCTTACTTTTTCAAAAAATAAAAGGCACCGTGTCCTAATAAGTTTCCTCTTCTTAAACAGATCAATCGGTTTTGCGAGCCACCAACGCATGGACTCATGTGCGATCTTTTATGGGCTGATCCGATGGAAAACTTTGGCCAAGAAAACACACGCGATCACTTTGTTCATAACCACGTACGTGGATGCTCGTACTTTTACAGGTATTTCAAGTAACCCTACTTACATTGCGCGAGCAATGGCACTCTGATCAACCAGGATCTCTGATATTGAGAATTTACCAATATTCACTTTGTCAGTTATGCTGCTACATGCGCCTTCCTAGAGCGAAACAGTCTTCTTTCTGTTATACGTGCGCATGAGGCACAAGATGCAGGGTAACAAAATAAGATCAAGTATTCTTGTTTCCATTTATAAACTAATATCATCTAACGATTCAAAAAAACATTCACAGTTATCGAATGTATCGAAAGAGTAAAACAACATCATTCCCGGCTGTGATTACGATTTTTTCCGCTCCAAATTATTTGGATGTTTACAATAACAAGGCGGCGGTTCTGAAATACGAAAACGACGTTATGAATATCCGTCAGTTCAATTGCTCGCCACATCCATATTGGCTACCCAACTTTATGGATGTTTTTACCTGGAGTCTACCATTTGTTGGAGAAAAAAGTAAGAGTCCAATGGTTATATTATCCATGTTTCCGCCATATACTTCAATTATCTCATTGCTATGGGCTAAATATGATTCTATGTTCAAAGAAAAACCTAATGAGATCCCCGTTTTTTTTTGCTAACGCTTCATCGTATCACAGTTACCGACATGCTTATTGCCATCCTCAATATCTGCAGTCAAGAAGAACTTGCAAATGAGCAACATAGAAGATCGCTAGACGGGCCAGCAGTTACTAGCACAAATATGACAGAAGAAATGGAAGCGCGTCGTAATAATATTCGAAAGAAAATTCTTGCAGTCGGCAAAATGTCACGTGTCTTTACTGTACTACGCGAGAATTCAGAACAAGTGATGGAACTAAAGAACGTGTCGCCTACGGGTAAAGTACCCCTTGGTACACTGGCATCAGGCGTTGAAGGCATTAAACAAGGTGAATACATCAATATTACTATTTGTCATACAACATTCGATTGGATAACCAAAAATGCCATTTAAATTACCAATACTAAAGAAACCTCAATGAAACTATTTCTTATAGCTATCAACACGTTTGAGGATGCAAGACGTTCGGATATGGAGAACGAGCGCTTGCCACCTACGCGTGAAATGAAGGATGCAATGATGAAGGATGAGACAAGCAACAGAATTCGAGATGCTGTGGAGGAAGAGGATAAAGCTTTGAATAAATTGGCAGATGTCTTGGTTAACGATCCGGATCTGTGTCAAGATGAAGCCATAGTCAAGCCATAAACTTTGTAAAATGTATAACTTTCTTGTCAGTAAAAAAGGCATTCGTTTGCAATATATACACCGTGCGTAATAATTACATCGTGCGTAATCATGCACCTTATACTTATTGAGCAGCTGCCGAGCTCTAGATTAAAAGATCGAGCGGGAGTTCGACACTCCTTCAGCGCCTGGTATAGATTAACCGTCTCAACTCAATAATCCTCGAGAAGTGGTCTTGACTGGAGGAAATTCAGATATTTATCTCTATTGTTCGTTTTAAACTAGTCGCAAAAAGCAGCAATACATAAATTATGTTTTATCGCGTTTTTTAATAAATATTTGATGATAATTTACAATTCATCGCGAACACGACCGGTATCTTGTTTGATTGAAAGTTTGCCTTCAAAAGGCCATGCTTGAATCCTGCCCGTAGCTATCTGGTTGAGCCATTGGCTGACGGCCTTTTCTTCCCACGCACCAATGTAGGGTCTATACAACTGCTTTGCAGGATGCACAAGGAACAAGGTTGGATAATCTGCTGCAAGATCCAGCTTTTCGACAATATTCGACGCTTTGCTAGGATCACTGATGAAGGAATATCGGAATAATTGAGACTTATTATCATCGTTGAGCTTGTTCAACATTTCTTCCGTTTCCTTCTTGTCATCCTCCGTTACAACAGCAACAACACAGATCTTGCCGCTTGCTAAACAGCTTTCCTGAAGCTGACTATCTGAGGTGATTTCTGCCACTATATTTTCCATAAAGAGGGAAAAGTTTTCAGTTAAAGAAAGCTTCTCTTTTCTGTGTATGTGTGCGCTTTTCTGAGATCCATCAGTGACAGGTCATCCACCCATTTACTCACCTATAGGTTTCTCTTCCTTGGGGGCCGGTGGTACTTCAGGCTCAGTAGCTTTCGCCTTTTTGCTAGAAGTCTTCTTTTGCTTGGCAGGAAGAGCATGTTCGTTCAAGAAAGCAGCCAGAGGCTCATGCTTGAGCTTGCCTTGGTATGCAACATGGCCGGCTGTCGGTGATGCAACAAAAAGGGTGGGGAACGAGCTGACGCCATACTCTGTAACCAGATCCTTTTCAGCCTTTTTTACTTCGCCAACTAACATACGGCCGCTGCCACCAAACTCGACCGAAAGAGCCTTGTACAATGGTGAAGTGGCTGCTTTGTCCGTGAACAGCAATGCTTTAGGTAGGGTCGAGTTCTAATGATAGTATTTTAACGAAGCGTGAGCTGGATGTATGTATACATTGTTTCAAGTTAGCAAGGCAAAAACACAATAACTTACGTCGGTACTGAAAAAGTCGTCAATGCTCATGCTCTTTTTGGATTTAGCCTTGCTCGCATCACTTTTGATGAAACGGACATCTGATGGTTGCCATGCCAATAGATAGTCGACAATAGACTTAGCGTCGCGTGCTCCGGGATAATCTATGTAGGGATAAGTCTATGAGATAAGGCTGCTCGTACTATACAGAAATAAAAAAAAAAGACGTTTGTTGTCAGTCGCTCTCATTAGCTCACCTGTAGGTTTCTTAGTCATGACACCCGTTCGCTTGTCTTTCTTAAGCTCTGGACGGAAAACCTTGATCGTAGGGAAGCCCTTGATATCGTATTGTCCGCAGAGAGGCTTGTTACTGTCTTCGTCACAGTTTATGGCACCGAGAACAACCAAACCATCCAAGTTTTTGGCAGCCTTTTTCCAGTCAGGTGCAAGTCTGTATAGAACATGGCTATTAGTATCTATCCACCTTCCCGCTCTGTCTGAAGCACTCGATTTTACCGTTGACAATGACCGCACCAAGGAGCATAGAATTCAACTGCTACTAATTTCTATACATGTATAAAGTAACAAATTAAGCTTCTGTGACGAATGCTAGTCATGTCAACAATCAAACGCGACTCTCTCCCGAAAAAGCAGCAAAGCTATACGTACGTCAGTGTCCATAACAGCATCTTTAAAGTTCTTGGGTGTCAGTTCAACCACAGAATCGCGCGAGCTATAGAAAGCCATCGCAAGGGCTAAATTGACCCATAATAACAGAATGGATTTTGGTGGCATCGAAAACCGTGTATATACAAAAGAGCGGTGCAGAGCAGGTTTTCTTGAAATTGCCTTTACTTGGTCGTGCCTGATTGGTAAATAGTGCTGGGTTTCCTTTTGACGTGTGACAGAGTACGATCAAAATTCCTGCAGACTTTTGTTGCTTTGCTGTACCTTACATGTATTACACAGACATTGATGGGTCATATGCCTATTTACACAATATGAGCTTTGCCACCAGTAACTGCCACAGCAAATACAGAGTGAATGAAAATACATTTCCATGGCGATTAACCCGTTCAGTTTCATGTAACAAAAAGTGACCTACATTGTGCTACTACCAAGAAGAGTCTGGATGGCGAAGACATGTACGCACCAAAACAAAGTAATTACTTTGCCAATATAACGTTAAATCTAAAAATGAACAACAAGACGATGCTTTTTTAAGTACTGTTTAAAAATGATTGCGCGTGGGGTGTGTGCTATGTACACAAAAATAGGAACGATCCGATCCGACGAATAGCAGAAGAAGAAGAGGGCAAGAAAAACAAATGCCAAATTTGGTATGTGCAACACACTCTTCTCTACAGGTGTTGCTAGCATCAAGCATGTTCTTGTCTTGTTAGTGCTGTTGTTGTGTACACCGTTTATATACGGTTACCGTCTCCCAAAAATAACATATACTGCTCGAAACGACTGCCTTCTTCTCTTCTTTCTTTCTACTCATAAAGTAACATTTTCATTGTATTTTTGTATTCTACTTTTACTATCACACACATACGACAAGCAGATCACAGCATACACATATACACCACTCTGAACGATGCGCTTGATCTACACTATACTACTGATTTTCCTTATCATTGGCACTTTTATTGCTCCTCGTCATCATACTACATCGGCAGCACCGGTGGAGGTCGATGTCGTTTTCGACAAACGTGGGGTACAAGACTTTCACAACACTACTCCAACCCCAACATCATCATCGTCTTGTCATCAGAGAGACAACAACGACAATAAAAAGCGCGACCTACTTGCTGCTCGCGCTAATACCGATGATGATAATAACGACAATAACAGTGATGATGACTGCCCAACAGAAACTACTACAGCTACTGAAACAGCTACAGAGACATCATCTTCAGAAGATTATTCCGATGCTCCAGGTTCGAAGATTTTCCTCGTATAGTTTTTATGGCAACAAAAATTTTAAGCTGATAATATATGTATGTAGAGGCCATTTACGGCGAGGACTGGGTGACACCGCAGATGGGCGTCGCTGGCGCAGTGCTCATTGTCCTTGGGCTTTATTTGATGGTGTTTGGTTTTCGTTGCTTCCGTCCGACACTAGCTGTCGCTGGCTTCCTTACATTTGGTAACGTTCTCTCGCCACTTGCTATTGAGTACATAGATGTTGTTCATAGACTTGTCATATACTCAATACAAAAGCAAAACATGCTCCAAATACTCGATATAGGTCTCATTACATGGGTGGGCATGACCAACAGCCAGTCTGCAAATGGTTTTACGAATGATGCCATCACCATGCTCGCTGTTCCTGCAGGTCTAGGTGTTCTCGGAGCCATCCTCTACTCATTCCTTTGGAATGTATCCATTTATCTTGTCGGTGGTAAGTTCTCTCTCGACTTGATAGAACCTGTTGCTTCGAACATTACTTGTATACACATACAAATGTTTACTTGTAATCATTTTAGGTATGGGAGGCCTTGCTTTTGGCTTGTTCATCCTCTGCTGGCGCGAAGATTTGGTTATCACTCAGGTAAGCACAAAACTTCATCTGCTTCTTCTGTTACAGTGTTTATTTATGTATTAGTACAAAATACTAACATGTTGCGAACTCTATTCCTCGAAACATACATGTAATAGAACGTGCCACGAGCTTGTTTCCTTGTCGCCATCTCACTTTTCTTTGCAGCCATCACATTTTTTGGCGAGCGCTATGTTGTCCTCTTTGCTACGTCTTTTACTGGCGCCTATATTTTCATTGTCGGCATTGATTTCCTCACCCATACCGGATATATCGCTGGAGTTAAATCCGTCCTGGATCAAAACCCGTTGCATCGAGTCAAATACACCATTGATCGAAAGGTGTATGGCATGATGGCTGTCATCATTGTCCTGTTCCTAATTTCCTTTGGCTGGCAGTTCTTCTACAACCGCGGCCGAGACTTCGGCGTGAATGTTGAACCAGTCAAGAAAGGTGCAGACGGTGGTGAAAGCGGTGGGCCGGCTGGTGGAAGCGAACCTAGTGGTGGCGGAGGCGGTAATGACGCCGGGAGCGGTGGCGGCGAGAAGACAGAAGGCTAGAAACCTTTTCTCTTTCATCTCCCTTGCGTTTCTTTCTCTCTCATACCAGCTTTCTCAAAAAACATGCATTGATTCATCGTCTTTTTTTTAAATGTATACCTTTTTTTCCCTTTTTTATGTAACAAAGCATTTTCTTATCAACAACGATTGACTGTAAAACAGATAACTTTTGGCATAGCGCACTTTTACTGAGATAGTTGTTCAAATGAGGTAACAATCTTGAAGTCTTTGCTTTCGGGACCAAGAGGCGCATTCCCCGGTCGCTCCGAGATCACCGCCTGATACTTTGCTTGTTTTGCTGCCTGGATTTCTATACAATCACATCGTAGAGTCAGCACACGTGGAGCATCTACAATGTCTGATTCCTCTATCTGCTATTATATATTGTAGCTCGTCATCTTGTGGTTTACCTTTGATATTATCGCTCACAAACAGAATGCGTGATGGATCCTTGCCAATTTCTTGTGCAATCTTTTCGTACGAAGCAGCTTCCACCTTCAATCCAATAGCAGTATCGAAGTATCCTGAAAAGTACTAGTAATAATAGAAGCATTTTTCCAGCTTTAGCTCTTGCAAAATAACTCCCAACATTTCGTTCTCAAGATCATACCTTGGATAGATCGCCTTTGTCAGAATACCCAACAATGAGTTTTTGTGCAGGTACGCTGCCGGATGAATAGATGTAAATAGGCTTGCCAGCTGCTCGCCACTGATCTAAAAGAGGGACAACATCCGCATAGATCCTTTGTTTTGAGTTAAGAAAGGTTAGCATTTAGGACACGATAACTTGGCCCCTTTCAAGAAAAAGTATCCCATGTAGACTACTTACTCGCCACAGAGTTCACCCGTACTGTATCCATCCTTCCACATGAATCCCTGGAATGCCTTGAGGGCGCCATTCTTGCGATCAGCTGCCATTTGCCATTCAATATTTTTCTTGATAGCTGCTTTGATCTCTTCCGGCTTTCTGCGGATCGTGCGTGTGCATATAGGAGAGAGTATGAATAAACCTTTCTTTATCTAAAAAGAAACGAGTACTTTTGCTAGGATAGCTGCATACGCTAATTGTTTTTTTCTTCGTACCCTTCTTTAGGAATGACAACAGCTTCGGCTTCACCACCACCAACATCTTTTTGAGCCTACGAATATACAATACACAGTTTGAGTTCCTTCGTTTTGACGTGACCCCTGAGTAGTTTCTGCGGTACCAAAAAAAAATGCTTATTATCATACCTGCTCTCTCAACAGTTCAACATATGATTCGAGATCAGTGGATCCCCAGTTACGATCGAGGAACGCGTCTAATCCTTTAAGGACATAGGGAAACTATCATTTAAACAATGTCCCAAGTTCTCAGCTTCAAAGTTCCTCTCTTTTGGAAAACACGAAACTTTTGCCGGTAAGTGAAGAACGCGAGAGAAAAAAAAATACCAGTGTATCTTTGACAAATGTAATGGGAGTAATGGTGCCTTCAATGTCGAGAACAACTGTGTCGTAGTCCATGGTGGCAAGTTTTCTGTTACGTCAAAAAGATATGGTTGTGTCAAACATGACCGAATTTCCCGAATTTAAATCTGCGTCGTTTCAACTTATTGCTACAGCTGGAAAAAGCATTTAGTTTTAGTCTTAGCTATTGGAAAATATGATCTGTCGAAAGTGGAAGAGTCTCTTCCTGATGTTAATAGTAAGCACTTCGAAAGGCCGCATTATGGACTTATCAACCCATACACAACGCACCAGCAAGTGCATAATAACTTATAGTTTATTGCTACCTTGATGATCAACGTCATGTGTATATGTCTCGTATCATTCCGTGAATTTTGGAGCACTCTGCCATTCCTTTACATATTTCTCTTCCCTTTAAAGGCACACAGGTCATTTTCCGTTTACGCATTTACACTGGCAATCAATTAAGTAGGAATGCTAGAAGCTTTTAGCATATCTACAATATAAGATGTAATCTGTTCGAAAGAGATTTATGCTGCATATTACCATCGATACAATAAGAAAATCCTCCCCCAGTAATCGTAAGCGATTACAAAGGTGTCTTTATTGAGGAAATATGAGTGGAAAGTCAAAGTTGTGAACCAATCGGTACGAGAGGGCGATGTAATAAGAGTTAATGCCACTCTTATCGCTTTGTTCAGACAATGCAAGTGAGCATGCTTGCATATTCGTCGGATTGATACGATCTCCTGGTCGCATTTGATAGCCTTACCGATGGCCAGAAGATACGGATAAGCCAGTTCGAGGATAGAAATTACCTGAGCGGTCCAAACACTTTTTAGATATGCGAAACGGCGCTCGATCGGTTTTGTTAATGTAAGAATCAGTTTTTGCCTACACGTCCATGACCAAGAGTTGATATGGAAAAATGGGAGATATGGCTATGCCTTTATCGTGTACGTTTATACTTTCAATGATGCTGACTGTTGTTACAGCAGGTTTCGACTTCCGGCTCTTCGCAGCAACGTTCTTCTTGACACGCTCCCGGTCTTTACCCCATCTCGCGACATTGGTGGCCTTGGGAGTATTTGTATCCTTATTCAGCGCCTCCAAGGTCTTACGCTGCTTAGCCTCGTCGTACGTCGTGTTACCGGTATATCATTTGTATTTGGCGCAGTTTCCAAGTTGATGACGATCGCATTGAGGGACTTGTAGTCGTTGCCTCCAGTCGCAGTTGTTGAGATAATTTCGTATGCATCGCTGAATTTGCAGTTCTATTTTTTCATCTCGCACGTCCAGGCGAATGTGTCACATTAGGCAGTAATGATACGATACTGACTATCAGTTTGACACAAACATTTTTAATACGTTACTTTTTCACACCAAAGTTGTTGCTTTGACACAGAGGTTGCTGCGAAACTGTGGAACTGCCGGAACTGCGGAACATTGTTCCGCAGTTTTGACCATAAAGCCTAGTTTGGTGTAGGTGGCTTGTAGGCACGATCTGTGCTGAAAAAAGCGGGCGGGCCGTATAAAAACACACCTCCTTTTGTCTCCTCCACTGCCAACGAATTTACGAAATGGGAAAAAAGAAAGGCTCAAAGCAAAAGAAAAACGACGATTACTGGTAGGAATTCAAAATTTTAATTTCAAGCATTTTTTTTTGTGTGCTAATCTTTTCCTTCTAACATTTTACTTATCAAACGCGTCTGTTATACAGGGACGAAGAGTTTGAACAGGAAGCTGTCGCGACGGGTGCTGCCCAGCCCGAAGAGGATGGCGAAGCCTTAGAAAAGCGTACTGCTGCTTTTGACGCTTTGGCCGAACTTAATGACGATGACGATGGGTAAAGCTATCTTATTGTCTTACCTGCCTTGCTTTTTGGGGAGGTTGTGCTAACATAACAATTAATGTACTTTACATTTAGACTTATGGCCATGGTCAGCAAAGCTGCAAAGACTAAGGCAAAGAAGAACAAAAAGAAGAATAAGCAGGCCGAGCCTGAATACGAAGAGGACTTTGCTGCCGCAGTAGAGGAAGAAGAAGAGCCTAAACCAGAGCCGGCACCACAACCTGCTTCGAAGAAGGGTAAAAAGAACAAAAAGAATAAGCAGCAAGCTGAACCCGAGTACGCAGAAGATTTCGACGAATTGCTTGATGAAGAGCCAGAGCCAGAGCCCGTTCCTGAGCCTACATCGAAGAAGGGTAAAAAGAACAAAAAGAACAAGCAGGCCGAACCTGAGTACGAGGAAGATTTCGCCGTCGAAGAGGAGGAGGAACAAGAGCCTGCACCTGCTGCCGCAGCTGAAGATGACGCTGACGACTTTGACGACGATTGGTCGAACGATAGCAAAAATAAAAAGAACAACAAAAAGCAACAAAAGGAGCCCGAGCCTGAAGCCGAGGAGCCTAAGCGTGTCTTGTCCAAAAAGGAAAAGGAGCGTTTAAAGAAGGAACGACAAAAGGAAGCCAAGCGTCTGGCCAATCTCGAAAAGAAGAAGCAAGAGACTCCTGCGAAGAAGGATGAACCAGCATCAAAGGCACCTGAGCCAGTATCCGCTCCTACACCTCCTCCCGCCGCCGCTGCTGCTGCTGCTGCTGGTGGCAAGAAGGGCAAGAAGGGTCCTGCTGGCGTTGCGGCTTTGAGAGTATGTTTTTGCTATTCATACGATGGTCTATTGCTAAGATTTGTGTGACTCAATTCTTATTGCCGATTAGAAAATGCTGGAAGCCCAAAAGGCTGCTGAAGAAGAAGCCAAGCGCAAGGAAGAAGAAGAACGTAAGATTAGAGAAGAAGAAGAACGACTTGAAGCCGAGGAGGAAGAGCGTAGAGCCGAAGCTAAGCGTCTCAGGAAGGAAAGAGAAGCTGTAAGTACCTACATTTTTGCACACCTTTCAACCTGGGATTGCTGGATTATCCTAATATAAAAAATTCGCTGCTGTTTCTGTAGGCCAAGAAGGAACAATTGCGCAAGGAAGGCAAGCTTCTGACCAAGGCACAAAAGGAAGCGCAACGAAAGGCACAGCTTCGTCACGAGCAAATGCTGGCATCTGGCCAAGTCCAAGTTGCAGCTCTTCAGGGTGATGCAGGCGAAGGACCCAAGAAGAAGCCTGTGTACACTGTGAAGAAGAAGAAGAAACCCAACAAGGAAGAAATTGAGCGCAAGAAGCGTGAGGAAGAAGAAAAGAAACGTCAGGAGGAAGAGGAGGCACGAAGAAAGGCCGAAGAAGAGGCTAAGAAGAAGCAAGAAGAGGAGAAAGAAGAAGAAGAATGTAAGTTTGCTTCTCATATTTTCACTGCTGTGTTTGATGAATGGGGTACTCAACAACTTGGAAATGACGTGTATACTGACAATCTTTCACCCATTACAGCTGATGATGATGACTGGGAGAAGGCTGCTGATAGCACTGACGAAGAAGGAGCCAAATCCGATGAAAATATCAAGGATGACTGGGAAGAGGATAGTGAAGAGGACGAGGATAAGGAAGAAGGAAAGGCTCCTGCAAAGAAGGATGCAGCTCCCACCAAGAAGGCAGCACCCAAGAAGGAAGAGAGCGACTCTGAAGATTCTGACGACGAGAGCTGGGATGACAGCGATGAAGACAGTGACGAAGATTTGTCTCCCACTCAACGTGCTGCCTTGCAGCGCAAGGAGGAGGCTGCTGCTCGTCGCGCCCAGCGACAGAAGGATGCCCTTGCAGCCCGTTCGAAGGACGATCTCCGATCACCTATCTGCTGTATTCTTGGTCACGTCGATACTGGTAAGGCTTTTTTATCTTCTTTATGCCATCTGGGGGGGAGTTCGGATGGTAATGGTTGTGCATATAGAAAATGGATGCTGATCGATTTAATCGTGAAAAGGTAAAACAAAGCTTCTTGACAAGATTCGTCAAACGAACGTGCAGGAAGGTGAAGCTGGTGGTATTACGCAGCAGATTGGTGCCACTTACTTCCCTGCCGATGCCATTGCACAGAAGACGGCTGTCTTGGGCAAGGATCGTGTCGAAGAGCTCAAGGTTCCTGGTTTGCTTGTCATTGACACACCAGGTCACGAGTCCTTCACCAACCTGAGAAGCAGAGGTAGCTCGCTGTGTAACATTGCCATTTTGGTCGTCGATATCATGCACGGTCTCGAACAGCAGACGCTCGAATCGATTCGTTTGTTGCGTGACCGCAAGACGCCTTTCATTGTCGCCTTGAACAAGATCGATCGTCTCTTCCAGTGGAAGGCGATTCCCAACAACTCGTTCCAAGCTTCGCTTGCCAAGCAAAAGAAGTCTGTCCAACAAGAATTCGAGACTCGTTTGGAAAAGACCATGCTGCTGTTTGCCGAGCAAGGTCTTAACGCCGCTCTCTACTACAAGAATCCTAACGTTGCCAAGTACGTTTCGCTCGTGCCCACCTCTGCTGTCACCGGTGAAGGTGTGCCCGATATGTTGAATTTGTTGGTCAACTTGACCCAGACCCGTATGAGCAACCAGCTGATGTATGTCACTGAGCTCGAATGTACCGTCTTGGAAGTCAAGGTCATTGAAGGCTTGGGTACCACCATCGATGTCGTCCTTGTCAACGGCTGGTTGCACGAAGGTGACAAGATTGTTGTGTGCGGCTTGAACGGCCCCATTGTCACTCAGGTCCGTGCTCTGTTGACACCCCAGCCTATGCGAGAATTGCGTATTAAGTCTCAGTACGTCCATCACAAGTCCGTGAAGGCCGCCTTGGGTGTCAAGATTTCTGCCCCCGATCTCGAAAAGGCTATTGCTGGTTCGCGTTTGCTTGTTGTCGGTCCTGAAGACGATGAAGATGATTTGAAGGAAGAGGTCATGTCCGATCTTACCAATTTGATGAGCACGATCAACCGTCAAGGTCGTGGTGTGTGGGTACAAGCTTCCACACTTGGTTCGCTCGAAGCCCTTTTGGAATTTTTGCGTGTCAGCAACATTCCTGTTTCAGGCATCAACATTGGTCCTGTGCACAGAAAGGATGTCATCAAGGCTAGTGTCATGGTCGAAAAGGCCAAGGAGTATGCCGTAATGCTCTGCTTCGACGTCAAGGTTGAGAAGGAAGCTGAAGAAATGGCTGAAGATCTCGGTATGAAGATTTTCAAGGCCGACATCATCTACCATTTGTTCGATCGCTTCGTAGAGTACAGCAACACCATGATGGAAACCAAGCGAAAGGAACAAGCTGGCCAGGCCGTGTTCCCCTGTGTCCTCAAGATGGTTCCTGGTGCTATCTTCATGAAGAAGAACCCTATCGTCATGGGTGTCGACATTGTGGAGGGTCAATTGCGCATTGGTACGCCTATTTGCGTTGTCCGACCTAATGCAGAAGGTGTGCGTGAAGTGGTCCGCATTGGTAAAGTCACGTCTATCGAGAAGGACCACAAGTCATTGGACGTGGTCAGAAAGGGCTCGGCCGGTGCTGGTGTCGCTATCAAGATTGAACAGCCAGTACACGAGAACCCATTGACGTACGGCCGTCATTTTGACGATACGGACGAATACTACAGTAAAATCTCCCGCCAGTCTATTGACATTCTCAAGGAGTCGTTCAGAAAGGATATGTCCAAGGAAGATTGGGCACTCGTTGTGAAGCTCAAGAAGATTCTGGGCGTAGATTAAACTAATGTTATTTTCCCCACCTTATCATTCCACTTACCACACACTCGTATTAAAAAGGCATTACACACACACCACACACACACACACACGCTCAACACTCCAGTTACAGTCCATACCAAATCTATCATTGTCTCTCGCCCACTTTCTTCACTGCATTAAACACGAAGTTTTTTGTTGTTTCTTATTAAAATATATAGTAACTATTTACAAATTCAAGATGCAAAGCGGGAAACAGTAAAGGTAGAGAATGGGTCGCGATGAGGTAGAAAAATATAAGGACTAGCGCTGCTGCTGTTGCTCCTGGAATTCGGATTTATATTCCTCGTTGGATATGAGTTTGACTATAGACTTGTTGGGGTTGGTATCATCCCGACGCATCACAAGTGTGCCGCTGATGGGAATACCCCGAGGTGGTCCAACTGTGTCGGCTGAAGATTCTGATGCCTTGATCCGGGTTTTTGCATCCGCTACGAGGAACGATCTGAGTAATTCGGTGCTGACGGTTGCTTGCATAGATAAGCGCGTCTTGATACTGATGCTGACACCGTTGGGCGGATTGAAACAGGGGATATCCATCTCCTTCTCGATCTTGCCTTTAAGAAAATCCATGCTCCCCTTTTCTCCGTGAACAAGTACGACGTTACGAGGCTCACAGTGACGAATCAGTTGCATGATACCCTTGGCATCGGCATGAGCACTGAATGACAGGTTACGAACTTGTAGATTGACGTGCACTTTGGTAAACTTATCGACTTCAATAACCTTTTGACGTTGTAGAACCTTGGCACCGACTGTCCCAGCAGAGCAATAACCCGGTAAGATGACCATGTTCTTTGAATCTGGCGCCCATCGCTTGAATATATCGAGGGAAGTCCCCAAATTGAGCATGCCTGGCGCTGCAAACACCACCATGGGACCCTTGTGGTCGAGCAGTGTCCGATTCCAGGTCTGGATGTGCTTAAAATCAAACATGTTGCGCTCCACAAATGTAGATTTCACTTTTTGGTTTGTCCAGTTGATAAAAAGCTTATAATAATCGTTGGCACGTTCTGTCAGGCCAGCAGAATGATACACGGGGACTTGGAGCCCCATGCGTTCCCAATACGATTCAATCAATATACACAGTTCTTGGGCACGACCCAGCGCAAATACTGGAATAAGCACATTGCCTCCATTGGCTACACAGTCGTGCACCTTTTTCAAAAAGTCACGTTCGCGAGCTCGTTTCGAGTCACGGATCGTTGTGCCGTACGTGCTTTCGGTGATCAAGACGTCGGGCCGTACTTTATCAATCCACGCCGAGCCCAGATGTCGATCTGGTGTCATATTGTAGTCGCCCGTATACACTACAGATTCGTTGCCGACGCGCACGTAGAACATGGCTGCACCAAGCACGTGCCCCGCATAGTAAGCCTTTATCTCAATATCGTCGTCGACCCGGATGGTTTCGTGTAAATTGATAGGGACAACCTTCTTCATGCAGTCTTTGATCATGTACGATGTGAAGAAATTTGTTTCGCCTTTTCGCTCAACTGTGATTTTTCGATAATCTTCGAGTAAAATAGGACAGATAGCTTTTGTTGGATGTGTCATATAGATGGGTCCGTCGTAGCCACACATTTCGGTGAAGAAGGGCAAGGCGCCACAGTGGTCGAGGTGAAAGTGAGTGATAATGACGGCGTCCAAGATTTCAGTGAATCGTCCCGTTTTCGAGATATATGTAAAGTCTGGAAATCGTCGCGCGTCATTGTAGCCCATATGCATACCTATATAAAAACAAATTACGTACGATTCAGCTCTCTTTGCCACTTTTTTGACAAGATCGACCAATGCTTCAATGCAGTACATACCGCAATCAAACATTATGTTTTTTCCCTTGATCGTGACCAGCACGCAGCTTCTACCGACATCTTGACCTAATAGTCTTGAAGTCAGTGTTTATGTCACTTTTAAAAAAAAGTGTGTTATGCCTTTTTCTTTGCAAACCTGCTCCTAATGGTACAACTTGAATGGACATTGTCGTTGGGGAATTGGGAGAAAGGAACAAGGAACGGACATTTTGCTGCGCTGAATTAAATCTTTGATAGCCGGTCGTTGGCTACATAGTAGTGTGGCAGACAAACAATAGTCACTGTCATGAAAATGATTATTTTATTACACTTTTTTAACTAACAGCTGTGATGTCCGTAACCTAACTATCAGTGCTATTACTATGGAAAGAATATATGCCATTCCTGAAAAAACTTTCAAAGCAAGGAATGGTGTCTGGCTTATTCCTTCAAGGGCAGTTGCGACGACAGGACCAATAATAATGAATACATAAGCTAGCATTCTGAAGCTTGTTGCTGCTGCATAATTTTCCATTCCTACAATAGCCAACGTAATAGGAGAGCCTACATACAGAAAGTGCAGACATCAAAAAGTTACAACCGCCATACAGCGTTACAATTGTTGCTATCATATAACCAAGAAACAGCATTTGTTTCCAAGCACGACTCTGTATAGATATAAATTTTGTTTACCTAAAACAAATGGTGCTCCGCAGAAGAATCCAGTCAAAAATGCGAATGTGTATAATGCTGGCATACTGAATGCGAGCATCCAGTTGACGAAAATCAGAACAGCTGTTATCGATGTGACAAGTATATACGTGTTCAGGTTTCCTAATCGATCAGCTACAAAGCTAAGTGCTTACTATGTAAGTATAGTTTTTGCATATATACAGCGAACACGTATTACTACACTTCACGTACCCAATTGTGATGCGGCCGATGAGACCTCCGCTAGAGAATAACGTAACTGTCGCGGATCCGATGTATCCCGAAAGACCAATGTGTGTTGCATATGCTATAATTTCATCGTATTATATATGAGAGAACGCTCATCTACTGCATCACATACTTTTAAGTCACGCTTACTAGGTAAAAAGGCAAATACGATATAAAATCCCCAACCAGTAACTGGTCCAATTAATGTCCACAGCAGTAACGACTTATTTTTGAGTATGCCAGTATGCAAGTTCAATCCTTGTTTCTTATTGCTTTGAGCTAAAGTAGCAGGTCTTTCTTTGATGAGTAAAACAGCGGTCGTGTTGGTTACAAAAAATAGCAGAGCCAGAATCCGATACATCCTATGATGATAGCACAAGTTAATTTAGGCAAATGGCTTGTTGTGATTTAAGTGTTGTCGATTCCTCATACATATTTTCCATGCTTATATCCCATCCTGTGTCTCTAAAAGCGGGAGCGAATTCACTTACCAAGTAATGCCGAGTATGTTAACGGTGTAAGTTATCAAAAAAGGAATGAACAGTCCAGGCAGGGAAATGGCGCTCGCATGTAGCCCGAATACTGTACTTCGGTTTTTGACGAACCATTGTGGTATTACATGAATAATGGCCTATTTGTTGGAATATGGCGTCGAATGTTTCCCATGCATAGCTGAAGATGGTAAGTACCACTCGCGTACAGATACAGTACAGCACAAGCATGATGAATTAAACAAAGAAGTTTCAATGTTTAAGAGAAACAAAAAGAGTTGCAAAGAATATACTTACCCCATATATTATCGAAGCGCCAATTCCAATACAGAGAGAAAAAGATAGGTATAGATGCCATACCTATACAATAGTATTAGGTAATATTGTATTTATTATTCAGTGTACCACAATAGTACCTCATTCTTACAATACTAACATGTGTCGCCTGGCCTGATAGAACAAAGCCAACAGATATCATAATCGTTGCACCCGACAGTAGCAATCGCATACCGACAAAAGGGAGCAAAATAGTAGTCAGAAAAATGCAGCTATATGTGATTGCGTTAAACAGTACACCGATGAACGACAGCTGCACCAATATGTTGGGATCCGACGAAAAGAACTGTTTTTTGAGATAAACGTCTTGCACTACCCCTTCAATAAGTAGAAGCGATATAATAGAAAAAAATAGAGCAATGTATGTAGTACATTTACATGTATCAGCAAGAAGAACTCAGAAGTGTTTTTCATTTCGATAAATCGAGTAAAGCAATATTCACCCCTAGTTGTTTATATATGTATAATAATGATTTAGCATATGATTAAAAGTAAAGAAACAAAGTATAGATCTTGGACGATAATACATACCATGTCGATGGGATACCAACGTTGAGGGACGCAGAAATACAACCGACTGCGATGATCCATGCATAGCCACCATCGATATTAGTTGACATTGAGGATAAATCAGCTGCGCCAGTCGCAGTAGGCTGCTGCTTCTGTTCCTTGAAATCAAAAGATGATGCAGGTGATGTAGACGACTGGCCCATATTTAAAAGGTCGTCCCGTTGTATTGCTATGGCACCATCAGTTTCAGTAACCGAGACGTAGTTGTCTCTGGAAAATTTCCTAGAGTCATAATGACCATGCTCAACGGATCCGATGTTCACCCTACATATTACACAGCCCAATTGGTTATACTTTCTTTCTCTGGCAATAGATACGCTCCAGGAGGTTTTCTCACATATGCGCCTTGAGGGTTAAGTCAAAGAAGGCCAAAATAAAAAGAAAAGGAGCATGAAAGATAAACAGTGCACATATACTTTATATTTTATGAGCATCCACGGTCCTCTAGTCGGAAGTCGGCTTGATCTTTTCGAATGATAAAAATGTACATCGTAGTTTTGCACGGCGAAAAAAATATGCATAACCATGCATTACATACAGGTCCTTAAATGATACGTAAAGCCTACTACTCCTAATTTTTTAATTTGCCAAACCTAGCATTATTAAGAATTTTATGTTGTTAAAAGTAGTATACTGTAGCTTTGATTTGAGAGCATGCAGAGAACATGCAAAGATGTGAAGATGTGCTTGGCGTGCTAGGTATAAAAATCGACATCGCTTTTATATCGTATTATACCGCAATTCGTAGCCGCAGTAGCTTCATTTCACCACACCTTATTTTAGCCTCTCCAATTTCAAACTCTCTCGCACCCTCATTGAGCTGTTCACCGATGCCTCACGGCAAGTGCTTTCGCCGACTTAGTAAATGCTTCAACCGCATTAGCAAATGCTTTTGCCGCATTGGCAAGAGCTTTCATTTATTTTCACAAAAACATTGGGAATTTCAAGCTTGAAATTAACGGGTGACCACTGTGCTTTTGCTTAGATTATACCAGAACATGTAAGAGTTGCATCTTTTTAAAATAAGGAGTATATATAAATCTTGACTTGGTCAATTCGTAGCCGCTCTTTCCTTCCAACCTCACAATTTTTGCTCAATAGAAATCCGCTGCTTTATGTTTGTCGAGAGCTCACTGTAAGATCTGTAAATTAAAAAAGTGATGCATGGGTGGCCAAGCTTTAAGCCATGACTTCAAATGCTGTCAAGTTTTGTCGTCTACTACTAGCAGTGCCTGATCGCTAGTGTATTAATACTTTTCAGGTTGAAAATATATTTGCATCTACAGAATTTCAAATATGATGACAATATCTTCTGACCAGTTGAAAGCAAACATGCACATACTTTATAGCGTATACTGTACAGTGGACCTCCAGTTTTGCAACTCTCGGCAAATGCAATCTCTACATTTTTTGCAGCGGGTTTTTTGGCATATCAAAAGAAAAAAAAACATCAACTTGCAGCTTGCAACATCTGTTTTGTAGGGAAAAATTTTTACTGATCTGCAACAAACATATATCAAAAGGAGGATAATTGAAGCCAATACAAAATAGGTTCTGGCATTCAAGGGTGTATTGCTCTCACAATATACTACATGGAAAATATCAGAGTACATTATTTGTAGATAATGTACTGACATTAAACATGGTAGTTTTATAATATTGAATCAGTTCATAACTTCCAGAGCATTTTTCCTCATCCAGAAGGTGACCGTTCGTTTATTGAGTATATATCGATACATTTTTTTGTGCAAAAGACGATGCATGCGTTTCCATTTCAGACGTGTGTTGTAATACTTGGATTACATTGAGATGATTAATAAGAGACAAAGCAGTCGAGCACTACGCATAATCTGATTGCTTCTTCCACCAACCAAAGGGCATCCCTTTCTTTTCATGACTGAGATAACGATACCACACCGTGTAGCGAGCAGTGGTTTCGACACACAGACACATTAAAATCATATTCCGTTCCAAAAAAAAAAAGATTATGATTGCTTCTTGGTTGATTCGCTCTATTCCCTTTACTATTCCTGCCCATCTACCATTATCAGTAAAGAGTATAAAAGAACAACGGAAATTGGCAACCTGCCCCCAAGAAAGTTATGTGATTGGTTAATTAATGGTTGTTATGATAATTAAGAAACACCCACAGCGCAGTCACCATCAGGGTATTTTCATCACGCTCACAGACATTGCCCATTGATTAACATGGAGCAGTGGATAGAGTATCAGACTGCGTGAAAAGAGACAATGTAGCACCACATAGTAGGCGGTTCTTAGTCTTCCTAATATGTGAGCTACAAGAAGATTATTACTGCAGTCAGCCTTCCTACAGTAGTGCCTTCTTTTTTAGGCCTTATTCCATCGCTTTTACAACATGGCGACGAAATGTGGGTTTTACCGCTGCTGGTGCTGTTGTTACTAGAATATCTCATTGTCGTTGTTGTTTACTTGTTCAAGACATAGCACGCATCCAAGTGCCATGCTAGATCCACACCCCCGTTGTATTCTGTTCGCAGTTCGCAGGATCCTATGCCATTCGAATGTAGATATTAGTTTTGTAGCGTGACAATTGTAGGACAATCAATATTGCATTGGCGACACGCCTTGGATACAGTCATGCACCGAAGGATGTCACCAAAAGAGAGCTCGTTTAGGATCACGGTGAGCACATCGGAAGGTTGTACTTTCATCATGTTCTTACGCTTTTCAAGCATATGGTGAGCTTCATTGGAGAGGTAGAATAATGTGTCTGTCAGCACCGTAATTCAGAACCCTGCGCATATCGCTATTGCTTTCTTAAATCTCTGTTGTCTGATAAAAAATACGTGCGGCGATACCATATGTCCTCAAATAGCCGGGGAAGTTGTCGACAAAGAATAAGGCATCACTATACACCTTAGTGACTTCGCCCTGTTGCGCGTATGCTTTGACGCGGACTGCCAGGAACTACACTAAATATCTGTGTAGCTGAGCGAGTGCTGAGGTAGATTCATGAACTTCTGTCGCGAGATTGCGTGCTTGGAGGGTTTCGCTTTGATTTATGCAAAGTGTCTTCCAGTGAAGCCAGCGTTGACAACTCGGTCGCAGAGTCCATGTGGGGATCATGAGTTGTGACGATTCCACCAGTACGCCGTTGGCAAGTACATTGTCTTGGGCAACAGCGAGAACAGGCCATACTATTATATCAACGACTTTTAGCTGTCACTTATGCCTCCGTTGCCATCGCAAACGTCTATTACATCAAAGCGACAAAAGGTCGCGCGATACACGCTATTAAAAAAACGTAAAGGTTACAGATGGAAGAGCTATTTTATTGATTCAAAGAATATAAGAAAAATAACAAAGGTCAAAAAAGTGTCTAGCTGAAGAAAAAGAAGAAGGCATTGGCAGTTCTCTCGTCCATTAGTTTGACAATGAACGAGAAAGAAGGAGGTTGAGAAAAGGCACAAAGCACCTTTCAACCTCCATGTCCACCACAGCCTCAGTCCCAGCTCGAAGCTGGAACCTACACCGCCAATCCTTCCAGCAAGCCTTCAGGAATGACACCAATGCCAATGCCTTTTCCGTCAATTCCTTATTCCCTCAGTCCCTCAAGCGTTATTTCAGGACTATCTGACAGACACACCATACTCCGGAGAGTACGGCACGTCCAGGCTACAACAGACACGCTTGTGATCGTCCAAGGCGGGACCCGATCGTTCAGGATAGCCACTGAAGGTGATCGAGCTCTTCTTCGCGGGGCCGATGCGACTAATGGTCTCCCAAAATGAACAATAGACCTCGACGTAGCGCCCACCTTTGTGTCAAGCCAGGAGTCGAACCTGCAAACGTGCCCAGAAACACTACCGACACATACAAAAAGTTGGTGGACCTTTGAAAAAGGCCACTACGGTTATTCACAGCTAAAACACGGGTGTGAGCGTGTGTAAAGCAGCAGAAGCAGTGTTATAAAGGAATTTACCTGTGCTTGGCTTAAGGCCGCGTTTATGACGATTACGACTGCGCGAAATAGAAAAGCATGGAGATAAGGGAAAGAGAAGCGAAAAGGCAACTGAGCTGAGATAGCCGGACTTTATAACCATGGGAATTCTTATCGATTCTGATTGGCCGCCGCTTGAACAGCAAACTTCTCAAAGCTGCCCCGCGCAAATTTTGTGATTTGGGTTGGTGTACCCATAGTCGTATCCTAGAATGGACGATACTGCTTCTGTTGGATATGCAGTTCTGCACCACTCCCTCTTTCAATGAAGATGGTGATGAAGTACGCCATGCGCATGTATGGATAAATAACAAATAGTAAATGCACGTTGTTTGCAGCTTCACGCGACAAACATGATGTGACATTTAAACAGGTCGATAAACAACCTCCTTTTACTTTTCTCAGCTACACATCCACCAGCTTTTAAGATTACTACTGACAAGTACTGTATCATACTCATAAGCTCAAGTTTCAAATGGTAGTACAGACAACGACAGCGCGACGCTTCTTGTCTTGCCTTCTCGACATCCACCTTGCCACGAGCATGCAGCGACAGTTTAAGCTAAATATAATTCCCCCACATCGTTCTGCAGTGAAACTTAAGCAGAAGAGCTCAGCTGAAACTACATCCCCACAATCACTGAAGCATAAAAGTTAAATGAAGCACAAATGTGCATATGTAAATTGTCACCGTACAGTGAACGCCGGCTGTATACAATTGTTCTGAATTTTAGCTAATGCAAACTCTTTCAGATAGAAGATCAAACCACTCTATATCATGATAATGGATTGTACTGATGTTTTGCGGCATGATAAGCGCTTTTTAAAAGAAGAGCTAGAGGAGCTTCTCCTATGATATCATCACTTAGTGTTTATTAGTAATGAGAGCAAGATATCGAACATAGTAGAGACTGTTCTCTATGTCATGCTCTGTGTGTTTCGGTATGATTTTGAGATTACTAGCTTATAGATACATAGACTTACATTCTCAAATTCTATCGTTCTAAGCAGAATCTTGGCTTGCTATGATGTTTTTGTTCAACTATAGACGTCCGACGGGCAGTGGTTTTCAATGAATAACAATACCGGCAGTTGTATGTATGCATCATAGAAATCGCTCTTGAAAGCCGTTCCTCGGCTCGTATTCAGCCTCCTTGGGAAGCATCTTTGCAGGCAGGTAAAACTGCAGCTAACTCAAGCAGAACCACTTGGATTCAATGAGATCGTATTAAATTAGCAATAATATGTTTAAAGTGATAAAGTAAACAGCAGGAGAGGCTTAACCAGCGACAAACACTGTAAGAAAGATGTAGGTTGTGAAAGTAGGACTTTTTACTCAGGAATCTCTCCAGCAGTCTCTCCCTGCACGACCTGATTTTCGATTTCAAACTTGGCGTCACGTTGAAACCAGAGCTTGCAAGTATGTTTCGTGCCCTTTGCTTCGGTCCTTCGTGTACACCGGTCCGCAATAATTTGGACGTGAATTTTTGCTAGTTTGGCTTTGTAAGCATCCCGTATCATGCATAATGCAATGACGCCAAACAACCTGACACAAACCGCGCATTTGCTTATAACTTACTTGAGAGCTGCAATCAAGGCCTAGATCGTATAGAGACGACATGTTCGAGCGTTTGTTAGAGACGGGTTTGCTCGACATAAAGTGTAGGTGTGGATAAAGAATAGACTTTGGAACGGACTTGGGCCACAAGTCATCTTTCCGCTCAGAATTCTCGTCGCATATCGAGCACACTCGTGTTTCGTTTTGCACAATGTTGTGAGTAAAGTCATTTGTTATTACTTCACATTGGAGAGAGAGGCGCAAAGACGTTAGAGAATGTGAAAGAGAGACTGCGTTACTTGGACGACGAGATCCTTGTGTAACTTAGACCCGTTCAATTGTTTTGCAGGATGACTTGTCGAAAGATATTGCTGTATTAACGCCTTTTCTTACCCATTCACAATTGTATATATAGGGAAGAAGACGGAACCTATACTGACGAAGATACTTTGAAGCTGATGGAGTATACCAGCAACTGTTTGAAAAATGAAATGAGTCAATACCCATACGCATCTTGGACGACATTCAGACGACGACGTATATTTGCCGTACAAAGTATTGGGAATAAATTGACCTTGCTATCAACCAGTCGTATGGAAGTCGGAAAATGGTGCTTTGTGGAGATACGGTCTGCAATTGTACCAAGGGACTGGGAAGACCGATTATACTTGAATCATTTGATGGAATTATTGATGAAGCTGAAGGTAAGATTACAATCAAGTTATAGTTATTTGGAAACAAATAGGAATTATTGACAATATACATGCATATCTGACGATGACATCTTAGGAAATGCTTCTTGAATAAGAAGAGTTAACAATGCTTTTAATACAACAAGAATCAGGAGTGTCTCCTGTTGATGCCGAGGACACCATCAAAGCGGTCAATCGATCCGGTCAAGCGATTAAGGAATTGTACTAGTCTTAAATCCTAAATAGCATTGTTATTCTTTTCTGCATTAAAGTATATTTTTACCCCAATCTCGTCTTCAACCACCCTTCCATCATCCATCGCAGATGCTTTGATGCTGAATCATGTCTATGACTTTAACCTGGACTCGATATTCTCGCACAACACTAGCACAGGCATAAATCATACCGCGGCCTGCAATCCCTTTGATTTTGACGGCCTACAAATCTCCAACTTTACAACAACAATAGTCTCATTTCTTTCCTCCATACTGCATGAATATACCCCACCATTACCACTCCAACACTCAAGACGAAACGAGAGAATAACTTTGATAGTAGTGCCGATGGTTTGGCATTTTGCTGCCACGATCCGCACCAAGGGTGAAGCTGGTACGGGCAACGTTGTTGAGGATGTCCGCCACATGCGCACCGTCAGTGGCGAGATCCGTCGCGCTGCTTCCATGACCGACGAGGAATTGTATGCTTACGCTAAGGACATCCAGCCTCCCTATGACCTGCTTAAGGAAACTGCTCGTTTGGGCTGTCAACTTTGCCGCTGGTGGTGTTGCTACTCCGCTGATGCTCTTATGGCTCGGGTATTTTCAAGTCTGGTGAACTTGCCAAGCGCGGCCCGTGCCATTGTCCAGCTGTGACCCAGTACAACGACGCCAAGGTCCTCCCTGAGGTTCATTTTTTATGAAAACCTTGGTAAAGCTATGGTCGGCATCAACTTGGATGAACTTTCCGCGGACCAGAAGATGGCCAAGCGTGGTTGGTAAAATCACCCACTAATTGTTCTCTTCCCAGTCAATTTTCCAAAAATTCTCGTGTCGTCAACGCTTCCATGCTTACCACCAAGCCCAATGTCCAGGAGCCCGTCTACCTCGTCGAAATCCAGTGCCTCGACTCTGACATGGGTGGTATCTACTCTGTTCTTCACCGTCGTCGTGGTATGGTCTTCTCTGAGGAGCAGCGCCCTGGTATCCCGATGATGAACATCAAGGCCTACATGCCCGTCAACGAATCGTTGGGTTTCACCGCTGATTTGCGTGCTGCCATTGCTGGTCAGGCCTTCGCTCAAGCCGTCTTTGATCACTGGCAGGCCATGACTGGCGACCCATTGGAACCCGGTAACAAGGTCTACGATACCATCCGTAACGTCTGTAAGAGAAAGTGGGTCTCATTTAAGATTTTCCCGGTCTCGACAAGTACTACGACAAGCTTTAAATGGACTCGTTCTCACATTGCCAATGAAAAGGTTAAATTCTTTTTTTTAAAAATGCGCAAATAAACATCCTTTTTAATCCTTTTATACAGGCATCTCCATGGCAGAGAGGACATGAGTACAACAACAAAAGAAGATATACCAATATATGCTTCATTCTAGTTGATTTTTCTTTCTTTTTGTGTGTCTATCTTCACTGCCACCATTCCAACGACAAAGTCGTCAACTACGCCTACCATTTTTGTTAATTTGGAGTGGATAACGGCATCTAGGAACATCACACAATGTGCTCTTACACTAGTTTGGCTCCTTTTCTAGTCGGATGCTAACTGAAATGGTCCGGCTGACAATGTACATTATACCCATGATTTTATAACCTGACACCACATATTCAATCTAAAAGTCTACAACATAATGTAGCTTATTGTTATTTACCCCTTATTTTGCTGACTATCATTAAAAAACAACAATGTAGATTAGCTGTAGTAGTTAGTCTCCACATGAATTTCGATTTTCATTTGTTTGTGTAACATATTTTTTTGACACTCTTTCTAAAAACATACGACATTGTTTTTTTAAAGTGCGACACTTCTTGCGACATCAATTTGGCAAAAGGTGTACTTCCTTCTTTTCAAATTTAGCCATGGTGGTAAGTAGCATGGTGGATTGAAGGCATGGAGAGAATGTGATAGATGGATGAATAGATGGAAGTGGTAGGCTGAGGATGGATGGATTGAGTGGATGGATGATCCATTGGAAATAATTACTCGACGCATCATCATATGGAGACGGACGATTCGCAAAAAACTGAATTCGACATCATTTAACGAAATCCCATGAATCCTAAAATTATATAGCAAGGTTCGTTCAAGCGTCAAGTCGAGGTTGGCCGTGTTGTCCTTCTTAACGACAGCAACAAATTGGCCGTCATTGTCGACATTATCGACCACAAGCGCGTACGTTTTTATTCCATTTATAGTGACCGAGAACTCAATCGTTGTACATCTATACCATCATCCTTTCTAGCATCTGACACACACGCATATATTTTATCCTATAGGCTCTCATTGAAGGCCCTACCACTGGTGTCGTTCGCCAGTCCTACCCCTATCAGCACTTGACCTTGACCAACTTGGTCGTCAAGGACTTGCCCCGCAGTGCTGGCCAGGCCACTCTTAAGAAGTACTTGGAAAAGAGCCAGGTTTTGGCTACCTGGGAAAAGACTGCCTGGGCCCAGAAGCTCCAGCAGCGCCAGGTCCGTGCTGGTTTGTCTGATTTCGATCGTTTCAAGTTGGCCAAGCTTAAGAACCAGGTAATAATTCTGGTGAAATGGAGAGAAAGAGTATTGGAGTGTGTATGTTTATACCTTCTTCTAACACTTAAATCTAAATGATAGCGCCGTTTCCTTGTCGGTTCTGCTGTTGCCCAAGCCAAGAAGCAGGTCGCTTAATTTCAATAAAAATCCCTTGACGCATTGAAAGGACCTTTTACTTTTGTTTTCAGTTGCGAGTGGTTCTTGGATAACAGCACTTGGAAATTGTCTATGATTACTGGAGAAAGAGAACTCTCATGCAAAGGATCGAAGAAAACTGGAGAGCAGACGCTGATTGAGAATGCGGTTGGAAGAAGGAAGAAAGACGAAGAACGTTATATTTAAAAAAGGACAAAAGGAAAAGGGAACAAAGAAGATAAAGACATGACACGATGGTAAATAACTACAAGGAAATTTCAAAAGGTACCACTTCGATCTCTAGCGGTGATATGGGGTGCAACATGAAGTAGGTCGGCATTGATGCCGCCGTCTACGGGTATATGCTTTTGTTTGCCGCCCTGATTCGCCACAAACGCTCGTCGCAGCCCACTTGTTGAACTCCCACTTGAGCTAGAAACACCTAGCATTGCAGCATCCATACTGGAAGAGGCCAGCTCGCCCAATGGATGTTCACCGTCGCTTTCGAGCAGCACGTCTCGTTGACTACTGCTTGCGTTCCATGGACGCTGCCGGAGTGATGAGCTGCTGAATGAGTTGGATAGTGACGAGGGTGAAGATGATAAAAAGCCTGCCAACCGCCTGGTAACTGAAGCGGTTGACGACGCTCTGGGTCGTTGCTTTTGCTGTCGTGTCATAGTGGTAGTATTGGTGGTAGAAGAGGTAGTAGACGATGCTGAATGAGATGGTGGCAATGCTGGCAGGCTAGGTTGTCGTTTGAGCGAGCCGAGACAGAGTGATGAACTCGAATTGCTGCGTGTGGATAGCTGAGAAGAGGTAGATGATGACAGCGTCAGTGCAGGCGAGCCAGCTCGACTGGGGACGTCACTGTAAGCACGGGCGCGATTCAAGATGTTATGGCGTGTCGACGATGGTGTATCGGCCAATCCGTCGGTATTTACAACGTTTCTGACGGTAGCATTAGATTGAGGTGTGCTGAGGGGAGGTGGAGCGAACAGCGCCATCAAGCGGTCATCCTCACTATTCCAATGAGCGGCGCATAGCTTGTAATCCAGTGCGATAGACTGGCGAGTAGAGCGTTCAATAAAGCGGCCACGGGTAACGAACGAGTCGAAAAAGGGACCGCTGCAAAAGGAGCAGGTCTGTACGCGGCCAAAGTACTCCTGAATGTGGTCGGACATGTATTCAGGCACTGGTACCTTCATCCGCACAGCTTCGCGTGCGCACAGTTCAAAAAGAGAAGGCGGGTCGTGATCCAAACGATGTGAGAATTCGGCGACAAACTCGCAATTCTCTGCTGTCAGCTTCCGAAGCGATGTAAGACTGCCAATTTCTGCGGGTAGAGACGGGAGCGGGTTGTTTGAGACATTCAAGGAAATCAGACCACGCAGCTTGGCGATCTCCCGAGGGACATGTGTCAGCTTATTATCGTTGGCAGTAATCACAATCAATTTGGGGAGGTCACCGATGGATGGCGGCAAGGTCTTGATGTTGTTATGGCTGATGTTAAGTGCCGTCAGTTTGGTCAGATACGAGATGGTATCGGGCACAGACTCCAGCTGGTTGTGCGATGTATCCAGGATCCCCAGGTTTTTGAGGTAGCCGAGAGTGCGCGGCAAGCTGGTCATTTGATTATGGGATCTACATACACGCACAATGCACACACAAACAGACAGAACCGATCCTGACCGGTTAGAGAGAGAATTAAGGAAAAAAAGGAGGGGTGGGGATAGGAGAGCAAGGGGGACGAGAAATCTAATCCACACATCCAAAAGGAAGAATCAGGTGCCATTAATTAAACAGAAACCAGGACTTACAAATCCAACTTCGTGAGACAGTCGAGATATCCAATGCTCGGGCTCAATTTGATCAATGATCGCCCTGAGAGATCGATGGCCAAAGATGTGTTCGTCAGTCTATTGTGCGGACGGTTGCGACCTGGTGTAACCTCACCAATGGTAAGCTTTGCCCAGCCAGGTTGACCGTCTTGGGCGCCAAGTTCATTGTCAAGCACATCCTCCAGCACATTGCTATTGTCACTGTAGTGGATTACATCCGGGTAGTACGTCTCGTCAATGTAGGCGAGATCCTTGGCCAAATCCCGGCGGACAAGTGATAAACGCTTGCTTTGTCGACAAAATTCGCACTCTTGATCAACTTTAGTTGCTACGACGACACTCTCAGGCACACTCGAGTTTCCAAGTTTGCTGTTTCGCCGTCGTTCTTGTTGTTGCTGGCCTGCAGCGCAGTTGTTTTGGCACACCATTTCAAGTTTGTACAAGTGGGGATTTGCGAGCACATGATCAGTCTGCTCAGTACCGTCGTCGTTGCGGGCCTCAAGGCCCTGGAGATCAGCCACCTCTTCTTCTGAACGATTGACATAACCGAACGTGAGAGGAGCGTGTTGTTTGCTGCTGTTTGCTCCCATTGCCCGTTGTTTTTCGCAACAGCGTTTGTTTTAGAGAAAGTGTTGTGGAAAGTAACTTGGAGAAAAGAAAAAAAAAAGCGACCAATAGTAAAAAACGTAGTGTGTGCTAAATTTATACCTTTCCTTTTTTGTTTCGTCTGAGGTTAATCGAAGTTTCTGATGTGGAGGACCCTAACCACCGCACAACAGACTACTTTTGCTCGTTTCGGAGATCGTCAATGTCGGATACAAATGGTAAAGCGGACAACCACACCATGGCCCCTCATCATCACTACAACGAGACGTAACCGAACTTTCATTTATTTCTCACAGACACGGCAGCCGAAGCATTTCAGCAAAAGGAAGCAGAATGGAAAAGCCAGCTTTCGACACTGCGCACTAAACTCACACAAGCTGGAAATCATTTGAAATCACTGGCGCAAGAGAATGCGCATTTGACTAAACAAATCAAAGAGCATGCAGATCAAGCATCATCTTCAAAGAAAGAACGCGACGAAAACAGCCGAATAGCTACCAATCTAGTAACTGCCCTGGAAACGGCGCTCGGTCATCAAACTGTACCTGATGTTTCCTCACCTGCAGAATTTGAAAAGTACGCTCGCACAGCAGAGGCGCGTTTCTCGACTGCGCTTCAAGACGTCAAGGAGGCAAAGACACAGTCTGAAGAAGGTAATGTGCCTAATATGTAATTATGTAGTGGCCAGTCCTGTCACGACACGTCCTTATTGTTCATATGATTTTCAGACAAGCAGGAGTTACAGAAACTCAGGGCAGAAAATGAAAAATTGGCGTCACAGTTGAAGGGTAATGAAACCTTTCTGTTTTCTGAAAAGATATAGCTCAGCTGTGAAGCTTATCAGAAACATGTAAATGATAGGTATATCGTCACAGAAAACCTCGCCATCCATCGACATGTCCTCCTCAGCTCCCAACGAAGCTGTTCAACAAAGTATACGCAATTTATCTGACGACCTTGAGAACGGAACAATCGATAGCTCCCTTCCACCTGATTTGCTGCAGTCGTTTGAAAAACTTCGTTCGAGTTGTGTGGATAAATTGGATACACTAAAGCACGAAAAGCGCGCTGCCGAGAGTGCTCAAAATGGTAGGCTCTTTTTCCTGGAAAAGAAAATGCCTTATGATCACGGCATCATTCTGATAACTAGTAATGAAGAAAAGGCTAACAATGATATAACGCTATAATTAGATTTAAAACGGCAATCTACACTACTCCAACTTTCGGTCAACAACCTTAATGAAGAAAAGGAAAAGATATTGACCGAGAAAAACGACCTCACGAAGCAAATCGACAAATCCAAAGATCTTGAAGCACGTTGCAAAACCCTTGAGGAACGGTTACAAACGGCAGAAAAACAAAAAGAGGAAAGCGAATCGCGCGTAAAAACTTTACAAGACGAGCATCAGAATTTGATATCAAAACTATCGCATCTGAAAGAAACGCTGGCTCCACGGTTAGAAGCAGACAAACAACTTCGACAGCGTGTATCAGAATTGACTGCGCAGCTGGAGTCAACCGAACGTGATTTATCGCAAGCCCGTGCAGATATGCTCAAACGCGACAAGGATGCATCGGATCAGCTCAGTCGTCAGGAACGAGAAATGGCCCAGTTACATTCCCAGATTCTGCAGGTCCAGCAAGAAAGGGATGAATGGCAAGAAAATGCGACACAGCTGGAGGCTCATCGAAATCAGTTAGAAGGGGAGTATCAGCGGGTCAAAAATGATTTTGATGTGCTACATCGACAGCGAGAAACAGAGCTAAAGGAACATGAGTTTGAGCGATCGAGTCTCGCAAACTTACAAACTGTTCTCGAAGAATTCCAAGCAAGTGAGTTTTCTTTTGCCTGGTATAAGACTTTGTTTATGCTGCACCCAAAGAATGAATGAATGTTACTGAACAAGAAACAATCTATACTTATTACTAGGCAAAGATAGCGAAGTACGTGCAGCAGTGGAACATATGCAGCGCCAGCTGGATATGACCAAAAAAGCGTGCGCGGAATACCAAGAGCGAGCACGCGTGGCAGAGGTAGGAACAAACGAGGGCGGTACTTTTGATGTTACGGATCCCTAAACTTTTTCCTGTCATGTGTAGAGTTCTCTGGAACAGTATCAGCAAGATGTTGCCAAGATACAGCGATACGAGCAAGAGATCAAGGAAAAAAATCTGTTAATAGGAAAATTGCGCCATGAAGGTTGGTTTTTTCGAATTATTATTTGGTGAGAAGAAAAACTAAAACTTTCTCTCAATACAGCTATTATACTTAACGAGCATCTTATCGAGGCCATGCGACGACTCAAAGAAGAAACGAATGATAGCAGTGTGGATAGGTAAAGACAACTGAATTGGCTAATATGTGTATAGATAATTACTGACTTGTCGCTATAGACAGCTTATTGCAAACTTGATCATAGGTTTCTTCCTGGCACCACGAGGGGATCCAAAGCGCTTTGAGATATTGAGCATCATTGCTAGTGTACTACAAATGACAGATGAACAGAAGGAGCACATAGGTCTTTTAAGGCCGAACAAAAACTCACAGGCATCATTCTCGCCAAACTCATCTCCACCGGGTTGGACAGCCGCTCGTCAACAACAGCAAAGCAATGACACACAACAGGTAAACAAAGTAACTAGCCAATGTGTTTTAAACGATCGGGACTAAGCGATTCTTTTTGTCCCTTTATTATAGTCATTTACGGATGCTTGGATATCATTCTTGTTGAAGGAATCGAGCGCATACCATCCCCGCAAAGGCGACGATAAGAGTAAACCACTTTCCGCACCAACATCTCCAGGTCCCGATAAAAATGTATCTGATATATAATACCGACCTTAAAAAACAGATGGATACATATATACATATAAAGACGTTATAGCCAATTATTTTGGCATTTTTAATATTAAAAAAACAGCATGTACGATTAGAATGAAAAGAGGAATAATGGGTCCAATTGCAGAGGATAGATGCGAGTTATAACGAAAAGAAAATGTGTTATTGACAAGAGAGTACATATGAAATCGTTGAATGGGAGGATGGGTTTAGAAACGATTACGGGAAGAAAGGTGGTTGCATTTGTGGCCAAAAATATGGGTTGTTCCTAAATTATATCAATGGTGTTAATGCCAGCCAATTGCTTGTCCATTGTTTGCCTCACAAACTTACATCATATTGTTGTCTCCACCATCCTTATCATTATTCCCGTCTTGTCTGTTCGATGGTCGTCCTATATAAGCAAAGCATGAGTTAATGTTATGCCTCCAATTGGTAAGCCATAGCAATAATAGTATTACCTAATCGACCACCACGTCCGCCAATATTCACTGGACCTCTGTTGCCAACACCACGCATGACGGCTGGACTTGAACCACTCTGTGCTGGTGAGCTCATGCCAGGAGGAGGAACACCCATAGGAGGCATACCCAACATCGGATTCGGCATACCAGGCATACCCAAGGACATGCCGCCGTCAACCATGGCACCTGGAGGCATCATCATACCCATTGGCATAAATTCGCTCATGTCCATATCACCCATCATCTATATATAACCGTATTCCATGGTTACTTAATAAAACTCATCTAGTATCTTCCTTTTCATTCATCTTTACCTTTTTATTTTCTCTAAACATTTTCTGTTGGGCACAATATGCCTTCCAGGTTACTTCGTTGAAGCCGTAATTGAAATAATCGGTAATATCAGCACCTATAAAAATTTGTACAGTTAGCCAAGTTCTCTGTGATGCCATGTACACACAAAGCGCTGAGAAAACCCCTTGCTTCTTTTTCTTACCAGGCTTCCTCCAGGGTCTATCTTCAAAAGAGTCTAGATCCACTTCAGTGATGGGTTGGCCATTATATTCACCAACTTGCTCCAAGTTGACCCCACTGACTGCACTGCTGCCCTTTCCGCCCTGCTGTCCTGAAACTCCGTGACCGCTCGCATTGACTTGAGGCGATGATGAAGATGCTGGGGTAGCTGCTAGTCGTGATTGCTGACCAGGCTTTATGCTAACGAGTGATGCTCCAGATTTTTCGTCTTGAGCACTTGAAGGTTCTGCTCCTCCTTGTGATGATTCAATGTTGGTTTCCGGTTCCAGAATAATTTCGAGGTCCTTTTAGTATTCGTTTATTAGTAAATTATCACTTTTTCTGACATGACAGAAAATATTACTCACATCTTCACTCTCGTATTCTTCCATATCATCTGCCTCTGAATGGGCTTTTTGTTCGATATTGCTCTCTTGATCAACTTCCATATCCTGCTTTGCACCGATTTCTTGGGTCCTGAGAGAGAAAAGGAGAGAGCACAGAGAGAATTAGGCAATCGTTACAATTATCGTAGGGTGTATCTGAGTGTTTGTGGATATAGACGGCCTAACTTACTCGTTTGCCGAACTGCTGCCATATAGCTGGTATAAATCGTCGTCTTCTTGTACTAATTCTGGAGAGTTAATAGATTCTAAATTTGACAGTGCTAAAAAAGAAAAAAGAAATAGCCGTGACCATGTACTCCACACTAACCTCGTGCATCGGCTTTTGCTGAATCCTTCGCAGAAGAGCCCTGTGCTTTGGCAATGTTGCTGCTATCCATTTCTGTGTCCTTGTCTACGTCGTTTTTAGCTGTAGCAGCACCGCCACTGCCAGCATTAGATGAGGATCCGTATAAAAATTCGTCTACGTCGTCATCGTCGATCTCGTTATTAGGGTTCATTTTGAAAAAAGAAAAAAGCAAGTTGGGTTTCCTGCATCAGCTCCGACAACCCAACGCTTCTTTAAAGCATTTCTGCCTGGCGGTTCCTTGAACGCGATGGCTGAAATGACACCTCTTTTTGCACTTTTCGCCCTCATACCCGTTTTCCTTTCTGCGTTGGTTGTTTATACGCATCAGAGAACTCATGGTACACTTGACATTACAACGGCCTCTGTGGCGTACGATCGACAGCAATATGGCGATTTACTCGACTGGGACAAATACGCATTGGAAGTTGAAGGCAAGCCGACAATGATCTTTTCCGCCGAGTTCCACTATTGGCGCGTGCCCGACCGCGAACGATGGCCCACCATTTTAAAGCAATACAAGATCATGGGCATGAACGCCATACGCATTTATTTCCACTGGGGCTATCACTCGTCAGCCGAGGGCGTCTACAACTTTGAAGGCAATCGTGATATTGACTATTTGCTCAATATCTGCGAGGAGCTAGGATTATTCGTTTTAGCCGCCCCAGGTCCGTATATCTGTGCTGAAGTGCAAGCAGGCGGTTATCCATCCTGGCTTATCGCCAAGCGACACTTACGTATCCGCCATAATGAGTTTATGTTGTGGCGAACGTATGACGAAGAGTTTGCCGGATACGAAATACAGTGGCTTAACCATGTGTTGCCAATTATTGCCAAGCATCAGATTACACTTAACGGCAAGTCCAACAAGAAGGGTTGTGTTCTTGCGCTCCAGCTTGACAATGAGCTCTTTGAGACCATGGCTGTCATATTGCCGATCGGTCTGCGCGACCAGATGCGCGTGCTTGCCAAGGCTGCACGTGATGCAGGCATTACCGTCCCATTATTCAGCAATGATGGTTTCGAGGAGAGCAGCTGGGTGCCGCGCCCCGCTACCACGAAGAAAAAGGAAAAGAGTTTTGGGCTTGATCTCTACGGCTTTGACAAATATGTTGGTAAGTTTTCCTCTGTTTCTTCCCTTCTACCCGACCGTCTAGCATATTTGATACATGTCTGGTACTTACTCTTATGGCTAACGATATTTGAATATCAGTATTTGCTCCTACAAGTGCACCCACGAGTTGGTTTTTGGATACTGGAAACTCCACCGCGAGCTGGAAAGATTGGAACCCAAAACAAATGGAAAAGTCAATCGACCGTCTCGAAAAAACTGTGCGCGCTTTTGGAGGAGGTGCTAAAGAGGTAATATGCACATACTACACAACAATTTTTATTAATACGGAATAACTGATACTAGTATATAACTTATCCGCAACTAGTCACCCATGTTTATCCCTGAGCTACAAGGCGGCTGGTTCAATCACTATCAGCTGGAACACACCTACGACATGATTTACGAATTTTACGGTGATCAATATACCAAACTTTTAGTCGATTCGTGCTTAGCGCAAGGCATATCCATTGTCAGTCTCTATATGACATATGGCGGAACCAACTGGGGAACAATTGGAGACCCGTAAGTTTTGCAATCAATTTGGATGACATGCACAGATTTTATCGCCGTGTAACTTACTCGAACGATAAAATATTGCCAGAGATGTTTACACGTCATATGACTATTCGGGATGTATTCGTGAATATGGATATTTGTCAATGCGTGGACGCAACCTGCGCCAGACGATTCTTTTTGCCCGATCATTCGACCCTTACTTTACAAAGACCGAAAAATTGCAGAAGCGTTCTATCAAATCATCCGCGAAAAAGACAATCAACACGCAACGCGTCTCTGTAAACCAGGACCAGCCTGTGTTGTTCACATTCCTACGAAACTATAACAGAGACCGACAAGAACTTTTTGACCTGACCGTGCAGAATCCCGAGGGCAATTTTACCATGCCATGCTATTTACCGTACAAGACATCGTTCACTGCTGTCGGCGACTACCGTGCCGCTAATGGTTTGCATCTTTTGCAAGCAACGATACCTATCCATCTACGTATGGCCAATCCGGAAACAAACGAAGAAGTTTGGATTGTCGAACCCAACCAGTTTGGCGGTTTGGCCTTTGAGCACAGGGAAATGGAAATCTCTGGTAACATGCAAGAAGACGTTTTGCGGCGACACGGTCCTGCTGATGTTCTCAAGTTTGAAAAGAACGAAGGCTGGAGCAAACTGTCCACCACAACTGGAAACTTATACCTTGTTGGATTGACCAAGGCCCAGGTCAGCACATTGTACGCAGACTTCGAGTCGGTATACTGGAACGAGGGCAACGGACGAATGCCCGGATTAATTGCTTGGGGTGCAGACGAAATGTATTACAACACAAACACTAGACAGCTGGAGATCAACTATCGCCGATCTGACAGCAGTATTCACATCGTGTCGTTTGAAAAACCGGCAGATAGCCGGTTTGCTGCTGTTTCGCGTGGTGTTTACAACATGCCTCACATGTACACGATGGAGTTCCAACACGCTCACCAGAAACTTCCGCTGCCTGTTCAAATCGCATTGCGAGACTGGGAAGTACGACCAGTAAATTTCCAATCCCTGCCATGGCAGCCGCTTAAACGACTTACAAATACCTCGGAGCCAACTTTTGAAGCGCTCGACTACCATTATACCAGCGGACACGTACTTTATCGAACCACATTTGAAACGCCTGACAGTGGCCGACAAGTCAAGCTCTCGCTTAACATGCGAAACCGTGCAACTGTCATGTTGAACGGCCAAATCATTGGCGGACACACAACATACTCGCGACAATTGTTTTCTCCTGGAGCAAAGATCGGACCAGACCCGTGGTTTATGGGCTCTCAAACGTACGATTTGACGCCGTATCTGCTGCGCGATGATACCGAGTCCGCATTGAATGAACTCGTAGTGCTTGTCGACAGCTTTGGTCTCGCTCGCCAGGCGTTCATCATGAATGATGTCCGCAACCCGCGCGGCATTATAAAGGCTAAACTCCAGGGCTTGAGCCAGAAGCACCCGGCCGAGTGGCAAATCACGGGCGTGGATGTACGAACCTTGGACAACCAGTACAACTCTTGCGGATTTCCTGATGAACGAACTGAAGGGCGATGGGAACTGCTCGGATCACGCGTTGAGCAAGATCGAACGCTATACCGGATGTCGCTCAACACCGGCCAAGGTGTACAGTGGGTGCGTTTCCGATTCGATGCATTGACAAAGAGTCGGTCTTCGGACTTCTCTGTGCCCCTGCGACTGCATATGGACGGTCCGTTCACTGCTTATGTGTTCCTTAACGATGCGATCATTGCTCGGTACTACGGCAACGGTGATAGTCCCCAGCATGATTTCTACGTTCCTGATGGCCTTGTACGACAACGTAACGCAGTGCGCATGCTCATGTACAGCTGGGAAGACACTACAGGCGAAATATCTATCAATGGGTGGCCTATCAAAATGGATAGCGGTAATTTGATCTCCAGCAGCGAAACTGACGCAGTCAGTGTCACTGGTAGCACTACAGAGGTCCTCAATGAATATCTGACATGGAAAGAAAACGTACGAGTCTGATGGGAAGAGGAGCCAAAAATTCACTAGTGTATACCGTTATGGAGATTATATATATGGATTTTATTTTTGTACAGTTGTTTTCTTTTTTGAATGGGATTTCTTAAAAATATACAAAGCTATCGCCGTTTATTGACGAACACCGAATGTAAAGACGGTCTTGCTGCCGTAAGTCTCGCCCTTCTTCAACAGCACGCTGCTCTGCCAGTCAGGCTTGTTGGGAGCATCGGGATTGCGCGAGCTTTCCAAGCAGAAACCAGCGTGCTCACCATAGGCAACACCGTCCTGGGATTTCTTGCCTGTGAAAACACCTGACTTGACAAAGTTACCGGTATAGAACTGGAAGGCGGGTTCCGTCGTAGCAAACTCCATTTGGATACCCGTTTCAGGAGCATACGCATAAACGGCCTTGCGCAAAGGCAGATCCGAAGTGTTGATGACATAGTCCTTATGGATCACATAAGGATGATCATAGCCGTTCGTGCTCTTGAGCTCATCTTTACGGGCACCAATCGTAGTACCAGCCTTGTCACCCTGTCCAAATACAACCACACATTAGTTTCCAAAAAGATATATACTACGAATACTATCACATCCCCCTTTCTCTTCTTACCGTAAAGTCCATGTATGGAGCATCAGACCAGCTGCACTCCTTGCCAGTAGGCAATGCATTTTCATCCAGTTCCAAGAAACCCTTGACTTCGTCGGTCATTGTAATCTGAGTGTTCAAGATGTTTGGATTCTGGGACACGCCGGCCAAGTTAAAGTAGTTGTGGTTGGTCAAGTTCACCACAGTATCCTTGCTGGTAGTGGCCTTGTATGTAATTTCCAAAGAGTTTGTGTCGGTGACCGTGTATGTCACGGTTGTCTTGAGCTCACCAGGGTAGCCCTGGTCACCATCAGGAGATACGAGATCCAGTTGGATAGAAGCAGGCTCTTGAGAAAGAATGGTTACATCCCACTTCTTCTTGTCAAAACCTTCGAGACCGCCGTGGAGTGCGTTGGGGCCATTGTTGGTAGCCAACTGATAGGTTTCACCGTCCACGGTAAACTTGCCCTCGCCAATGCTAAACATAAGTCCCCATGATTGCTTATGCGTCAGTATACGTGTACTAATATCCATCACCGTGCACTCTTGGTGATAAACAAATATATCGTTCTATGCACAAGCTGTACTTTACCGGTTAGCATAGCGACCAATCAAAGCGCCAAAAAATGGGTTGTCAGCGTTCTTGTAGGTTTCATAGTCGTCAAAGCCAACGGTTACATCGCGAATGACACCATTCTTGTCGGGTACGAGAGTATGTGACAGAGTGCCACCATAGTTCAGCACCATGACCGACAGGGTCTTTGCTGGGTTGATGAGAACATATTGGTCAATGCCATTGGCGGGATCGATGGTGGTCTTTACTACTGGCATGTTTAAGAATATAACAAATGGAAAAGGTAATTGCTAACAAGTGTAATATACTTTAGAGCAAGCGCGCGTAAATTTAGGATGTCTTTCGCTTTAAAAAAGGCTCCAGCGCTAACAGGTGCTTAAAACCCGATTGGCTAGCACGGATCGGGTAATTTGGGTTTGCGGGCCTTTCCTTATGCGAATAAGGTTCATTTTTCCCGTCTTCTCACACACAGACAAAAGCGGGTAGATGCACACTGCATGGCAAATTCTACGGGCAGCGAGCGGGTACGATCTCCAATATTACCCTCCCTTCCCCATATTCCTCGGTGATTTTTTAGCTCTTCTCAATGCGATGATGATAGACATTACATGAGCCAAAAAATCAGTAAACATTGGCCACGTTATTACTTTTGCAGAGTTCTGTGGAACTTTTGATTACGTAAGTTACCGTCTATACGTCATTAGCTCAATGCGTAGTTTAAAGAATGTGACAAAGACAGGTTGGCTCTCTTTTTCGAAGGCTCCACAGAAACGATAGTTTTCGATGTATTTCCGGGCATTGGATAATAAAATGGCCTAAAATAACACTACTGCCCTCGTCGACCACATGTTACTGTATGTAACACCAACACAGAAAAAGACAGAAATGCTAGCGTTCGATAAGGATGAAGTGAAGGAGAAGAAAATCATGTTCATCGGGTCCAATAGTAGTTTTATTGCTGGGACATGAAATCTGGATAGGAACATATTCAAGGAGGGATATCGTTGGGTATGTCAAGGGATACATGTAATGAATGTGCTGTGTAACTGGTAAGATAGTGAAGAGGAAAACAATGAGATCAATTCAATAAGTGGAGGCCCACAAGAATGCTCCCTCTTGATAACTTTTCTTCCTCAGAGTACAGTATTCATCATAATGGCATCAGGTATCAATTGGCGCAGTAGATTCCCTTTAATTACACCGTCATTTGAGTTCACCAGTTCGCTATCACTGAGTGCTTACTTGTCTTCTTACTCCTGTTAGCCTTCGCACTTGTGGAATGTGGCCTTGAAATAGTAAAATACGGTTTTTTTTCTCTTGAACGGGCCACCACTGTGTCATAGACAACATACCTCAACCTCTGCTATGATGATCACCAATTGCCCAACAACGTCATCATCAATCACTATTCAATTTTTCCATTTAGTTACACTATTAAAGTCCATAGTAAAAGATACATATATAAATCTATATGACATAGTCTTTGAATAATAAAACGCTAATCAGTTATCTTGCTTCTTCTCTTAGCATCTGATCTCCTGCCTTCCGGTTTCTTCTTGCCTTGCTGAATGCGCCCAACACATTCTTGGCCGGACTTTCTGTCTTTGTCTTGCAATTTCCACGGGGCAAGACAAGTGTTTCAACTGTCGTCGTCATATTACATCGTACATCAGACTCGGGTTCGTCGTCAAGCATGCTGCTCTCAACTAGTTCAATTGAACTGCTGATGGCATTCTATCAAATTGAGGGGAAGTGATTGTTTAGTGAGGACAAGATCGACACAGGTGTTATAGAGCATACTTTTGCTTTCAGGGTCAGTGTTAACAGCGGCAGCAGACCAGCTGTCATCAAGGACGGGCAGGTTGCGACTTCAAAGGCTGGTGTGCTGCGCAGACGACAAACATACTCCGGCGGGCAATCCAAGATGCTCATGGTCATTCTGAGATCTGTTCGAGATAAAAGTTACTTGTGTAGAACATGGTATAGTGGTCTTATAAGATCTGTGTATGAACAAAGACTTACGGAATTGGGTCGTGCCCACCGTGCGCAATGACCGAATTGCTTGCAACTTGATTTTGTATTTCGAAGCCGCCCGGACGAACATGCTTTTCAGCACTTTTAGACAGTGCAGTTGTGTTTCCACAATTTCTTTCTTGCTGATACCCGCACTGTCACCTTTTGCCACATTCAGAAGCGCCGTACTCGGTTCCGTTCCTGAGCAGAATCAAGTCAGGTCGGAACTTTCTCGCTGATTTTCAACGGCCTTGTCATTGACAACTCTACCACGGTTTTCATCAGTGCTGGTGGCGATACACGTTTGGTCTCTATAGATATAGCAGACCAGATAATGAGCGTTAATCCATTGATGCAAGTATACATTCTCATTGTTATACCTTCGTGTTTGGACATTGAGGCTCTCAAAGCACTCGTCCAAAAGTGACCAAACGTGAGCCACGAAATCCATTTCGGATCCACTGGTAGAGACCCAGTTTACGACATTCCACCTGTACAGGTGCAGGAATCTCAGAAGCAGATCCTGCAACCAATCTTCATCACATTCATCATACGGATTGTAAGGGCCGAGGGCTTTGACTTGTTTCCAAACAGAGTCTAAAATTATTTTTTCGTCGGCTTCCTTGGTAAATGCCGGCATTGCCGATGATGCAGGCTGAGACCCTCTTGTGCCTTAATTGCAGCTTTGCAAGCAGCGGACGTCAGATCGAAGATGGCTTTAACAGCGCTTGAAAGGGGAAGGAAAGCACGGTTTCCAGCAGAGGTGATGATGGCATATTGCTCATCAGTGAGGATATCCTTCCACACTGGATCACCCACGTCGAGGACGAATGAATTTACGGCGCTATAATAACAGCATTAAATTTTGGGATCAATTTATTAATTTACTCCAAAGTCCACTTATTGCTGGTACTCGCACTGGCGCCCAAATTTGGTACATAGTCCTCTACACAACTGCCGTCGGGTAACCGCCACTTTTTGGAATCTTCCAGTTGCTGGTATGCTTCTTCATATTCTGGCATCATAGCTTCAAAAAACCGACACGAATCAGTCTCAGGGTTCTGCTATATAATGAATAAATACTATAGATTAATATCCTGTCGCAGATTCTGGAACCGAATATAAATTCTACTGATGTCTTTTAACTAAAGCTTACGGTAGACCGGGATCTCTTGGATCCTTTGCTAGGAGGCTGCTGCTGCCATCGTTCTTGATGCTACTACCGTTGGTCTCCTCATCACGACTCACACTGCTGCTTCCGTTGTTGTTATTGTCATCGTTGCTATCGACTACGTTTCCGAGCAGTTACACTGTATGTTTTCGTGTAAATTAAGGTAGAAACGACGATAAACAGTTCCATGGTATCTTTGAAACGTTCAAAAACACTAACCATCGTGTCGTAATGCCTCCCAGTCTATCCTTAGTTATTTTTCTAAACTTAACTATTAGTAAACATGCCAATATGATACCAAAAGAAAGCTGCACTGATCGTTTATCGAGCTTACCACCGAAACATTTAGCCTTTGAGCTACGGCCTTGACACGAGATGGCCAATATTGTTGAGGGTTTGCAATCACTGCAGTTCGGTTTAAAAGAGCGTTTTCGCGAACGAAGCTCGATACCGATGGTGCCCCTGCATTACGCAAAAATCTTTCCGCAGCTATCGTTGAAGGTTAGTATAAGCTATTCATTCAAAGGGGATCTATGGTCTTGTGTTTTCATAGTAATTTCGCGTAAGTTGACAACCGTCTCCTATCCAAAAAACATGTATCATAGCTGCAGCAAAAAAGTGGTATGCTAATAGTCACTATGGCAAGCATGCGACACTATGTAACTCTCAAGGCCACTTCGTGCTTGCCATTTCACTCTTGCTCTTTTGATATCCCCAACGACGCTACCAAATCCTTCCATCACATCATCGCGTCGTCTTCATCAATCTATCATATGAATACTTTTCCTCGTTCTTGCTCACTTCCAATACTTAATTCTCCACCCTCATATGCACACTTAGTATCTCCAATTAAGTTGCCTTATCGTAGTAGTCCGCATTAATTAAAGCTGTCGAAATAAACTTAATCGACCATCATTATTTTCGATTCCACTAATCATAAACATCGATACGTTGTGATTCCGGCATCGCGTTTATTACAGCTCTTCAGAAGATGATAGTTTTATTAAGCTAGTTTTTCTGCGTCATAAAATTGCAGGCGCGTATCGTGAAAGGTAAACGCGAGCATCAGATATAAAAAATTACCATTCGCGCAAGAGAGAAAAACGAAAAGAGTTTCACAATACAACAGCGCCTACTGCATATAATGCAATAGAAATTAATAGACAAGTACCAACAACGGAGTTCAGGACATGCGCCCGATAACATCACCACCCGAAAATGAAATGGTTGGCAGACGTTGAATGGTTTGCTTTCAGCCAGCCCATCCGCAAAAATACAAATTACCGTTTGTTGCCGCTTGTATAGTAGCCTTTCGGACACTTGAAACGACCTTCCAAGAACCTGTAAGATCTCAAAAGGCCCAAACGATGGTCTGAGAATTTGGATACGGTCGCCAGAACTAGCATACGCTTGCATAGGACGGTACATATACTCATTGTATCAGAAATAGAGTGTACCTACGTTAGTGCTGACGTTAGTTAAAAAACTGACCTGTACTCTCTTACGCAAAAAATAAGGCAAGAGAACGATTTTTAAGAAAGATAAATTTCTCAGCATGTTTAACGCGCCATTTTTAATAATGGTAACTCATCCTTTTCGGATATGCTAGAAACACATATTAGTTTGCATTTCAAAGCTTTAAAATTACCTTGTAACATACTTGCCAACCTATCATCGTTGATGGCCTAACGTGTCGAACAAACTTGACATATGATCTTGTGATCTCAGCTCTAATTGAACAGCATAACCGACCCCAAAACGCGGGCGCTGTCGCTAAATTTACCCGTTACTTTTTAAATACATACAGTTTGGAGCCTTGTTGTGCAGTATCGCATCAAGGAAAAAGGAACAAGAGAGAATGAGAGAGAGAAGAAACAAGTAATCAGCTACTTGTTTGTTATAAAAAGTGACGAGATAATAATGGTATCAATTTAATTATGTGACCATGATGATGATGAAGAAATGAACTTGATCAACACACGAAGAGTATAGTGAGAGCTCCTACTTTCTAATGAGTTCTGTGGCGCTCGCCTGTAATGTCTGCCGTACTTATACGATATATAACGGGTTTGATGGACGTTGAAACCAAGGCCTAAAATTACACAATGATATGATATCAATTGAAAATGGTAATGCACTAGGAGAGTTAGGATGTAGCAAGTGGCTGGTGCTTCTCCTACTGCTGTACTGGATGTCCTTGTATATTTTGGAAAGGGGATATGACACCATCATGATGTCGCAAAGGAATGATTTTTATAGCAGCTGACAGTGTTAAGAAACATCTGTTCTTACACTTTGTCGTCAATAGCTACAGTATTTAATTATGAGAGATAGTTATCTCGGCAATGCATGCAAATGCTGCGTGTCTCAGGTACATGCTCTCCGTGAAAGCTCGTTTACAATATAACTATATTAGTACATTATTTACTGTAGCACACATCGAAAACACAGTAGATTACGAAGACAGACAACATGCAGAATGACACAATGAATGAGAAAATATGCGCGTGCATGTGTTTTAATATATGTCTTTTTATACCGAGATAAATTACAACAAAAAACAGAGAGAAGCCTAATGAAGAGAAAAAAGTTACAAAAGAAGAGAGTGCTGCATCAGATACTTTCATTTTTTAAGAATTGTTGGTGGTACTGATTGTGCTACTATTGTTATTATGAGTACTGCTATTATTATGTGGATTATTATTAAGGAAAAGTGTAGGCGGAGGGCAATGGCGTGATGGGTGTTGCTGGAGTGTGTTGTTGTTGACAGCGCATGTGCCAGTATTGCATTGTTGCGATGGCAAAGACAACGACGTCATGGTTATCGTGTGTGTAATCTTCTTTGAACGATCAATGAGCTGTCGACTTTGGCCGGTATAAAGGTAAGCAAATGGGATACATATCAAGAACATGAATGCAAGGATTGCACAAAGCCAGAAAAAGCCAATTGATCCGTAGACAAACCCAGCTAGGATAGGACCAAGAGACATACCTAGTAGTAGTTGCAATTGTCATTAAAAATGCAAACAAAGAACGTACAAAGAACAAGTATTTACCAGTGCCATATGCAGCATTGAATAAAGCATAACTTGTTGCCATGCCATCTTTTTCACTAGATGATTTATTTGCGCTCGCAACAACGCCTGCAATTTCAGGGAACACGGTAGATTGAGAACCGGCCATGGCAGCACCGCCCAGAATAAAGTAAATGATAAGTGTCCAGTACGACGTGTTTCTGTTTGGAATAGTGACTAGGAATACGACGGGTACAATCAGAACGAGAGATATCAAGGCAACAATCTTTGTTCCGTATCTATCACAGAGCCATCCGGAAAACGCCGCCGATACGATACTTGGGACCATAAAGGAAAGCAATATAAGGCCACATGTAGCTTCGTCAAAGTGCCATTCAGTGGCCAGTCGCATTGTCAGAATAGTCTAGATATTGACAAAATTAGTGTCTTTGATAGCTGGCACTACTTTTGCTACTTCAATGATAAATACAACGCTGGCATTACCTCAAAAGAACTCATGACGGTTGCTACTACGACGGTGAGGTTGAGCGATACAAGCAGACGAGGCTGTCGAAGTAACTGAAGCAAGGTCACTTTATGCCTTGTTTGATTACTGTTAGTGTTGCTGCCATCATGGTTGTTAAATTCGTCGCTCAAACTGTAACAGCTGCTGATGTTGGTATGGGTCGTGGATATGTTAGGTAACTGATGTTGCGAAAATGGCGCCTCTGCTGCGGGTTGCTGTGAGTCCTTTGGAGTGTTTTCCTCATCTTCGGGTTTGATAAACCATTCCTTTGGCAAATGACATCTTTCGACGATTACGAGCCGCATGAAAAAGTCGATGCCGCACAACACCATGGACGCAATAAATGGCGCTTGATGACCGAGCTTGCTGTAAAGAACTATTATAAGAAAGTGTTAGCAAAGAAACAAACATAAGTAGCTTAGCTAACAGCTCCCCAACATTTCAGAATGGAGATGACAGGTGAGAAACTACTTACTGCCTGTGATTAATGGTATATTCAAAGGAGAGGGAGGAATCGTTAGCATGCATGATTTTACGCATTCTGAGTTTATAATTTTTATTTCATTATTACCTCCAATTGGCAATCCCGTAACTATGCCGAGTGGATAAAAGCCGAACAGTTTGCCCATCTGATAACCTACAAACATACAATTCATACGGCTCAATTAATCAAAAACAGAAAACAAACGAGCTTCTGTAGTGTGCAAAAAGTAGCGTTATCTTACCAAGCTGGCTCTCTGGCCAATTGTCAGCAACCAAGCAAAGCGACATTGTCCAGACGCAAGCATTAGACACACCCTGCAGAAATCTTGCCAGGAGTAGCATCCAATATGCTATTGCGAACATGAACATGAGATTGGCAGCAATCGAGGCAGAGATGCCCAAAAGCATTGGTATACGGCGCTGTCGTATCTTATCGCCTAGCCATCCAAAAAGAGGTGATCCAGCTATTTTTTTTTTTCGGGTTTCGTTTACGTAACGAAGGATGTATGTGGGGTATTGTGTGGAGGGTGGCAAATTTAAAATAAAAGGGATCAGCTATCTCCGAAATTGAAACGCGGCTGATCTGCGAAGTGGAGGATTTTACAACGTTTTGAGTACCTAAAAGACCGACTGCATAAGAGGCAACGAGGATGCCCGTGTCTCTTGATGTTTCTGCGTCGCTTGATGCCGAAAAAGGTGAGGTGTTGTAGTCGTGCGATACATCGTCTTTATGGTTTATTCGGTCAATGATGAACGGTGAGAGTGGGAATAGAATTGAATGAACAAAGGTCTACATTTGACAAAACCAATAGCACCGCCAAAGGGCTCATTCTTAGTATTATGCGTATCTCGCTAGCCAAGAACTAGTAAGGTACATTGTCCATAGATCTGTGTGCTGCTTGCGAATGTGTATATGATGCTTACACTGGTAAAGAGTCCAATAGCTGCTGTTGCAAATATAAAGTAATCTGACGAGCGAACATTTAATAAAAATGGCTTTTTCCGCTTTGTTTCTTCTGGCTGTTGGTGCTGCTTCTCCTGACCGTCAACGGTGGTAGTGGGCGCAATAGCACGAGTCACGAGGGAACGGATAGGCATACTCCAGGACTCAACTGGAAAAGCGAGTAAAGAAAAAAGAAAAGAAGAAAGAAAAGATGAGGGAAGGAGTGAAGAGGAGGCGCTAGAAAGAAAAGGAGATATCCTTTTTGTCCACTTCTCGCGTATGACTTCCTAAGGTATAGGAGTAGAAGAAGAGAAGAGAGAGATGAACAGGAGGGAAAAGAATACGGTATGTACGCGCCAAAGTGGTAAGGTTTTCTTTTCTTGGGATAGGAGTCGTCTCGTAGAAGCAGGAGGGCACAGAGTTGCAAAGGGGGTGTGCTAGTTCCGCTGAAGAAACGTCTCTTACACGCGTACTGCTAATGCCACTGGGTCCTGTCATTGCTATATCACTACCTCTGATGCCTGCTTTGCCATCCGACAAATGCGAGAAAAAAAAAAGCTGGATATGCTTCTTAAAAAACTTAAACTTAATGCGCTGCGCTACACATACTTGTCAAAAGACAAAACATCTCAGCTTTGTTAGTATAGAAGGCCTCCTTGCCGATTTTTTTTGCCTGTTTTGGAGATTGGTCTGACCATCTTATGAGCTGACGTAGTAGCTGACGTAGTATCCTTTATGCTCGTATCCGCAATGGTAAATAGCAGCAGTTACCAGGAACCTTTTGTTGTGCTTTCACTACTGTCGTTATGTGTATCGGTGATCTTGTTTACGCTTTCGGAAAACGTTATTGCCGTTTACGCTTTCTTTATTCATCTCTGTTCTCTATTGCATTTATTTTGTTTTTATCCTTTGGAAACAGCACCTGCATGGATGAATAATTGTAGCATGTTACTTTCTACTTTGGTATGATATATTTCTATCCACCTAGGAAATCAATCGTCATTTCGTACACAAAGAATGTGACCGCATTGACCGGAAATGCCCGCAATACTGTTGGTCCAAGGCCACGGAAAAAGACAGAGATGCCCTCTGTTTGGTACGACCTTACCACACAATCTTTAATCGAGGTATACGGACGCATGGTAGAGGCAGCTGACGGTGCGGATAATGTCCCATAGCGCTGTCGTTCACCAGGGTTAGCCAGTCTGCTAGGTACTGCGAAACCGGAGTGCTGCTGCTGTTGTTGCTGAGCATGGACCGCCATTGCTGTTGACGATAACACTCGCGCTGGTGGTACCACCTGCATTTGCAGTCTTGATTTGACAACATCGATAGGATAGATGGATGACCATGACACCACCCCTGCTGTGCCCCCTGCCAAAAGGAGTTGCCATGCATTCGATTTACTCGCATCTGTCTCCCAGAGACGCTTCATGCCTTCGTACACCCAAAAGTAGATGCCATAGCTTGGCGCATCGCGTATAATGGTGATCCAGCCACCTTGATACAGACCTAGTACACATAGTGTGTTATGCCAAGTCAGCAAAACAAATATTCAGGGTTCAACAAAGTGTTCAGACCTCATTGATTGCCGTGGCCCCACAGAAGCTGCTGCAATGTCTCACCTCGCAACCCATCTCTTGCCAGTGTCTCCCGGACAACCTGCAATGAGCTTTTCGGAACATGCGAGACTTGTGCTTTGATTTTGACAAGCTCGGTGGGCGCTGAAAAGAGAAAACTAGCAATTCCAGCTCCACAACCGGCGATATAGACTTGCCCAAGTGACGGCATGAATGCATCTTGCTGCTCCTTCAATAACCCAAGGGCTTTTGCCTCTCCAAACTGTCTTTCAAACGCTCTTATGATGCTGCCATAGGAGAAGAAGAGTACTGCATTTAGACCTGCTAAACCCAAGACAGGTGCAAGTACGCCCTTGAACATTGAGCTGGCCTATAAAAAATATGTTCAGAAAACAAACAACAAACTTTGCAACCCCTGATTTTTTACTTTTCTCTCCACAACCGCAGCTGTACTGTGTATTTGACAAGAAAACAAAAAGCACCTTTATATCGTATAGTTCCTTACCCCTTCATATTTTACCATTCGCGTCAATGTCTGCCACGCTGTTGGTAATGGCTCTGTCGTCATTCCTGCAGCAGGCTTTGGAGCCTGCAGCCTTGCCTATTGTGTATTATCACGTTTAGCGGTCGGTGCTTTTCTCTTTTGCTATAGCTGTTTGCCTATTTCCTTCTTCTCTTCCTCCCTCTCTTAATTACCTTCAAGACATCAAGTGGGCTACCAACGATGATCCCTGCGGCACCACTTATCCAGCCTATGTAACGCTCACTTAGTCCAACGTGTTACTCCCAGCTCAGTTCCCCATACTCTTGTACATATAGCCCGCGCAAATACCTGCAATAAAGTCGTTGACACTTTCAGCTACACATGTAAAGGATTAGCATCACTTGATTCAATTCTGTGGGCAATTAACTGAAAAAAAACAATTACCCATTCGATGTGCAAGAAATCAAGCAAGCCGGAGTTTTTCTTACACCTCTTGCTGTGTACCCTTTTGTGCAAGCAAAACGTGGGGTAGTCCCCGGATCAGAAAGTGACACTTTCTTTTCTGCTGAGTAAGACCCGGGTGGCGAAAAATGGATAGACAAAAGCGTATGTCCATGATAAAGTATAAAGCACATGATGGCATTTACACGCCACTGTTTTATTAACCATAGTTATATTATTCAAATAACAAGGATTTTAAATAGCCATAGAGATCATCCGCCCACCAGCAGCAGTAACAATAATATCCTATCACATATTTGCATGCGCTTATTGGAAGAAGCTGTTATATACCTCTTACCAGTTCTACATTATCGGTTGGCAGACTAGCTTTATCCGACAAACTGGGCATATAACATACATCCAGGATACATAAAGAATCCCTTCGCCACCCTTGTTGAGAATGAAGGTTCAGAAAAGCAGAAGGACTTACTATCTTCCCAATTATATGTATTGCATGCTATAGCTCGTCGGATGCCGTACAACAGATCGACATACCCAAATTTGCTAGTAAAATAATCTGCTGCTCATACATTATATAAGCTCGCCATTGAGAAAGAAGAACGTTATCTGATATACATTGTTCACTTCACTACTGGCCGGGTCAATCTGTAAGCTTTCAACTTTTATCTAGCTTGCTTCTTGTCTGATAAATTATACTGCACATACCCTTCATGCGTTACTAAAGTGCAGCAAAAATTTTCGCGTACATCATAGCTGAACTAAGCATGCAAAGTGGGTGTATATAATAATAAGTGAGCATGTACATATTAGTGTACCTCCTCCTCCTCTTCTATATATGCATAATCATATAAAATAATCTTTCATTGAGCCGGCTAAAATATCTGACTCTGGTTGCTTCGTACTGTATATACCGAGTGCTGCCTTACTTTGTTGTTGATTTTGGTTAGACACTCAATGCTCTCCAAACGATATACGAGAAGGAGGGAGAGAATAAGTTTTATGATGGGCTGCTCCTACAACAAACAGCAGTAACCCCATTGTTGATATAATATGTGCTTGTCTTTTGGTTGTCACATTCCAGCTCATTTCGACGCTGAATATCGCTATTCAATATGAGGACGTCGTGTATTGTGGCGGTTTTCAAAGCCTTCAAAAGCATTTGACGGTTTCAGAAAGCATTAGAATACAAACGTGAATTTCCAACAGAGGAACGATAATATCGGCATATGTTCAGAGAATGAAGGCCTGAGGGGCACATGAAGGAAAAGAATTGCGACAAGGTTAACTTCTTGTAGATTTCAATTCCTCTGACTCCTACATATCTAAAAGTTATCTAAAAGTTGTAGACAGGTGCCACAAGAGTACCGCACAGAAATTACAACTTTACCAATGTATATATACTACAGCAAGCTTGCGCTTCTCATATGATCATCTACTGTACACTTAGTCATCTATAAGTATAGTATATAATCTACAGTTGAAAGGAACAATTCTGACCTTTCATGCATTGACCATCATCATTATCTGATGACGGGTAGCGTGGTCATAGGAAACTGTTATTCGGTATCTCCCGCACTCCCCCGTTTTTGTAAATCAAGGGGCGATCAACTATACCCGCCACCGACTCCTTGACTTTTCTTTCCCATCCCGTCACCTGTCAAAGTTAATGCATGCTACTCCCTAATATTACAAGTTCTTTTTTCTTTGTCTCTCCTTCTAGGGCCATTTTACGTTTATAGTCGTAAGTACAAGTAGTTGAGAAACCCATGATTTCATTCCGTCCCTCCATGCATTGGGCTAGGATAGCTCTTTACTGCGTCGTGCTACATACTGCTGCTGCTGTGTGTATATGATATCAAGTACTGCTTCTACATATTTGTGCCTCCTCGCTTCTCCTTAACTTTAATTTTGACCTGGCATACTGTACTTAGTAACATGGCAATGAGCACGTAAACTTTTACATTTAGGTATTTTCCTGCCTTTCTTTACATGGCCTCTAGGTTTTTCGCGCATATCATATCATGAAAACTTTGGCGAAATGTTCGCCCTTTCTAATAATATAAAAAATCCTACTATCCGAGATATAAAAGACTATTACTTAGCCTATTTCATTCTGTCAGCGAGCTGTATTATGTATACTAAAAGGCGCATAAGTTTTTGCCCATGTGAAAGCTTGGTTTTTGCTTGTTCATGTATCAATTAATAAAAGGGTACTGCTGTAACGAGTAACAATTTTGGATGTCTTTTCTGCAAGCGACAGCAGAAACTTCGACGACGATGACCAGGGACACAGTACTACGTCGCAGTTACAGTATATAGCAATAGCAACAAGAGCAAATAGATTTGTGCTTCACACTTATTCGTTCATGTCAAGAACTGCCGACAGGTCAATGGTGATCAATTGACACTGATAATAAAGATACTGGACAGTTTCCTGTGAAAACTCGGCCTTATTATGGCGGATGCTCGACAGCTTGTACGACACGATGAGGGCATTAAAACAATCCATGAAGTCGATTACTGCCTTGCTTCGGCATACCCTTCCATGGATGGTGCACGAATGATTGTTGATATTTTATTATCACGAAATTGCCTTCTATAACCCACTCTGGATACAACATACAAAAAAATGGACATTTTATACTAAATTCATACATCTCGGGTACGCAACATTCTCATTCCATCACCAAGCTTATGCACAGCCTGATCCGACCCTGGCAGCTTGTTCATTCCATCAGAAATCGCTCTACAAATATACGAATTAATAATTTGAAGGGCTGCGCAAAATCATAGCAGACATTGATGTGACATATCTACCTACGACACAAGACCAATCGCGTAAACCTTCTTGACTCGTGATATCACTCTGTATAAAAATGAAGAACTGCACAATGCGGTGAAGTATAACCCAAAGCTCCAGAAGCACTTTTTGTTTTCGCACTTACGAGTATACATTAATCTTCAATCCGAATAACTACTCAATGGTGCGGGTTGGCAAGAATAAGAAGCGCAGCCGTGCCAAAGCCACTTGGGAACGAAGAAATGCAGCCCAATTCACACCCCATGGCTCGTCCCTAAGCGCAGAAAAGAAAGTAACCAAAGGTGTTTCAAATCCACTTGGGAACGAGGAAGATGGAGGGAAACAACCCGAAGCACAACCATGACTCGCCTCTGTAACGCAGAATTGGGAAGTGACCAAAGCCACTGCAATTCCACTTGGGAACGAGGAAGATGGAAATACATCGAGTTATGACTACACGGCTAGTCGTTTTTCTTAAATTACGAAGTTGATGCGCCTGCACAAGCCAGATCAACGCAAATAAAAGAATCCAGAAGCGGACAACATTGATAGGCATCCTGAAATTGGTGGTTTCCATTATCTGAAATCCTTCAAAAAGGATCACAAAACACTTTGAAAATAAAAACTGCAACATGTGTTCAACAAACGGCAGCATATAGTCACTCCATGACTATGATAGTCTATTTATACTTATATCAATACAAGCATTATATCCGAATTTCCAGCCCACCTTTACTACTGCATGGTACATATTGTACTTATGTACTTGTTTGTCCAACATTTGTTTTACTACAAAAGTAATCTACACTACGACTACATATTTATTACACATGAAAGGAGAAAGAGTAACATGCGTTAATAAGCGACAGTGTATTTCGATTGCTTATCCTGTTTTATCTAAGCGTTGGTACAGAAATAGTGCAGGGATTCTTATATATATATATTTTTCAGATAGTAATAAGCAGATAGCAACACGATATGCTACCATTTAGCACTAAACTACACGACCGATGGTATATGCATCGCTTTCCGTAAATGCTATGTATCGTTTTACGCCTTCATACGAAAGGCTAATACGTGTTCTTATTTAGATAGAGTTTAACTAATGCGTCAGCAAATACGAGTATACGGACTTTTTCATGCTTTACAGAGTAACATATTTGATGCATTCTTATCAAGCTATACAAAGGATATGGTCACCCAATAAGAAATGCGCTATGAACTGAGTTTGAGCAGAAAAGGGTTCCCTTGGCTTTAACCAAGCAACGTGTTACACCTCCACCACACAAAAATATAATGGTTCGTTTCTTTTTCAAGCACTTTACAGTCCCATCAACATGCCACGCTATTAACTTGGAAGAGGAATTGCGTATAGGCTGACGAAAGTCGAGTGAATCTGCTACAAGCAGATGCGAACATCCAACCTGATGACCTAGAAGCAGGAACCGCCGGTCCAAATAACAATCGTAATAGCAACATGAACACCAACGCCAACAACAGGAACAGTGCCGTCAGGGAATACTTTGATCAGTCTAGGTAAGGTAGTAAAGCTATGGTCTTGGTATATATACAGGTCCGAGAAGGAAAAGAAGAACGATAAATATATAAAAAGAAAAGAAAAAAAAACTGACAGAGCTTGGCAACAGCCATCCCATTGCAGCGTTCTTCTTTTTAGCATTTCGACTTGGCGCGTTACTTATGTACCTGCTGGGGTCCCTGTTTACAGACAATTTCACTCTGGTGTTTGTGATTACGATTCTGCTACTCGCGTTTGACTTTTGGACAGTGAAGAACGTATCTGGACGACTCTTAGTAGGACTCCGGTGGTGGAACGAAATCCAAGAAGACGGATCGAATCGATGGGTGTTTGAGAGCGCCAGTGTAAATTCCTTTCTATTCAAGATGCTATGGCCTGGCGGTTGGGTTACTAAAATGTTATTTTTCACTCAATAGCCTCATCGTAAGAACAATGCGGCGGATTCCAGATTGTTTTGGAGCGTGCTGTATGCGACGCCCGTACTATGGATACTCCTTGCATTAACTTGCATTTTCACCTTTAAATTTTCGTGGCTGGTGATTGTTGTCGTAGCGATTGCCCTGAATGTTGCCAATGTCTACGGATACACCCAGTGCGACAAGGATGCAAAGAAGAAGTGGGCCAGTGGGATTGCTGCACAGACCGCCCTTGGTTCCTTGGGCAGCTCTGCAACCGGGTTTGTGGGCAGGGCCGTAGGCTCAGGCCTTGGTCAGTTTTTCGGATCACGATAGAAAGAAAGACGAGCATGAAATAAAAAAAAAAAATCTACCGCTATTTCCCACCGCACACATACACAGTGTTTTATTTAATCACAGTACTTGCTCGCATGGAAGCGAGAGAAGAATAGATCCGATCTTCTTTTTTTTCTAGCAGAGTGAAATGAGCGGTAAAGTATTTAACCGTTCTGAATGAGTGTGGCTGGTTCTTAAGAAATTCAAAACCCCCAACTGTGGTTCGCGGCACCTTTAGTGCACTTCTTTTACTCCACTCTTTTTATTTCTTTCCGCCCCCCAATTTTTCTCAGATATATTTTTTAAATGGCCACGGCGGTGTCATCAACAACAGGCACTTCAATATCAGCCACGACTACCTCGACTCTTTCTCCCGGACAACAGGAAGAGGTTTCCCCGAAAATGCATTTACAGTCTCGATCGCAAAAGCCGGCTCAACGGAAAAAGAAAGCTGCCAGAGCGTGCATACATTGCCAAAAGGTAGGCCATGACTCGTCTTTACTGTCGATACCTTTTATTTGTTGAGCCTCGCAATTAAAAAGCATTTGGAAAGCACCAGACAATCTCATTTTGTAAAACTGGATTATGTTATAGGCCCATTTGACTTGTGATGACTGTAAGCTCTCTCTCTCTCTCTTTATATATGGCACACACCTACTCTTCCCAACACTCTTCGTGCGTCTGTAGGGGATAAAAGTGATTGAAAAGGAAATTGACTTTCTTGTATATAGCTCGTCCCTGTCAACGATGTATAAAACGCGATCTTGCCTCGACATGCACCGATGGTGCTCGAAAAAAGGCCAAATACCTGCAGGATGTTCATGGTAAACAATTAGGCAAAGTGTTAAAGAGAGAGAAAGAAAGAAAAGCTGATCTTACCGTGTCTACATTGTTTCTTATTCGAAAAACAAGATTCGGCCGTAAGCGAACCGGACGTTGCATTCAATCCTCAACTGGGTATGCCAATGGGTGGTGGGAGTAGTAGTATGAATGCGATGTCGTCGGATAACAGCAGCATAAGCAATTCCATCGTCGACACCGAGTCCTTTGGTAGGCTATTTTCTGGTTGGTGACACAAAGGAGATAGGGTTTTGACTAATATAGGGTGGACTATGGACAACGTTAACATACATTAGGGAACGATCCAGGCTTAGTCAATGCAAGCCAGCTGCTGGACAATTACAACTATGGATTCGGCTCATCCGCTACCAACCTCGAGTATTCGTTCCTGTCGAGTATGCTGGGAACACCGTTCATGGATCCTGCAGCAACAGCTGCCCCAGCATCATCCGCCACTGCCAACGCCACCCCACCACCCTTGACCGACCTTCCTATATGGTCACAACAGCAGCAGCAGCAGCAGCAGCAGCAACCGCAACAATCACAACAACCGTCCGCTTTATCACATCAGCAGCAACAACAACAACAACAACAACAACAGAACCCACAACCGACCGCACCACGGCCTCGGGCGGCTGTCACGGGGTCAAGCAGTGCCCATGACAATTCACCCGCTCAGTCGCAGTCAGCTGAGAATAGCAGTGTTACACCGATAGTAGATGCATTTGATCCACAATCGTCGTTGCTTTTCTCAGCAGGACAACAGCCACAACCACAACAATTACAACACCAGCAGTCGCCACAGCAGCAGCAACAACTAGTGCGAAAACAAGGACAGGCGACGTCTACGAGAACACGTTCATTATCGACGGGCGGTGTCGGCTCAATACCTTCAGCGGCAATCGACACAACGCAAGCATCTGCGACATCCGGCATGTCGTCATTACTCGCCTATGGTGACGGTGCAGTTGTTGCCAAAGTAGCCAACAGCCCTGTGTCGTCATCGAGCATGCCCGTTGTCAAGCGACGTAATCAAATCATTACACCCGAGATGGCTTATGCAAGCGCCAAGAAACCATTTAGTTATGCCGAAGGGTATCATTATCTGATCAACTATGTACGGCAAAGGTAAGAAAATATCTGCGCATGTGGTTGGACGATCGGACGGATTGTAGGAATGTTGTTAACCAAGTTGTACTATGAACATTAGAATGGGTCGGGAGGATCTCATGCGTATCAGTCGTGCTCTTGCTCTTTTCCGGCCTAGTGTGCTTGCATCAATGATGAATTTGACTGAGGATGATTTGATTTTTACAGAAAGATGCTTACAGCGGACGTTACTGGTAAGCTAGTAAAACTTTTTTTTATTCACACTAGATACTAGAAGGGATGACGACGCTTCTCGCTTGACTCACACACGCTTCCCCACTATCAGGAATACGAAAAGTTGATAAGTTATTCGGGAACCCCCACGGTGGTCTGGCGGCGTACCGGTGAGATTGCCCTGGTTGGCAAAGAATTTTCGCTTCTCACACAGTGGTCACGGGACACACTGTTGGGCAAAAAGACCTATATTTACGAGGTAATGATTTAGGAGCTTAGGAGGGATGTTCAAGGGCTCTCTTATATGAAGATGAGAGAGAGAGAGAGAGAGCGAGACTAATGGGTTGCCTGTTAAATAGCTCATGAGCAATTCATCTGCTGTTGAATACTGGGAAAAGTACGCAATGCATGCATTCGACAACACCGATTCAGCAGTATACAGCTCATGCATCCTGCTAAGTCCTACTAAGCGTGTGGTCCCGTGCACCTTTTGCTTCACCATCAAGCGTGACATATTCGATCTCCCCAGTGTCATTGTCGGAAACGTACGTCTTTCTTTCCTCTTGTGTTTCAATGAACCTTAAATCATACATATTATCTAACCTGCGTTTGCTCTAGTTTTTGCCGATTCTGAGTTAATACCAAGAAAAAGAACGTACTATACAACATTACTGCCTATAACTCTACCTACTCTACTTCAAAACACAACATGCATCCCTTTGAACCTTCTTCCAATAGCACACCCACACTTGTTTACAGCAACCTCATCGTCAGCAACCATCCACCAGCATTATAGATGAAAGAAAGAGAGAAAAAAGAACTCTTCGTTTCCAAAAATCAACAAACAAACAAACACATCACTATTTATCCTCCTTTCTTGCATGCCACATCTTGTATTTGTAATTTCTATCCAGACCATCTCTTTGCCTACCACCGCCACTGCCACCTTTCCCTCTCACTCAAAAAAAGCGCATGAAATACTCTAATAAAACAAAGGAAAACAAGCAAAAGAGCGTAGCTAGGAAGACCCTCTTTATTCCGCCATTGCATCCATCATAGCATTCTTGACTTGCAAGATTTTCTCCTTGAGTTTTTCAGCGGTCGATGAATGTCGCACTTCGAGTGCCTTGCATATGTGCGTATAAGCGGCATCGTATTCCTCCAGTGCAAGTAAAACCTAGGTCATATAAAAGAGTACAGTGTGTTACCACAACAAAGCTTGCGAGACCTCAACCGGAAAAGGGTCAGCCCGTTACCTCAGCCATGGTGCCTAGTAGAACCGGGTGGCACGGATGCAGTCGCACAGCTTCATTTAGGAGTCCTTTTGCTTGTACAAATTGTTCCATTCCCTGGTATGCTGATGCTAACCCGTACCTATTTCAGCATGTTTCCCACGTTAGCTTTCCCTCGTTTTTGCATGGCCCCTCTCCTTCCCCCCCCCCAAATTATGCGCAACAATAGAAATAATTACCATCCAAGATAGGATCGCCTGTTTGCCATCTTGCAATTGGCAAAGTGCAGTTTGGCACCCAAGCAATTGCCCTTCTCCCACTCTTCGTAGCCCAGCAAGGCATGGCCATACGACCGGGAAGGATCATACTCGACCGCCTTTTGGAACCACTTGGAAGCCTCGTTGCCTCCTTTGGCACACTTGCTCCAATTACCAGCCGCAATAAAAGCTTCATAGCGATGAGATCGATTTTGCTTCATCTTGTACGCCAGCAAATTCAGCTCCAGCTCATTCTCCAGATACCACAAGCAGGTCGAATAGATAGGCACGCCATCACAGAACCACGGCGCTAGCCAAAATGCCCGTCGGAAAAATACGCGTGCACTTTGGTAATCCCCCGCGTCATAATAGGCTTTGCCAAGGATGCACAGTACTCGTGCGGTGTCATATTGCGCATCATCCAACTCTTGCAAGACCAAGGCTGCTTCTCGGCATCGATAGAAGGAGTGGTATATGTAGCCGTTAGCAAGGACGCGCAATACCCCGATCGTTCGGTTCATGGCTTCGAGAATAATGGCACCATGGCTGCTGTTATTGTTGCCAATAGCTTGTGTATCATCATCTGTTGCTGTTGTCAATCCAAAATACTGGCACAGCTTCTCTGACTATAAACGTTGCTATTGTATTAGCGCGAACTCTACCAATCTTAATGAACCTACTAAAGAAACCATCCCACCTCTGACAACACTCGTTGGGATGCCGCTTCTCCTGCTTTCCGCTATAAAGAAATGTATGTTATTATCCCTTCTTTCCAACCTCCAAGGTCTTCTTAAAGCCGTCAAATGAACTAAATCCAGATGGAAAAGATGATCACTTGAGTTTCGTCGTTACCTTGCGGTTGGCTGCTCTTCCTCTTCCGCTTTTACCCGATGGTTTTCTATGGGAATATTCATCCAGATTGAGTTCCAAGCTCTCCCAACTGAACGACCCTTCTTCTTTTTCTTTTTTCTTTTCTTACGTTGTTGTTTCACGACGATCATGCTGCTGACCTTGTAACCTTAAAGTAGCGCCCAAAGTGTCTAATTCATGTTTTTGTGGGGTATCGTCGTCATCGGTGGTGGCTAAACCCGCTTCCGCTCCAGGCATTAGATCAACATGTAAATGCTGTGGTTTCTCCGCTGGCGGCTTTTTGTGTAGACCATGCTTGTTCTTGTATGCTTCTTCTGCTTTCATTTTATCGATATCTTGTTTCACCATGTCCATCTCCATGTCTTTTCTTTTTTCTATATGACTCCTACAATAGTATGTTCAGAGTATACGCTCACGAGATCAGTAAATGCATATAAACCTAGAGCGCAAAATAATAGCTAACAAAAGGAAAGCCCAAATGAATGCGTATGTGGTACAGAAAATGCCTACCGCTGTGGCTCGATATCGGTTATGTCACTGTCTTTCAGTTTATGCGAAAAGAATACGAGGAATCGCAGCTGATCTAACGATACGTCTTGATAATCATGACGGAGAGATGGCATATACGGTTCGCATTCTGATCTTATTGATGGCTGTGGATCCTTGAATGTGATGCCAACAATAGATGTTGAAGGTGGTCGAGGTAATTGTTGCTGTGCTGCTGGTGTTGTTGTGAATGGTTGTGAGCGTTTCTTCTCGAGATGGACTGTGTCGGCAGAGAAGTCTTTAAAGATATCGTTTGGTAGAGCAGCTGTCGCTTTAAAGTCGATCACATCCGGTGCGATATCACATAATGCGGTATAAGCTGATAACTTGAATGGATTGTCAGCGAGACTATCCCAGAGCTTGTGTGCTGCTCCTTGGATATTTTCCAGTTTGGCATAGAGTTCACCCAGTAGATTGCCCATGGATCCTCTACTTGGCATATGGCTTCGTGTCATTACGCTTGCCAAGTCTAATAAAGTTTCGAGTTATACTATTATCAGATTTTAGGGTATGGTTAACTCTCTACCCATATAGCACTATACTGATAGTTACCGTCACCCCAATAATGTACGTCAGAAAAGTCGCGTTTATGCATATCCAGGGCGGTCGTTAAAGCCTTGACACCTTCACGCCAAAACGCCTGTCGCGGTTCCATGGATTCTCCTGCTTGTTCTTGATTCCCCAGTTCAAGACAGCTTTTTGCAAATAGATTTCGGCATGGTATTGAATTTGCCGTTTTGAGCACAGAATAGCTGCCGTTGTAATCGCTCAATAGAAACAAGCATTTCGCGTAAAGAAATTTGTATTCGTCGTTGGTCTTGTCGAGTGCATGCAATCGTTCTGCTAGTAACAAGGCATTTTTGTAATCGAAATCGTCAATGTCCTTGTTGACCAAGGCCATGAGAACCCATGCCTCGACTGGATTCTCCATGTGTAAAGCGTATATGAGTGTAAGCAGTAGATCGCAGGTGTAAAAAAAAGAGAGACTTGCAAGTACTTTATTTCAAAAGCCGGAGAACAATAAAATTGCCATCACCGCTTTCTTTAAAACTGTCACGGATATTATGAATAGATATAAAGGTATGTGAATAATATTATAAAGTGTATCTGCCAAACAGGACTTTATCGCAGTATGCGCTGAACTCGCACGAATTTGCGTCTTGGGGCTCTTCGACCGTGTCTTCCTCTGAAGCCACGACACCGTTGAACGTGTTATAAATCGGCAAATGCGGTTCTGGATAAGAGTAGTGTGGGAGTGTCAAAAAAAAAAAAAACCAAGATCACTAGCAGCAAATGTACAAACAACAGTCGTGTCTTACCGTTACTGCTTTCACTCCGATGCTGCGTCTTTTCACAACTGCCAGAGCCGTGGCCTTGCTCAACAAGTGCGCAGATATTCATGGTACTCTCGTTGGGAAAATCTGCAGGCGGAATGATGGCTGCTTTCCCTCCTTTGAATGCTGCTCCAGTGGCGCCGTCAGCAGGAGTGCGATTTCGACGAAACACCTTCTTGATCCATCCCAGTTCGGTAGCCCGTTCGAACAGCGCAACCTTGGGCGAGAGCTTGCTTTCGTCCGTGCTACGTGCTACTGTTTGGCGCAGCACAGGCTCACTGGCACTCGATGGAACACGCTCTTGTTTATGCTGTTGTTTGTCGTGGTGAGGATGCTCAGTGTCGTCGTGGTGCTGCTTTTCAGCTTCATCGATTTCTTGCTGTCTGTGATGGTGGTGACCCGATATCATTGCCGAAGTAGACTTTTCAAGGCGTAAGAGCTTGGAAGCGACTGCTGTCATGGCAGTATCCGCTCCAGCACGACGATGGAGCATCATAAGCTGCTTTCGTTGCTTGGTGCACCATGTCGTCAAGGCTGTGCTCTTGAAACTGGCGTTGCCTTGCCAGCGGCTCGTAGTAGTGGATGAGGCCTCGTTCGTGCCATTGTCGTCGTTCTTTGGCGACGCTGCAGCTTCTTTATCACCGGGTGGAGGAAGCAATCGTTTTGCAAGTGACGGCATCATCATCTTGACGTCGTGCAGATTATTTTTGTAGAGAGAGAGAGAAAATGAGCGAAACGCAAGAAAACAATTAAACATGCCTTGTTCTTATATGATGGCATAGGTAAAATATATTCAGAATCCTGATAGTTTGTTATCTCGTCCAGTGCTCAATCTCCGAGTTCTAGGTTTTTTTAAGTTGTGTTTGAAACAAGAGAGTGTATTATGTGGGCTGGGGGCAATGGAGGTGGAGAGAAATAGAGTGGGGGCATATGGAAGCGCGGCGGAAATACGTAAGATGCAAAGAGAAAAAAAAAGTTTTTTGGATAAGCAAACAACGGGCAGTGACCGCGTGCTATGTTCGCACAGGTGGTCGTGCCGTAGGTATTGCTTTAGCCTTTGGAAATTCGGGCGGAATACGACGACGACTACGCGTTGTTCTGTCTTTTGGCGAGTCTTCTTGCACCTTCTGCTGCTGATGCTCCCCATTGCCATCCCAGTCCTCCACGGTGATAGAGGGCACGTGTTCCGATTCTGGATGGTCCTCACTGCTAGCCACTATTTTCAACACGGCCCGTTTTGCTGCATTGCTTGATCGAACAGAGTCTGGTGAGGAGACGTTGCTGCTACTGCTTTGCTTCTGCTGCTTCTGTTGCTGAGTAGTATCGCTATTGTCGTCACGGGTCTCATCGTCACTTGGCATTGGGCTTTCCAAGCGGAAATTTTCTAGGTCGTCCAAGTCGTCGTCTGACATTTCCGCTACTGCATGTGTCATATCGGATGCCAGTACGGCTGTGTTAGGCGGTGACTCCATGGTCTGCTCCCAGTCTTCGAAAGGCGAACCAGGAGGTGAGATCAAAAAGTTCTTTTCGCTTTTAGGCACTTGGAGTGTGAACAGCGTTGGATCAGGATTGATTGGATTATGCTGAAACGGCGTATGTCAAGTTAGCAGCTATCCTCTTTGCACTTGCAGAAAGTGCACACTATAATGTATCTTCTCTTACCTGTCCATAGTAAAGCCGTACTTCCATCCCTGGTCGATCCTGAGTAGCTTGCACTTCTTCGCCAATGCTGACATCTGTCACCTCAATTTTACCCGAATCAGTAATGAGTTCTCGCCACGACATGTGTACTTTGTCCAGCACGCCTCTTGCTTTGATAGCACACGCTGTTTCCTCGTATATGATCATCAATCGTCCAAATCCTTTCATGGCGACAAATGCATAGAGGATGCCAAAGTCCTCGAACTTTGCGCGAACATGCTCGAGTGCTATTGGATAAGTGAAAAACACCGATGGGACATTGGGCATCAGCAGTGTATTGGTTGCTATAGAGTTTGCTTGCATACTATTGCTGTTGTATGTATTGTTGCTGTATGTATTGTTGTGAGGAGGATGTGGTTGGGTAAAGATAAAGAAAGAAACTATGCTACACTCGCTTTTTCTTAACGACCGGAATAGAAATAAACTCCCTCGTCGTTTCAAAAAAAAATTACTATTCATGCTCCTCCTCCTGTTCGTGCTGCTGCTGCTGCTGCAAGTTCTTTTGACTCGAATACATTGTTGCTAGAGTGTCACTGGTGGTCGCGTCGTATATGGTCTTGTCATCGCGAGTACGAAGATATCGCGGAAATCGCAATGACAATCCTTTGCTCTCGTCCACACGAGTGATAGCAGCTTTATGCAGCGGACTGATCGTAATATCAGCGCCTAAATTAGGCAAGAACAAAAGGTAGTTGTGTTTAGTGCCGGGATTGGCTGGGTTTCCTGTTCATATATTCCATGTTTACCCTTGATTTCCCAGACTTCAGTGGCATCGAACCAAACTACTTGCTATGAAATTAGCATAATTGTACAGAATACAAATGGCTAGTTGGCTTGAATATTGAAAGAGGCAGCTGGGCTACTATTTGCATTACCATCTGGCTGATGATTTGTTACGTAATCATGTCGTGGATGATCCAAAACCCGCTGCACTTCTGCGTCTTCATCATTTGAATAGAACAGTTTCATTTCTCTATAGAACTTGTCCGTAAATCCTATGTATCATCAACCCCTGCATGTTAGAAGAGATCTTACAATATACACAAATATTATTACCCATAGGGTTTTATCTCACCTGACATGCATTTACAAACGCTTTCAAAGGTATCGTTGTCTGGATTATAACACGCCAATAGAATTGGAGAGTACCAGCCTGCTTTACGTCCATTACCATACCAAGCTCCTATAGGCTTTTTTTTCAATTTCAGTATCGTATTATAAAACATCGGTTAAGACGTGGCCATTGTATCCCCACCAGTAGAACCTTGCGCTTACCACCAGATCAAGGGAATCTCCAGTGCCTTCTAAATAGTCCTTTTTGATTTTAAGCCAGCTTTCCATGCGCTTATCTATCATACATATTTGAAACATAAGATTAAATGTAAAATATCGGGGTTACGGTAGCTGCAACACCATGAAAGATCTATCGAGTCATACCTGGTTCATAAGTTGCTAATGGATCTTGGTTTCTTGCACCGTTTGTTACAATCGTCGGATGATCAAGTACTTTGACCATGATACCTTCACAACCTTGGTTCACACCCTGTTCAAAGAAACCTTGTAATCTCTCCTGCTCTTCTGGATCCGTTCCCGACGCTTCCATTGAGGTCACGAAATCAAACTTGTTCTCAACTGGTGCAAAATGTTCCTTGAGTAATGCTCGTCGTTCTCGAAACGATAGTCGAAGAAGGGATGTATCGTTGAGATACATTAAATCAAAGGCCAATACACACTTGTATATCATTAGAAAAGCAATGACCATTGCATATCTCATCTCCTCCACTTCCCTCTTTACCCAAGTATTTATATAGCACACATATACACTATCTTGCTCCTCTTTTATGTGTTAAAATGGCTTACAACATTAATCTTGATCTTGTCGACAGTGACATTTTTTCGTTCTCTATTGCTGAGCACTTGGAACGGCAGGATCTTGCCTTGCTCATTGATCGCCACTATTTCTGCGTCCATAATGAAAGACGTGGTATGTTCTCTTTTCATTTGGTGTAAATAACCAACTATATCTGGATATTTGTCGGTCATATCCTATATACATAAAGAAACATAGGAATGTACTAAGATCTAAGCATCTTTACATAGTTCTCTCTATCCATCATGTTATTATATAAGAAAACTCCTAGTTAAAGCACATACCTCAAGATGTCGGCTAAAAATACTTGCTTTTCCTGAAGAATCCATGTGAATTTGAGCACGCTATGTGCATATGTGGCAGTGTTAATTAACATAAATAATGAAAACTCTTTTAAATAAAATAGCATTAAATAAATTGCTCTAGTGGCTATACAATACCTGTCCGTCATATTTGAATTCGCATACAAAATCACGAGACTGGAGTTTGGTAAACACGTTGGTCATACTCCGTGTGATTTGCCCAAGCATTGGACGAAGTGGTACACCTGGGGTAAGTAGTGGTAGATGTTGAATTCATTAATACAAGATAACAAGGATGTGTGATGGAAGTTTGAATGTAACACATACCAACTGTCAGTCCACAGCGTTCAAATATACGACCAATATCACCACATTGTAAAACCCAAGGGAGAATTACATCCCAGTTTGGACACTGTGCATAGCATTCCTTCAAAAGTGCTTCGGCTCGCTTCATCTTTCGCATCAAATCCTCCTTCGAATCTGTAGGTTGGCGGATCAAGGTCTCGCTCTTGTTTTCGCGTGATAGACCATTCTCTTCTTGTTGATGGTCTCTTGGTTGTAGTGACGATGGGTGTGCTGACGATGGTGTGAGCGACAATACACAGGCCTTGGCGAAGGCAACCAAGACAGTTGTTCCAACAGCCCCAATCCGTAAGTTGCCTACGCATGTTCTGACGATATAACGCGCTTCGTTATCTTTGGCAGCTAACAGCAGTCGCTGGACATGTTTGCATTTCTCATTGACAGTGCCCTTTCCCTCTACCGAGGCAACGGTATGGAGCGTTTTAAAGACGCCAGTAATGGACAGTGGTTTGGGCTGAACAATAGTGCGCACCGATGTTTTAACTGCGTATGCAACATCCCCCCAATCACCATGATCCTTGTATAGTTGATGTAATTTTTGTCGCGTCGCACCAGACACGGCCGTGAGGGATTTGGTGAGCACAAGCGGGCCAATACCAAGCTCGATGCCTTTATATGATGCGCCAATCGTGTTGGAGCATAACCACAGTGTCGGAAGAATATCAGATGGCGTGTGTATTATCAGGACGCGTAGCATATTGCATAGAATATTGACAGTGATTATACGAGAGCTAGTATCTGCAATAATGGCAAACGCTTGTGCAAGAAAACTGTAGGGAGCAGCCAAACTGTTGCCTGCCTTTGTGTTTTTTGGCCAATCCAACACAGGGTATGTAGATGGATCAAAGACTAAAGGATCCATAGTTAAAGGCTGCGCTGGTAGCTCTGCGATTGTAGTAGATCCGAATCGTTGTATCGTTATCGTTGATATCGGCTCTTTTTCTGAAGATGCTTTCGCTGCTGCGGTAGCAGCGGCAGTGTCAGTATCAGCTGATGATAGTTGAGTTTCTGTGGCTATTGGTGCTTCCCCTTCTAGTTTTTTGAGGATATCTTGGCTACTTTGCTCTGGCAACGTGTTCTGTAAGGGCAGCGCAGACGTGGTCGACCTTAGCGCTTCAGTCACTGTAGTAGCACTACCACCACTGCTAATTTCTGTTGCTGAAGCTGTTGGTTTTGCTGTCTGATCATGTTGGTAAATGGGGTGAAAAGGATCCAAGGGATTTCCGTAAGCTTCTTGCTCCAACAAGTGCTGACGCTTTCGTTGATTTTCAAAAAATGATTTGATGCCCGTGGGTCGTCCATTTCGATTCGCTTTTCGTTTTGGCATTAGAATACTCAAGAGTGAAACAATAAAGCGTAAACCGAGAAAGTGCGCAGGCAACAAATTCCCCGAGCATACGTGTAGTAGTAGCACCCACTCACACTAAATACCCATATCCGCCTGTTGATACTCCACGATCCCACGCGACATGTCAAACGCTGTGTGCTACCACAGCAACAAAAGGAAACTTTTTCTTTTAAAACAAAGAAAGAAAAATGCAGAAAATATACATTTATTGATAAATTTACTGGTCCTTGACCTTCTTGGTACCACGGAGAAGACCAGTGCGGCGGGCAGCAATAAGACCGACCTGTTGTCACAATCATAAACAGGGTCATGATTAGCATCGACTACAACTCGTTTTTATGCATTCACCCAGAAACACGTGATAAAATACATTACCTTTTGACCAGCGGGGGCGGCACGGGAGATGGTGGAAGCCTTACCAATGTGCTGATGGTTACCACCACCGTGAGGATGGTCCACGGGGTTCATGGCAACACCACGAGTACGGGGCCAGTTGTTGCGCTTGGCCTTAGCACGGAAGTAGGCACGACCAGCCTTCAAGAGGGGCTTGTCGATACGACCACCACCAGCAACGACACCAATAGCGGCACGCGAGGTCGAGGGGACGATCTTCTTGGAGCCAGAGGGCATACGGAGACGGGTCTTGCCGTCGTCGCCGTGACCGATAATGGTGACATAGTTACCGGAGGCACGGGCAAGAGCACCACGGTCACCAGCCTTTTCTTCGACGTTGCAGATAACGGTACCTTCGGGCATGGAGCCCAAGGGCAAGACGTTACCAACGTTCAACGAAGCCTTCTTACCACAGTACACGAACTGGCCGGTGTACATGCCTTCGGTGGCAATGAAAGTCTCGGTGCGAAGCTTGTACCTATTATCAACGGTAGCAAAAGCGAAAGGTTAGGCACTTGTTTATCATCGATGTCGTTTGGGGGGAATTCGTGAAATAATAAATGCGTATCGTTATTGCTGGAAAAAAACATACTTGTAGGGATCGCGGAAGACAACCTATAATTTATATGATAAAAGTAAACAAATATAGTGATGAATAACAAGATTTATCTAGTGACAAACGTTTTAGCCTATTCTCATTTCATTCTTGTTACCTTGGCAAGGGGAGCACCACGTCCGGGATCGTGAACAATTTCCTTGACAAGACCACGGATGTAGCCGTGACGTTCAGAGTAATCCTGGACACGGAATTGAGCAGCGCCCTTGCGACCGACAGTGTGGGCCTTGAAGACGCTTCCGGCACCTTTTCTTTGAGCACGAATGACACGACCCATTTTTAACTATGCTGTAATGGAAAATGTTGGCAATAGAAAAAAAAATAACCCAACGTCAATTGTCGATTCTTCCATCAATCCATCCATCTCTATCCCATTCGATCCATCCACCCCGTATTCATCGTTCGTTCATCCGTTCGTTCATCCACCAATCTGCCATCGTCGCTTTCCCTTTGCCTACGCCATCCATAGCTTACACCCTTATACACTACTTACAAGGTGGAAAGAGGAGGATCAGTGTGATCCTTGTAGTGCCACCAATAAGAATTCACGCCGCTGAGGTTGAAACAATAGCCCCGCTATAACCAGTAACTAGGTAGATCCACCTGCCCGTTGTTATATCCAACATCACCTCAATCGAACCTCTCCTCTATTGACTCCAACTAATATGATAAAGCATTCAATAACTTCTTATAAACGCTCAACATAACTTTTTGGAATAGAGTGCAACGCTTTTTAGCGCCTAAAAAAACAATGCTAGAATACAATTACTTAAATTTATGCTATTATGTTATAATGTGTGATTAAAGGTTATCATTACAACTGTGTTGTATAGCATATTATCTTCCGAGAATGCACCCTGTCTGTGGTTAACAAGAAGAAGACGTTACTTTTTTTTCACTCACTTTATTGTATCACGTGAGATGCATATAAAGCACATAGTTATATTTGCTGTTACCTCAGAGTGTACAGGTATACGAATAGCTGGTTAAAAGACTTAATACACAGACCTAGTTTCCGTGCTTCGATCTTTTACTGCTCAGACACCCATTATCATTACAATCAACTTCTCAAATGTTTCTCTTCTCCTTATCTGGTATAGCTGGTACGAAACCAGATTGAATAAAGGAAAGACATTTCGACAATTTGACTTTTCCACCTTATTCAAACGCATCTCCTTATCTTTTCTTTCTCATTTTGCAAACATCAACAGGCGTTCTCTTCAACATTATTCACAAAAAGAATACTAGCTTTCTTGACTAACGGATGATACTCTTATTATACTCACGTGTGGATAAAACAGTTGCATTACATGAAAAGCAACCATGTTCAAATAGGTTCTGTCCATTCGTCTTTTTATTCCACACATTTGCTTGGTGCTTCTTTTCTTCTTTGAACATTTCTGCATTTGCCCTTTGCTAATTGAGGCACACTTCTACTGGTGGCATGCAACTATAAACAGTTAGCACACCATTCATCGTGTCTAACTCCGACTCAACTCTGGTTTTGCTGTTAGTTTCCTCTACATATCAAGTTTGTTTTTGATTACATAAATCATAACAATATCTATGGTTATCTTTTCGTTCTGCTCGTACTGATGTCAAATCATGCTCTGATGAACTACTGTAAGTTTCACTGCATTATCAGGGCGCAACTACATAAAGTTTCTGCTTTGGTTAATTCTGAGTCATTATAATATGAAAATTCGACGTTTGCATGAATGTAAGATTAAACTATAAGAGTGTAATAAAGGAAGATGATTTCATTCAAATGCTTGGTTAGACGAAGCGTTTAGCCATAACAACGTCGCCTGGGTCTTCAAGAAACTCCTCCAGATGAGCTAGAAGTATACATTTTAATTTCGAGTTCTTCCTTTTCTCGATAAGACCGGATGTTTACCTCTTCTTCGAAGCTGTACAGTATATAATGCGTTTCGTGGTGATCCAAAATGCCACAAATGCGGCTTAGTAGGCAGTATTTGCGCTCGACATGATGTCCCACAGAAAACTACTAGTATCTCCAAACTGGGGAGAAGTAAGCTATATGAACATGCAGTTGTGTTATAGTATACAGCATAAAGCGAGTCAAATTACGTAGTATCATTACATGCATTATATTTCCAAAGGGCGGTCCTCCGAGATATACAAGAAATTGAAAGATCTACGCTCGAAATCACTAGAGAGGTTAGTGCGCAACAAAGACTCTGAATCTCTTAAATCAGGTTTGATACCTCGCTTTAAAAAGCATTAAAAGATGTAACCAGATCCGAGCGCGAACTGGGAATAACTCGACAATAGATGGATCAGAACACCACCCAAATTCATTGGTATTTAAAAACGGCAGAGAGAAAGGGCTCGTGACATTGGCAAATCTAAATTGAAGACATAGCTCATTGGCCAGATATGTTAAAAGATGGGCCGCATCGCTCTAGCAAAGCTTGGTAATACGCAAAAATCTCAATTGGATGAGTGCTGATAATCTAATATAGGGGATACAACGAGTTCCCAAATGCTCAAGTTGGTTAATAACGCAATAACTAGAGCAAAAACGATTCTAAAGCATTATAACGAAGCATGTAGATTACTATCATAAATGCTTCTTTTTAAGACGTGAAATACTGTATGGCGGTATCAAGTCATTACTGTAGATGAAGGACATTCTGGTCTCCAAATGGCACCGATATTGATTCTTGCGCTCTTCGCCAGAGTATATAAATTAGAAGCGTGCGTTCAATGATCTCAGACTGTTAGAGGTAATACTTTATCTATTTAAGTTTTAATATATAAATGGTAACGAGAATATCTTGTATGATTAATTGCAGCAAGAGCAGGAGCAACGTGAAACGCATGCACATCTTCGCAGATGTCAACGGTTTACAGTATTCATGTAGTGGAAAACGAGCTCCGCGGAGAAGGACGCAAAACAATAGTTCAAAAAGGTACACGGTCAATCATAGCATCAACCGCAACCGCAACCAGTAGACCATGGCGAACAAAAGCAGTATTCAGAAGAGCAGCTGCTACAGCCGGATGAGGATCAAATAGCTTCAAAGAAAACATTAAACTGAAAAGCGAAGGTTGCATCAGACCACCCGGAGCACCAGCGTCAAGGAAGAAGCACCGCCAATGAGACTATCAATGACGAGGAGAGCTTTGATGACGGACAAGTAGCAGTAGACCGTCTCAAGGACTCGATGATACATCTCCGGGAAATTACATGGGCATAACACGTGTGGAGAACGGGAAAAAAGAACATTAAGCTCCTGCAACAAGAGCTCAGAATCTAAGAAAACTTAATGATTCGTGGAGTAATATTACATGCGAATGTACGTCTTGGCACCTTACATTTTACAAATTTTTATAGTCTCTCATACCTTCCTTACGCTGTCGTATACATCATTTTCAAATGCTTGCTAATTATTTTTATCTTAGATCTTTATATGTCTTAGTATTTACTACGACGCATGCCAATTCCAATACACTTTACGCTACTGACTATGGACTTTATATTATATGTACAGTAGCACTCCACTCTTGTTTTCGAACGTGCATATCTTCATGCAAAACACACAATCTATATGAATAAAGTATGGTGTTTTATGGTGGGGCTATAGAAACATTATTCACTTTTCAATACAGTATATATGAAGAGTTTCCATGGTCCTTTGACGGTGCTGTTGTCGCTTAAACGCTGTATTTTTATGCTGCTACTGCTTCTGCACTAGCATAAAAGACTTGTCGCATACACAGTTACAGTAACAAGTTCAGCTCAATATATTGACACTTCACATTCTAAGAATCTCATTTATAATGAGTGATAATAGTACAGAGAGTAAAATATATGCAGATTTATTGTTCTGAAAGCATATATCAGTCTTTATGAAATAAACCAAGGAGCGGCAAACATGACCAATGATACTCTTGAATTTGATGTAAATAGCTTTAAAAGCCTAGATAAACAAAGATCGCCTGTCAGTTTTTGCATTTAAATGTTCGTCTTAACCTCGTGTATCCGCGATCCTCACGTACCTTTTGTATGTACTGCATATTGCTTTTGCGATTTGGGAAAATAGCATCCAGTATTGTAAATCACACTGTATATGTGTCGGTGATTACATCTGTTCATTGATTTTGGATCGTAAAGCCGCACTGTATATGCGTCGGCAGCTCCATCCTTTTTTCTTTCTATTTGTTGCTTCCCCTACAAGATCGAAACAAACATAGCGTTAGAAAATCAGTCAACTAGATCTTAAATGCCGTTCAGATAATTCAGAGAATAACTTACCATTTATAATGTATGTTGAAGGTATGTGATAATGCAATGCATAAGTGATTGATGTCAAAGAGATCTCCTTGGTTCATGGTTGCTGCTCCTTCAATTTCCCAGTTATATGGTATAAATTAGTTTTATACTTTGCTCGTTGGTTTTTTAGTGTGTTCCTCTTGCTCCGATTGATCCAAATGTTCAACCCAAGCCAACGATGGGATCCGTGGTTGCGTTTTCGGTGAGTGACACCACGAGATCACCGACCCAGACGATATAAACTCGTTGCCTTCACCAGAATAGCACATGCATGCTACACCGGGCCTGTGGGCCACCATACGCCCACCCATGGCCTGCAAGGCCATCATCGGCGCCCCAGCAGATGATACTCCAACGCACATGGCAAAGTGTTGCGATGGTAAAACATCGGCACTGACATCCATGCTGCATGCATTCCAGCGCATGTCCTGTGTGGTAAGTGCATGAGAGTGGAGAAATTGGCGGTGTCATTTGTGCTGTGTCGTACAGGAAAACGTGAGGAGTGCGAGGAGAACAATGCGACTTGGATCCTCCCTCCCTCAGTGGAAGGCAGAATCTGGCGTGGTGAATGGACTTGAAATGCAACAGCATTGCAATGAAGATCGTCGGGAAACAGAAGCACCAACAGAGACGCCAACCTCGAGAACCGGATACATCTATGCATGACTAGAATGGCTTGAACAACATTCTAGTCAGAAACCCCATCCCTTATAACGATCTCTTTTTCCAAGTTGCAGCTAGGAAAAAACAGTCGTTATAAGGGATGCATCAAGAGCATTTATCGTTAGTGATTTCTGAATGTTACACTGATAATAGCACAGACCCACGCGTTTTCTCTTTATACGTCACTGAATAAAAAAGCCTGTACATACCATCATTGTCGTCAAAGAACTGCCTTGCATATCTCTGCTGTGATTCTGATTCTGAGTGGCAGTCGGAACAATGTTTGCAGAAGCCTCACTACACTTTGTGTTCTTACGCGCGTTTTAAAGGTGCGGACGCGTGTGACTTCCAGGAGATTGGCAGACTTTCGCCGTTTATGTCCAAGCGTTTTAGTACTCTGGCGGTGCATTTGTATCGTCTTAAAGACGACCGACCAAGAAGAACAGTGATCGCACTCTTCAGTCTTATCTTCGTATAAATGACGTTGTGTGCTTGTACAGATCATGCAACTGTCTGTAAGGTTGACCTGCTGCCCACGTATCGACGCAAACTTAATCAATGAACGGATACCTTGTGGAGAGAAAACTTCAAATCGGCGTAAAGAAGGAAAAATACTCTGTGAGTTAGAATCCAATTTATTGTTACATGACTGCCATCTGCGATATCGGTATATTATGTACTAATAGTGTATACTGTTATTTTTTGTGTAGGAGGAAGCGATATACATTTGGTTGTTAGAATCGACCCTTTTCGTCTTAAGCCATCTCGTTGATCTGGTGCAACAAGCGCCCAGACATATATTTGTTTTTAGCGGGTGCGTGGTCACGCTATGTACCTGTTGGTAGGCTCATTGTCTGGTTTTATAAGCTGAAATTATCCGAGTGGGACGTATCAATGACGATAATGTTATAGCCGGTCGTCATGTCAACTATCATATCCGCTCGTGCTGGGAGTTTAGCTTAACATCTTATTATTGATGCCTTAGGCTATGTAATAATGTAGTTGGACAAACTTCGAAACAATCACTCGGATACGGTCGACTCATTATTCTATTGAGTCGATAGGATATAAACCTCGTTTAAGAAAGAGAGATGTTTTGTTTACTTTCCATAACAACGACAATGTATGCGTCGTTCGTTTGAGAAGCGTAATGTCGACCACAATCTGTGTTTTTGATTTTACACTATTATGTACGAATGCTCATCGTATGTGTTCTTCTGCATAAAGTAAGAATAGCTACGCTTTTAGTTAAAGTGTAAAAATGGTATACTGTAAAGAAAAAGTTATTTCTTGCATAATGTAAGTCAACGAAAACCTCAAGTGTGCTTGCTACTTTATCATGGTATCATATGTAGTATTTCGTTGAAACAAACGGTTAATGTAATCCACAGCTCCGCAGGCGATGAGAAAATATTGTTGGCACGTTTCAAGAAGAAAATACAAAAGAAAACAATAAGCAAGCTAATGTAGATACTTGTGGGACCCATTTTCCAATGCATTCATAGTACTATCATACCCTCATCAATTTGAAGCCGTATGGGGATTCTTCCTGAGTATACATAGCCACCCCAATTCTATTTAACCTGGAAACGGCGGGTCGGAAGTTCTCTGATGCTATACAGTATACGAACAGCGGTTACGTATAGAAGTACGGCGTCCGGCAACAGCAGAGCTATAAATACGGCTTGTTGACGATGTTCCAGTTTCTTTTGGGAGCACTTCGTTTTCATTCACCTCCAGGACTTACCAGTAGTCCTGGCCTGTAAGTTTTTTATTAGTTAACAATAAAAAGAAGTTAATTGATACCTAGAAAGCTACGGGGTAACCAAATAAGTGCTGGAGGGGAGGCAATACGTTTCGTTGATACATTTATGCACTTTTTCACGATCGCCTATCATCAATAAACTGATCGTTGAATAAAAGGGCGAGCGGTTCCCTTATTTGAAAAGCTAGCAGATAGATGACTGAGTGGGCCCACTCATATCTATCAATGATATTTTTAATAACACGATCCCAGCGTTTGTTCATTATATAATTGTATATAGTACACATTTGGCTTACTCTCAGACTGATATTGTATCTTCTTTCCATCAAAAACCGTGACAAGATCGTAAAACACATTTTCGCTTCGAGGTACATTAGGAAAAGATATATAATAATGGAAATATATACTGAAAGGTAACAAGTACACAATTTCTAAACTTTCGTTTTGCTGATAATAGATACGCCGTCGAACAGCGGCAATACGACTACTTGTACCCGTGAATCTTGCAAAACATGCTTGTTGAAATCATGAGCATATTTTGCTATTTTCCGAACATTTTTTGATGCCTCAACAGGGTTATCATCTTCATATCCGGCAATGCGATGTACTTGTCCAAAAAATAAAACTGATGAAAAAGTAAGGGAGAGGTTATTCTATAATTTCAGGTTTGTGTTTTCTGTTTTCTGCTACCAACCATTGTCTGCAATAATTAATCCTCGATCCGACAAGAGATCATTGTCAATAATGAAATCGTAATATGGGATATATCCCTTCTTATCGGCATCTAATATTAAATGACATTCTCCATTTTAGCAAAACGTCGCAAGAGAGCAAAGCGATTGTAGTACTTATCAGCAATCAGAGTATTACCTATAAAAACCATATCATATTGTGGCCGTGGTTCTTCTTTTGCTATAGCAATTAAGCTGGAAAGTTGTGCGGTGGAGAGATCCATGAGAATCATGTACACAGGTCTATAGACATTCAATTTGGATACCTTTCCATTGCTTTCCCCAGGCGCATATCGACACGGTCTTCTAAATTTAACTGGTGGATATATCGCTTTGCAACTTCTTGAGGCTTTGGATCCCTTTCGAGAGTGACTAACTTATCGCTAGGCTTTAACGCGGATGCCATGGCCAGAGTAGAAGAGCCGGTAAACGTGCCGATTTCCAAGATACGCTGCGCACCGAAAAGCTTCACCAACTGATGCAACAGACTACCTTGCGTCTCTGGCACCATCATATGAGCATTACCAAACTGGCTTAGTGTTTCTTGCGCCAAATCATTCAATGCAGCCTTAACAGTGGGTGGGAGCGACGTGCTCATATCCGCAGTGTATTTCTCCTCGTGAAGACGCAAACGGTTGTCACTGTTGCTTACTGAATTCTCGAGTAAATTGGTGGAATGAAATCGTTTGAGGATTAACGGTTTAGAAATTCTCGGTGACCGTAGTAATTTGTCCATCTTTATATATAGGAATTGTTGGCATCAACTCTTTTTGACATGACAAGCTCGTTGCTTGTAGGCGGCCGACAGGAAAAAATACTATAAAAAGCCACTCCGCACCAGCTTTCCAAGATAACTGTTAACTATATACCCTTAATTGCCCCTCACAAGAATATAAAAGATGGAAGACAAGGTCTACCAAGAATCGAACAGTGCACTGGACACTTTAAGTAGTGTTTGGGAAGCAACACTTGATTTATTACGCGTTATCACAGAAGCATCAAGCAATTCGATGCGATCAGAACCCAACTTGATGCAACTACAAAAACACCGCAAGAGTTTAGACGCGCTATTGGACCAACTCAAGACGCAATCAACCTGGCTACAAGAGAACAAAGACAAAGCAAATCGAACAGAAGCAGTGGAGTCGAATCCGGGACTTGACCAAGCATTACAGGAACAACGCGAACTACGCCAGGTAAACAGCTTGCTTAAGTATAGCATGCGTTTTCATCAATCGGATTACTGAATATCCGACTGTTGATTTTCATTATTAGGAATCGATTCAACTCTCAGATCAGCTCAAACAATTGTTAAGTCAATCATATGCGCTTCAGTTTCAAATGGATATGCTTCTTGCTTCCTGTCACGATCATCCTCTTGTAAATAATCATTAATCAATACAGTTTTAATACTATATGTAAATGTATTGTGTAAATGTCTATGTTTGTTTTTCCTTGATCAAACGGGGTACGATGAGATGGCCAACCAACAGCCGAGAAAGCAGGAATAAGATAATAGAGAAAATAATAAACAGCTCAGCAATACAAAAGTGGCTGATGCTCGTACCAATCTCCAGCCAGCTTCCGTAATCCGATACAAAGTAGAAAAAGTTGATGGTCTGGACATCTGTCACGGTCATCACCGCTAAGAACAGGCTGAACGGCTGTAGGTCAAGGCTTGTGCTCAACACACCAAGAACCGCTGATACAACAAAGAATGGTACCAGAATTTTGACAATCAAAAGCGCGCCCATCAGAAAGGGGTTAAATATCGTCACGAAGCGATACACGCTCTCTAACGAGAAACTGCTCAAGGACGCCACATTACCCGTGCCAAAGAAAGCAACGTTGATAAAGAACAGAAAATAAAGAGATGCTCGTACGTCGCCCACCATCAACGAGCGTATGATAGATACGCGACTTCCACGGTATATCTCGCGTTCCACTTCTAACCAAAGTAGGACCGTAGTGCAGAAGCAAACATAAAACAGCATTTCGTAAGAGATACTGAGCAGGATGATCAAAGGCCCAAATGCCAAGCAGATAGTCAGTAATCTCGCCAGATAGTCGTCGTCAGGGTTTCCACGGTAAACAAATGGCAAGAGTGTCGAAAAACCTACAGAATATAAACCATGAGCACAATGCTAACTCAAACATACATTATATTCCCTTACCAACTATAGCCCAGCTCAATATTTGATTAACAAATGGTAGACCGTTCTTTTGTTGTATGCTTTGCGACGTGGAGTATACCAGAGCAATGCTGAGCAACATGGCTAGAAGCTAAAGTGATAATTATTAATGTACGTCATGAAGATACAAATCAACAAATATTTTACCTGAACTATCATCAGCACATTAAGGCGACGGCTGATCCGAGATCCGGATAAGAGGGACCACATGACAGCTGCGCCTATAAATACACCTGCTATGCCGCCCAACACACTGCTCAGCATTAATACCCTTTTGAGATACACTTTGCGCTCGTAGTGTCTAAACTTACACAAGATTGATATCCTCTCCTTTTTCGACGGGCAGCAGAGTAAAAACGCTTGTGCAAAGACAAGCGCCTATCCAGGAGACCAATAATGCACGATGCTCATTACGCACGCGTTTCGAGGAGACTATTGGCCATGCCGACAAAAGAAGAAAACAGGCAGAAAGCACTTCGCGTCTGAAGAAACTATAAACCTTTTTTTTCGTTTGATTAATATACGTGCGGCTAAAGAATTAACAACATCAGTACCCTTCTCTTTTTCTCCTTACCAATGCTTCCATTATCAAGATAAATGCAGTAACTCCCAGAATGAACACAGCCCAACCATTGCGCGACACCAGCTGCAGACCGGCAACAAGAGTATTCCGATGGCGAAGAATTTGGTTCCAGAAGTATACAGGGAAAAGGCTGTACGCGTAGTACATGGGCGGCATATTCTGGATCCAGATCATACTGGTCAATCCACCAAATACAGACACTGAGAGCGCATCAATCTGTCAAGCATAAAAGGCGTTAGTATATGCAGCACAGCAGAACTAAGAGATACTAAAGAAAAGAGGAGTGACGACAATGCTTACCAACCAGACGCCTGATTTGGACAAAGGTTTCTCGGCTGGACGTGCTAACACATAAAACTTGATCACAAAGACGAGGCAATACACGCACCATCCCACATAACCTGCAGTTATGATTCCGCGTAAAAAGAGCCAGTCGTACGTTTGGAAATATCGCAAGCCATGCAGGGAAAGCTGGATAAGTTCTTGAGACAAGATTTCCGCTCTGGTATATTCTCCAGCTTTAATACGATTGCGGATATCTTGAACAAATGTATCCGGGCTGTTTAATCCAGAAAGAGGTGGGAAAGGCCGGAAAAACAACTCGTCACGCTCTTTTTCATCTGTACCAGGCCCAGAGATAGATGACAGAAAGAGTGTATACTAGCATTAAGTAGTCGTGCTTATCAAGATGTTAAAGGCATATTGTTCTTGCTTACCATGCTTGACTTGGTACTGAGCCAGAATTTCTCGTGCATTTGCAAAAACAGCTTCCGCTCGGAATCTCTCGTCCTCTTTCAAATAGCTAACCGGCAGTTCTCCAACATTGTTTACAGGAAGATCCGTTCCAATGAGCGTGGACATAAGCGGTGCAATATCAGCCTGAAGCACATCATCGCGCTGCCACTCACTCAAGTCCGATCCGGCCGAGAAGTCGTCATGGCCCAACCCCGTTTTTCTCGGTCCTCTAATACCGGCGCCCCAAGCAACCAACGGTGTGCGTGTGCAATCTGGGTGTCCGTCACCATGACCACCCCTGTTGTTCATACCGTGATCCGCTGTAAAAATATAGCTCGTCCGGCCATCATATCCATAAAAGTCTTCCATGATCCGAGTCATCTCAGCAATGCCCTTGTCGACCAGTTCGATGTTGTTGTGATATTCTTCTGAATGTGGTCGGAAGCCATGCCCGTTCGTGTCCAAGCCGAGCAAATGCAGGAAAAAAACGATTTTATCTTGTCGTAGCTTTCTGTTGAGCTCCGGATCATCTTTAGCGCGTGCAAACAGATCCTTGACATGGTCAAAGACCCACGTATCCAGATGGGAAGCCTCTAATTCCACGTGTAAGAGCGACAGGATGGATGAAACTCTCCCTCTCTCTTCTTTCCATCACCACTACTACGAACGTGACCCAGATAGCAATACAAACCTCCTGAGAAATCTTCAAATTCGGGTGGATACATAAATGTCTCCACAGATTCAGGATCGGTGGCACCAAGCTGAAACATCGGAAGGATATCCGGTGAGCCGAACGACCATGTATGACGCGATTGATTAAACACAGAATCAAAATTGACAGGATTCATCGTCCAACCTAATCAGCAACTGGGTGTTAAAAAAAAGCACACACACACACACACAGTTCCTATTCCATACCTGTTGTTACAGCGCTGACATCCTCGTAAAAGCCGGCAATAATTGCCACGTGGCCAGGGCGAGACTCAGTAGGCACACGCGTATGCGACACTCCCCAAGTGCCCTCCTCCTTCATGATCCGACGTAAAAACTTGGCTCGGTCCTGTCCTTGACGTTCAATAACTTTGTCAGCTCGAAGACCGTCGGCTATATTATAAACACAAGCGCACTTTATATTTCAGCCATGCGGATCTGTGATTGTTGTTGAACTATTTGTATGGTATGCTAATAGTAATAACTTGCCAACAAACAGAACGAGTCGATCGGCCGGTGGTGGCAAAGAATTCTTTTGTGGGGTCATGCCATGGACAAGTGGTGATTTAAAGTAGATGTCGAATATGCTGAATAAGTATATAACATGGAAGATTATGCCAATGAACAGCAGTAATCCCGTTCCTGTAAGCATTTTCGCGTTGTCATCCACTGTCAAGCAAAAGTGTATAGGTACGCTACTGACTTTTGTGTGTCCCTCCTTTTTTGGTTTTTTCCAGCGCAATACTGGTTGGTGTAACCGTTAATTTTAGTATCTGTTGATTGTTGATTGGCTCCTGCAACGTGTTTCAACCGCCTTCCGCGCTCACACCAAAATCTCAAACTCAAGCAACGCCTGATAAATGGTATGAAAGTGAATGTGCCTTTGTCACAATAACATGAACCAGTATTACTGAAAAACAATGTGCAATCTAGTCCGCCATCTTCAATTTCCAATCGTTACTCTTAGCGATATTACTGTTGATATGTACTTGCACTTATGTGCGTGCCCAAGCACCATCGTTGATCGATCGTAATAAGACTGGGTAAGTCTTCTTTGAGAAAGTTGGGTTATGGATACATTAATACACATAGATACTGAGACAAACATATTTTTCGTGTAGTCCCTTGGGTTTGTTTTGGAAAGCGGCTCGGATAGGGGAACGGTTAAGCCCATATGTATCATTAGCCTGTATCATTATGGGAATCAGCATTCTTACGCCATGAAGACTTTTTCTTCTCACAATGCAATAAAAAGCAAAGGAAAGCTGCCAAAAGTGACAAAAGCATTTTATGATGGATTATAGCAAGTAAGAAGAGTAACAAGAAAATAATAAGAGGAAGGAGTAAGATGTACAAGATAACTCTAAGTATAAATTATATACAAAAGAAAAGAAGAGAAAGAGAGAAAAGAATACTTATTGTGGGGGAGGAGGGGTTGATCTCGTATCTTGATTAGAGCCAGCGACAATAACATGGCCCTGGTGAGTAAGGATGACAGGCCGTACAAATGGGTTCGCACGGGACTCGACACCAGGAAAGTGTTGACGAATAACGTCTGTATGATGCTGGTGTGCCGATGCATAAACGCCCAAACCGATATTCATGTACGTCGATTGGTATGGCGTAGAGTGTGAATGAGATGTGGAGGACGCAACGGACGGAGGAGATGTCGGTGGTTCACGCTCTTGCTGCTGCGGTTCGCGTGATACTCGTGTCGAGTTCGACTGTTCATCTTGTTGCGACCACATGGAATATACCAATGGATCATTTTCAGCTGCTACGGTTGCTGCTGCTGCCGCGGCTGCCGCCGCATTGTTCCATGATGTATGTTTGTTGCCTATTACGCCAGTGGTATCATCCTGACCATCATTCTTGCCGAAACGCATCTGCGCGACTAGTTCGTCAATGTCTGTGGTAGTAGCAGTGTCGTTGTTCATTTTCATCGGATCCTTATGATGTTCATCCATGAAGCTAGCAAACACTGATTTCTCTTTGCTGTTGCTGGCGTTATTGTTATTCCCATTATTGTTGCTACTGTTGTTGTACAGTATCGAATCCACGCTCGCATCAGTTGTTTTAGACCAATTCTCGTCAACAGATAGAAGGTTTAACGGATATGGTACCCTGTGCTGCTGTTGTTGACTATGTTGATTCAAACCCTGTTGCTGTGGCTGCGGCTGTGGCTGAGCTTGTTGGTGTGCATTTTGGTTTTGCGAGCGCCAGGTGGCTGTATTGGGATCGAACATCATGTTTGTTGATAGCTGGTTAGTAAGATTTCCGACATTCTGTGCGTTGTGACCATGATGGGATGAAGGCATAGATAATGTTGCCTTGCTTTGTCTTGCCACAGCTAGAGATGCTGAAGCGTTCGCATGTGCTGCAGCTGCCGATAATGTGTGCGCCGAGAAGGCAGCTGTAGCCCGGTTCATGACGAACTGCTGCGATTGTGTTGGGCTTGAAGGATGCTCAAATTGATGCTCTTGCTCTTGCTGTTGCTGTTGCTGGCATTGATCCTGCTGCTTTTTGATTTCTGTGTCTGTATCCGCTGCCGCCATTGTGGCTTTCAGAGTGGTGGTAAATTCAGGTACGCCTGGTATTGTCCGAAGGTGGTACAATGTTCGCAGTGACCGTAACGATCGCTGAAACATGAAACGCGAGTGCCGTGCAAAGTTTAAATTTTCGCTAGAGCAGTTCAGCAAATGTACCCGTGTAGCTGCCATGAGCGCATTGGATACAAAGGAATACGACAGGATGAAGTTGGTCTGTTCTGCCAACGAGCACGCAAGCTGGGTGATATTCGTGGCAATAGTGGAGCATCGGTGTAATATCGTTTTACCAGTGATGGCCGAGTAAGGACGTAGGACGCCGAGTTCAATGAGGTTGTAAAACAGATGCAAATGAGCAATCATGGCATTCGGAGGTGGCTGTGTCGCAACGGCGTTGGCTTGCGTAGGAAATGGTGTCCATTGCAAATGCGCTGGCAACGACCGCAGCCACATCAACAATCCACTATCAAAGCTGTATGCAAGCTGTTCTTGTTCGTATGATCGTACTATGGCTCTGGCTGAATGAACCGAATCTGTCTGGAATGCATGCTCGCATATTTGGAATAGCTTGATTAGCGTAACGAAATACTCCAGTACTTCGTGCTCTCCAATATCGTCTCCAGGTTGCAGCAACGGCAGGTCGAGATCAATGTCTTTGCTTTGAATTCCCCACGGCCAGCCAGCGCAAACATTTTGCATCTTATCCAGGCAATAGCATGACCAAAATATCCGTTTGTGAAGTTCCACATCTTCTCTATTTAGGCGTTGATTCAATATGTATCGCTTATGCAGTCCCAAGTCGAAGCACATACGAAAGGCAATGCTGCTGTATGCCTGTGAACGACTCTGCGTTGCATTGTATCCATTGTTGCTTAAATCCGTCGGCTGCTCGTAAAGCGAAAGTAAACAGAGCGCGACGATGGTGCTTAGACGCGGCAGATCCAAGTGGTCGTCAACAAGTGCGACTGCGTGCGAATAATAGACGTTTGCTTGAGATCGGTCGTCATCCGCAAAAAGTGCTGCATGCGCGTAGATGGCATATAGCAAGAGGTGCGTGCAAAGAGATCCGCGGCGTTCCAAATGCTCGCAAAGTGTTCGTTTCGGTATAATCGGGAAGGTAGCGTAACGATATCGGAAAAAAAGTGTGATGAGATGTTGCTGTATCACCATGTTGTTGCCCGAGTTCCCCGTGCGATCTAAAGACGTGCTGTCGACAGGTGGTACTTTGGCATAGAGTAAATGCTCATCGATGGCCCAGCGTCGCTCACATCCTTCTGCTGGCCAGGAGGCACTTAGCTCGTCTAGTAAGCCTAACGTCCCCTGATGCTTCTCTCGGTTTCCGTTTGATGCATTCTGACTCATTCCTTTTCGCTGGCGGTGTTCGCGCGGACTATCGAAGGCAGTGCTGTCTGTTACTGGCTGAACGGTATCCATACTACCGGGTATTGTTTGCGAAGGTGACGATCCCATATATTCATCTTCTTCCATACCCGATGGGCCGTCTTTAGAGAACGAACATGGACGCTGACGAGCTGAAAGAAAAAAAAAGAGTGTCAATATAAGAGTGACGTTCTTGTACCTTTTCTTCTGTCAATTGTTCTCCAATTCGATGCTATAGCTACCTCTACACTAAATGCAAACAATCATTAGGTTTCACTTCATTGTTGTATACTTTTCTTTTTTTTTGGTATTTCAACTTACTTGCATGCAGGGCTGTAGTCCATCGCACTACATGACAAAAAAACTTCATCAGCAAACTATATGAACTAGACTCAGTTAAAGTTGGATCGCTCAATCTCTTTTTACCTTGATTTTCTTGACACGGCAAGTATAACAAGCTCTATTGACCTTTAATCGTTTCTGTCGAGGCATTTTAAGCGCTTGTGAAGAGTTTTTGGAATCATCCGCGTTGTTTGACGACTCATTGTGCGAAGACATCCCTCCCAACTGTGGCAACAGCAGTGACCCTGAAAAAGAACGTCCAAGCCGCGGAAGCGCTCCCACAAAAATACCATAAAGCTTGTGTCCCGCGGGTGCAAAGCCCGCCATTTTCAAGCTGGTGAGCTTTAGGAAACATGGATAATGCTATGTTCCTTTTTTGCTGGTACAGCGTAATAATATGTCGAATGACATCGTTCTCATCTTTATAGAGTGCAATTTACCTAATCCACAAAAAGGAGCTGTACCGTCTCTCGCTATCGAAAGGGAAAACCGCTGCACTATTTAGAAGATGATGCACGACGACTTGTATCGAACGATCAATGTACGGGTTTCTAAAGTTCCGTGATAAGGCAATCCGACGAGTTTTTACTATGATATTGATATGTTTATCAAAATAAAATGGGCGCATGAAGGTTCTGTAGTTAACGCATACGTAGTTGACCAACATGTTTTCACGTATATTACATCTATGATAGTGTTTTCGGGTGATATGAAGATTCGCCACTATCTCATATTTATTTAAAGACGATCAACAGCTTATTAACCGCCCTACTTCGCGCAGTGTACGCAAACAAGATTTGAGGCAAGGCGAACAGGATGTTAGCAGGTTCACTTTTAGTGGCGCTTGTTTTGATTTTCGAGTTTTGAAAAGTCAAATTATATCATATACAACTAATTTTTTTGGGCGTGTCTGTTTAGATAGTTCCATACAGATAAAAATGTACAATTGTATTTAGCTCACTATGGTGATGTGTTAGAAAAGAGGTTTGTAATACATAATTAAAATTAAAGATATGAATGCAGCCAATAATCAACTGTAATAAACCAGCGTTTTCGGTCGATTGTCACGGTGCACTCTGAATGTACTAATAGGTACGAGTTGGACGATCATTATAGAAGAATCAAACATGTGCTCGTGATATGAGTAGCTTCATATTATTTAAACACACATATCAGAATGGTCAGGTACGACAGGTGGCGAATATCGCTTTTTTGTTTTTCCTAAAATCAATCTAGAAATACTGTTATTCGACCCACGTTTTATGCAGTAAGCGGTGCTCTATATAGTAGTTGATACCATAATAAGCACAATGATTGTAAATAGGACTCAGTAGAAGTTCGATTGACTGGAAGCAGTACCTATAGATCAGCGCTCAATTTATGGCATGTCAGGCTTTCCATTTGTTAGAAAGCGCTAGTTCATCGGCTCGTCGTCGGCGGACGAGTAAAATTTATAATTTTGTCAACTCCACCTCTGTATACTTCTTTCTTTAACTTTCGACTCCTATAAAAAATGACTGAATCTGCCCAAAAGTAATTCTTTATTTTTTTTGTTACAGCGTGCACATTGATTTAATTATCAGTATAGGCTAACTGCTCTTTTAATGATATAATTCTAGGAAACGAAAGTGGGATTTGGACGATCAAGGACAAACCAGACCGGAAGGCACAGCAACTAAAATTTCCAAGGTCGATGACGAGTTTCCGAGCAAGACGCCTTCCAGCGATCAAGGCGAAGCAGCAATGAGTAAGTCATAATTTGTTGAAAAAGAACAGGAGTAAACTTTTGAATCTAACTTTCCTTGCTGTGCGCGATTCCTCCTTGTTTTTGAAAAAAAAAAGATGAAGCAACTGCCAAAATCAACGCCATTCTGGCTCAGAAGGGCCTTGCAAAAAAGGAGCCCACTGCTACTGCCGCCGTTGAATCGCAGAAACCGAACGAAGAAGGACAAGAGCAGCAATCAGAGCAGCAACAGCAGAGGCAAAAGCTGCACCCCCCTCCACGAGAAAAACTAGAGAACGAATTCGTCAAAAATATTCCAATTAATGATCTCAAGAATCGGTACATGCTCACCCGTGGTGCCACTCAAGCGCAGATTCAACGAGACACTGGCGCAGGTACAAGAAAAGAAACGGACTGAGAAAAAAAGTCGGAAGAGAGGTGGATAGAAACCAAGTCTAATGCCTTTTGAAAAATAGATGTAACCACCCGTGGAAAGTACTATCCAGACAAGGCATTGGCCACAGACGGCGAGCCACCACTGTATCTTTACGTATCGGCCTCTTCCCAAGAGTCGTTGGATAAAGCCGTCGCGCAGATAGAAGATCTGATTGCCAACGCCGCTGTCCCCACTGTGGTACCACCACATCGCCAAGATAACCATCATCAACAGAACAACCACCATCATCCGCAAGAACGGCCACCGGTAAAGAAAGCAGACTCAGTTAGAAAGAGGAAGGGAATTGGTAATGACGCAAACGGAATATCTCATAAACTCACACACTTTCTCATATTTCTGTTAGCGCAAGTTCCATGAAGAGAAGATCTACGTTGGTTTGGAGAGCACACCTCACTTCAATTTGAGGGCTAAGATTGTTGGTCCGCACGGTGCCTACGTAAAGCATATTCAGAATGAAACTGGAAGCAGAGTTCAACTCAAGGGTAAAGGATCTGGCTTTTATGAGACAGCCACCGGTCAGGAAGCCGAAGATGCTCTGCACGTTCATATCACGTAAGTTCATATAGAAATTTTTAGCTTAGGAGAAATCACACTTCAACGTGGATACTCAAAACGACGTTAGGTGTATTCGTGAAGAAGGCCTGGAAAAGGCCGTGCAGCTTACAAAGGATCTTCTTGCTACAGTCAAGACAGATTATGAACGTGGACCGCCTCCCAAACAGTACGGTGGTTATTACGGCGGTCGTGGAGGATATAGAGGAGGTTATCATGGCGGCCATCATCATCATCACGGAGTGAGTCTTCCTACCCACATAAGATAAAACGACATGGCTTCATTTCCTGTCATCTCGCACAGTTCAAATGTTAAAAGAGCTCAGCAAAACTAATGTAGATGTCTTATATTAACTTAGGGCTATGGATATCAAGGAGGTTATCAACCAGCTCCTCCACCTCCCGCACAGCATGTACCACCACAAGCGCAACCGCAGCCTTCATTATCGTCGTCATCGGGTACACCAACATCCAATGCAGACGATTCGCAGGCACCGGGACAGCCTCAGTCCCAACCGCAGTCGCATTCTGCTACACCTACGTCCAGCGGATATGAAGGAGGGGAAAAGAATGCAGCACCTTCTTACGGTGGTTACGACTATAGTCAATATTATGCTTACTATGGGCAATATCAATATGATCCTAGCTATTACAACTACTACGGATACAGCAACGCACCTCCAGCTGCAACAAGCCAGCCCTCGGCCGCGAACCCTCCACCGCCGCCGCCACTTCCTCCATTGGATGCTTCTCCAGGGTCGTCCTACCAACAATCACAACAAGCCCCACCACCCCCACCTCCACCTTCTGAGGACGCCAGAAGCCAATCCTATAACGCCGTGCCACCTCCACCGCCTCCACCTCAAGAGTAGAAGTGTGCTGCGATAGCTGTTACCGCTGGAAGTATTACATACACAACCAAAATTTAATTACAAGTGATCTTATGTTTCTTTCTTCTTCTTTATTGTCGCTCAATCAACCGGCCCTCTCTCTCTCTCTCTATCTCTCTTTCTCTCTCTTTCCGACTCTTAGCGTTTGAAAAAAAGAAAAAAGAAACGTGCTACATTATACTGCTCACAAAGAAAACTGTCTTTTAGGGCAACAAAATAAACAATGACATTTGCGAGGGGTTAAGTAGCTGCTTAAAAGAGTACATTAACCAACCGAAAAGGAAAAACTACGTACTATCATGTTTTACATGCTTTGCTGATGCATTTTATGTCTTTTATTTATATGGAAGCACACACTCTCTTTTACTCGGGATCTCTTGTTTCTCTTTCGTCTATTGGAACGGAAGGGAGAGGAAAGGGGGGCAAGAGTTATCCATTGCTCGCTGAAAGTGTAGCGTAGCGATAACGACACTCACTGGCCAGGCAAGTACCATCATCTTTTGATTTTATACACGAAAACAGACATGCTTGTATAACAACAACAGCAATCCAGAGAAACATATTGTTTTCACTTGTCAGTGCTCTGTAATCTTAAAGTATCGTTGTTTAAGTACATCGGGCAAACGCTTGCTGTCCATGTCCTTTTTGACAGTTTCAAAATCATTCCTCCTTATCGGTAAAAGCGACTTTTTCTTTTTATTTCAAATTTTGAACGATTCTTTTTAGTTCGTCTGCAGTGAACAGTTTAGTAAATGGCACACTTAAGAATAAAGACCACACTACCTCCACGGCCTCCTCCTCGTTGCAGAAATAACTATCGATTCCGACATTGTTTCCGTGTTCAACTTTCCATATTTTTAGCTATCAAATTCCAATCCTCCGTGCCATATTGAGACACTAGTGTAAAGCGACCGCTTGATTTGGATGGGCTTGCTGTTTCGCCCCAAGGCGCTTTAATTTCGGATATACGGTGACCCTGGTATGGCAGCTTTTCGCGTACCATGTTCCAATCGATACCTGCCTTCGCTATCGCTACTACTATTATTATTGTTGCTGCTGCTACTACCAAGTTACTACTAATAGCAGCAAGTATCCGCAACAACATACGGTCTTGTTAAGTCCAAGCTGGTGCTTGACCCGTGACAACTTGGTATCAATTGTAGACAGAACTGTACGAACGGCCCCTGAGCGAGGCAATGTAGCTCCAGTCATTGGGATATTTTTTGACCAGCTTGAACATTTCGTCAGTTTCTCCATTGGTGAATTGCTTGTACAGCCGTGCTGACGATTTTAAAGCGGTGATGGCTTGACGCCATGCCATCGCCGTGGTTGGAGTTTTTTCGTGTCAAAAATACACATCATGCAGTTCGCCACTTTGTTGGACGACCCTCCGGCCGGCAACAACAAGCTGAATGTTTAGTCAGACGGTCTGCACTCAATCAACACCTATTTAATCTGTGCTGCTGATGGCCCTTGCACGATATGTATTTCCTATGGAAAAATGCTTAATTACATGGCTGCTGTATAAGGCAAGTGCTGCTAGATTATGGAAGGCCCGTCTAACAAAACTGTTCGTTACTCTGAGTTACTATTAGTAAATCGAGCATCTTTACAAAATAAAACAGAGCATATCATAGTAGAAAGAATTACACGCTTCAAACATATGCATTGTATACAGTTTTTCACAGTTTCTAAGCGCAATAGAGTCGATACACTACTGTGCGACATTTCTAGATTTAATGTCACACAAAGAAAACTAACCATATTACATATTTCTTTTACTCGGCTCTTTTTTTCTTTTTCCAAAGTAAAAGAACAAAAAACGATATACGTATAATGGCGCCGCTATTGCGGTGTACTTCTTTTCTGCTCATTCTGCTTTTTACTCTCCATTGGTTTGGTAATTGACATTGTCGAATTCAAGTAGTAAGCAAGACAGAGGAGATCAGAGTGCTAACGTTTACTTTCAACCACCGAAACCGTTTTCTTTGCGACAACACTATCACTGCACTGACGACGGGTACGTTGTGTTTTGTGTATATTCGTTTATATTGTGGATCGTTTTTTACTGACAGAACTATGTGGATATGCTATTAGGCACTTTTTACAGGATATAATTGCTTAGGTAACGTTCCTGCGATATCCAGTCAAAAAGATCTTCTCATCTAACCAATCCATCGTGCTTTTCCTCCATATTGAACAGCGGCTGAGCCGACAGTAATTGAAGGATCAACATATGTACTTCCCAGCGGAAGTTTCACGGGCGATCTCACCGACGTTAACCTCTCTGGCTTATTCGATGGCACGCCAACTTCTACTGATAACGCTGCTGCTGCTGTTGCTGTAACACCAACATCAAGTGCCAATCTGGAGCCAACAAGTGTCGCCGAAAGCATATCATCGGCAGCAGCACCAACTACTGCTTCCCCTGTGCAGACGAGATCCTCGGCCGGAAAATCAACATCCGAAAGCAACAAGGACGGGTTGGCTCTTGGACCAGGACCAATTGCTGGGATCGTAGTAGGCGCGATTGCCGTGATCATCCTAGCAGTGCTTTTGTGTGTTTTTCTGGCACGCAGAAACAAAAATAACAAACAATTTGACCGAGGGCGTGGAATCACACCGTCAATGGTAATCAGCATGAGAACCAAGACACCGTCTGTTCTCGATCGTAGCGTAGGCGGCGAGCCAGGAGGCTTCCAACATAAACCGGTGCAGACGTACTATCCTGATCCCAGTAATATCATGATGAGCCAACCGTCTGAAAGTATCACTGCAGCAATTGATCAAATGTACAAAGTGAAGCAATACAACACCAAACCCAGTGCATCATCCACAATCTCGACCCCTCAGGAATCCAGCAACCCTCGGCTGTCCAAGTACAGCTACCTGGCACACGCGTTTACTCAAATGCGCGAGTCCTATGCGGCTCATCCTTCGCTGATGTCCTCTTCAGCGCCTGCTGCACCTTCAACCACAACAACCACGGATACGGCGCATCTACGTAGCACCGATGACGAGGATGACAATAACAGCATCCATCAGACAACACAGCACCTGCCAACGAGTTTGACACCTCCTCCGCCACGTATTGCAGTGTTTAATGAGCATTCGGAACAGGTGATACAGAATGAACCAGAAGAGAGCAATTATAATTACACCAGAGGCATCAACACCCCCAATTATACCGGTGCTACTAATACGAGTGCCACCAGTCCTGGTAACCGTGACAGTATGACGTCAGATGTGAGCCAGTATAGCGCCTTCTCGAATCCTTTTCGTTATCCATCACCCGACAACAACAATAGCAATAACCACACGATAAACACGCCACGACCACGACCAGCGCAGCATTTAGCCTCCAGAAAACAATACAATTATATCTGAGAACACTTTATATTATATTATTATATATACTTATTTATATTTTTTGTACATTTTTTTGTTGCTTTGTACCTTAATATTGAAAAATTCTATTTACATTACATATACGATTACTACTACTACTACTATCTACAGCTTTATAATGAAGGCAAAAACGATGATTGGTTGAATTTGAATGTAGAGCGAGAATGAGGTTGGGGAACGAACAAAAGAAGAACAAAAAGGATCAAAAGGTATAGAAATGGTTTGTACGGTAAGCAGTACCATCCGACTCACGTACCATGATTATTGGTAGCCGACGAGTGCCATTGTCAAGGCAGGTGCATGCCGAGCTTGCAGCTAGTGCGTCGACGGAAGGGATAATGCAGGCAATGCTGTCGCTACCATGGGAATAAGACAAGCTACAGCATTTGACGTCGCCAAGATAAACGGAAAGAAGCTTTGTCAGATGGTTGCCCAGCAACAATAGACGGTCCTTGCCTTCTGCCGTCACAGATTGCACATCTGGAAACGGAGTGACGACACCACCAGCGGTGGAAGGAGTAGAATTGGGGAAAGCCTTATCGCTAATATTATTGTTGTCAGGCCTCCAGAATGTATATGTCGCACAATCGGTACCAATGATTGTCCAGATTGCCGTATCAGCCACCGGATCTAAAGCTGTGGTAAGTACTGTATCGTTGATACATGCCAGGTACTGTTTTCCACCAACATGAACGCCTCCTGCTGCTCCTCGACCCGCTGCCCCAGCAGGAGCGGCCAGTTCGAATGCCACTCGGTGTAATTGCGAAACAGGGTCGCCAATCTCGTTGGTTTGCTGTCTCAGGGTACCTTTACGTACAGTCATCACGGGGCTCATCACGCCTGTTTTGATACACTGCAGCATGACCTGCTGGTTATAATGAATCGGACCAGTTTCACCGTCAACGGCCCAAATGACAAACGGATCCCAAGAGCTGGGGCGTGCCACATAGGAGAGTGATCCAGTATAGGTTGTCTTTGCTTCGTTGACTCCGAGATACTTTGTCGACACGGTTTGCGATCGGATCCGGTTGAACAAAGCAATGGTCGAGCCATGATGGATGCACACTGGTATCGAACATGAAGCGGGGTTGTTAGTTATCTTATCTATTTCACACAAAAGAAGTAGAGGATAATAGACTCACGTTCTAAATGCTTCACACTGCTTTGCTTCTTTTTACTGGGTTTGCTGATAACCTTGATAGGCTTGCTAGTAAAGGCACCGAGTTGCTGTATGTCGACAGTTACGGTGACCTGTTTGCGCTTTTCGGCCAAGTCGTTGATGTGGAGGTGCTTGGAAGTGCACTTGAAATTGTTGTCTAAAGTCCGATCCAGTACGCCTGTTTGCTGGCACTTGGGTCCCCCTGCCGAGATCCGGAAATTTAAGGGGCTTGAGCCGCCTAGCACCACTGTTGTGGGCGGTGGGCACAAGAATCTAATATGTGTTTGCGTGAGCACAACCGGTGTGTGATGTTGGGGCACACCCAATGAGAAGCCTGGGATTTTTCTCACGCTGAAATTGACAGACGTTACCTTTTTTCGGTTCCGTAACTCTTTTGTGCAACTTTGCCCGTTATTATCATCACGGTGCGCTCGTTGGCTGCATGCCCCGAGATTTCGGGCTGCCCCAGATAGTGTTTCAGCTGTGAGCTCCATTCGTTGCTAGTGTTGCTACTGCAACCGTTATTGTTGCTGGTGGGTGTGGCTGTGGCTGTGGCTTCGGTAATGTCGGTATCGTTAATGCTGGTATCACTAATGCTATTGCTGCTGCTGTTGTAGAGCATGAGTTGTTGTGCTTGGACAGTAGGGGTAGCAGGTGGCACCAGGGACTCGTCGGAGGCTGACGAAGAAGCCGGTGATGAGGGACAGGCTGACGATTCTTCATGAAGAAGGGGTGCGTTGTCAAGCAAGAACCAATCGTTATCGGCAGGTAGAACCGAAGATGGCGGTGCCATAAGTGGATCTTGGAGATAGTCGCCTTGCTGAATGAGATCATCAGAAAGATTGTCCAAGAACCCGACGACAGCATTACTTGTGACCCCATCGGAGCCAATGCCACTGCTACTGCTACTTTCGATTGTCGTCGTTGTCTTGGAGGAGGTTTCCGTTGTATGCGGTGATAGATCGATACTGTCTTTGGCGGGCATTGGCATAATTTCTTGCATGTTGCTTAATAGCAGCTGCATAATATCTCCGTCAAACGAAGCAACAGGCTCTTCAAACTGCTGCTGTTGCTGATGCTGGTCCATTACTGGTTGAGCGGACAAGAAAGTGGCAATGTCGTCGTACAGCAGTGACTCTATCTCAAGATCAAACTTGCGTTTCTTTGGTAAAATGGAGGGTTGGATATCGACGGATGGTGGTGTCATTTTCATTGTTGCGGTAGGTTTGAGGGTACGGTGGGGAATCCGGAAGTGGATAGAGCACAGAGAGCACAGAGAGGGAGGAAGAGGAAGAGGAGTAATTAGAGCAAGAGAATGAAGAAAAGTAAGAAGCAGCGGCTAGACTCGGCACACTTGAACCTTTATTATTTTCAAAGGGCGCATGACGGACTGCATCCTAAAATGGGAAGCATCTGTTTATAAGCACCCTCTTTTCCGGTTGGTTTGTTGGTTGCACTGATAGATAGTGCGATATATACATGCAACAGATATAGTACAGTGCAGTAGGTATTCCACCCTACATAGCACCACTATAGCATAAACACTCGCAGCAGCAGCAGCGTCATTCAGGTTGAGTCAGGTGACGGGTCTCGATAACAAATCAATTTGGCAGTTCCCGCCAAACATGGGTTGCATGCACGAATACATGATAATTGCTCTAACTTGCCACTCTGGGTTACTACACAGTCTGGTTTATTTTATTTTTTAGGTGCGTTGATCGTCTGGGAGGGCCGTGGGAAACTTGGGGACTCGTGGTCCCTATTAAGGTAGGACATGAAGCATATTCATTTATTTCTCTTTTGGTGCGATAGTTATGCGTACTATGATGGAATTCAAACGAACTACGAAGAAAACAACAGCCCCCCCCCCACATTGTGTGAGTAACTCGACTTTCATCATTCCCGAGGATCTTTCTCTCACCTGTGCAAGGTAGCTCTCTGCCACCGTTCTCGCGCGTGTATTGACACTTAGTTTCATCTCTGAGATTTCCTTGTCCACTTCCTCCATGAAATGCACAATGAAATCGACCAGCTTGTGCTTGTACATTTGCTCCGTATGCGTGTTCGTAATCAGGAACGAGATATCATAACCCTGGTTTGGATTATGCATGAACCATATACTGTGAGTCGTGTGTACATCATCTGACCCTGCACACAATACACACACGTACATCATACACAACAACAACAACAACAACGGTACGGATTTTCTTTCTCCCCCGTTCTCCCCCGTTCCATCCGGCAGTTCCCCACCCCATCCCCACATAATAACCCCACACTTTACCTCTACAGGCTTTCTGCGAAGAATGACGAAGCTCTCGGCTCTCATCATCAAAAACCGTGCGAATTTGTGGCACAGAATGCGCTCCAGATCATCCGCTTGTTTCACCTTGATACTCACTCGAATCGAGTTTACCGATGGCTCAATAAGCACCTTTTCGTTTTCATTTCGGCTGATACATAGTGGATTCATCAAAACTTCGTTGGATTTTCTATTTGCACATAAATCAATGGACGCATATATTTCGTTAAGCATAACCCAGCGAGAGTTGAGCTGATGAAGATTTAAAAAAACCGGCCATTACCCTGATTCTACTTCTGGCGTGTTGTGACGTTCTGCAATCTCGGAAGAAAAGTTGTCAAGACATAATGCCGCAGTCAACGTCGAACGAACGGCTGTTAAATAAGGACGAAGAGTGTTGGACTGTATACCATAGTTATATATATATAAGAACATGGATTGCAGGAAATAGTGTACAATGAATTAGTATTCGAACGTGTTTTTTTCCGTGATGAAGTGTAAAGGTCAATATCATCCCTTGCCACTGCTTAAAGAAGTACACCAAAACAGTAGATTCGGTCACATTTGTAGAGAGAGATGAGGCAACTTACCATAGCGAACACGAAGTTACTATAGACTAGTAGCACCAGGCAAAGTGAGCAAAGCCAAGGCCAAGCACTTGCTCCAAGTACAAGCAGCGGAGTTGGTTTGCAGCAACTAAATGATGGCGGCTAAAATGGGACGTGCATGCGATTCAATAAGTGGAACATTATACATTGTTTATGGAGGAGAAAAAAAGAGGGTAACGTTAACGATAGATATAAAATTACTAAACGAAAGCTTGGTCTATTTATAGTGTACACAGATACTAAGTGCAAAGAAAAAATAGAAATGAAGAAAAACAGAAAGCAGGATGCGTGTGCGATAAAATATTAAGTAATAAAAATGATCAGAATGAGTGTTTTTTTGTTGGTGTAAGTGGTGTTGCTGTTGTTGGGTTTCACCAAGCCGAATTGCTGTTGTTGCCTAGTGCAGGTAGTTGTGGCAGATAGTCGACATGCTGCTTCACTAGGTCAAGTTGGTAAAGAGCCTGATATCCTTCGTTTTCCACATCACTCATGGTAACATGAATCCCGTCCTTTGCGGATGCACCTGTATTGGTGCAGCGGATATGCGTCCCCCGTATCCGTTGATCCAAAGTCCCCTATCGTTTTGTTTACATGTACGTATTAGTAAGCTGAAAAAGACGCAGAAGGTACGTTGGTGCCTTATTAAATGGCATCTATATACAGGCTTACCGTTAAAATATTCCGTACTTCAATGAACTCAGGTTCAAATGCAAGGATATATGGATAACAAAGTGCAAATGCATCCGGGATGCTTTCCCAATCAATCCTGCAGCTAGTCCGTTTGAGGCGTCCCCGTTGATCTACGACAAAGGCAAACTCTAATATATTTTGAGAAGCACGTTATAAACAATCCCAAATCTCCACAGCATCTCTCTTTAATGATTTACCATTATAGCACACCAGGTACTCTGCAAACTGGATACGATATATGGATATCGGTCTTACATCTTGTCGATTAAATACAAAGGACAGCTCTTCATCGTCTGGATCCAACAATGCTAGAATTAAGAAAAACATTGATGCAACTGCTTTAGCACGATCCTTTGTACGTATATACACAGTCACAACACTGCCACTCGTTTACCTTGCACTTCAAAGGATTTCATATCAATGACACCAATTTCTTGTGGACATGATACACACATCTTTGTGCGAAGAAGATTGATCCCAGAGGCTTCACTTGGCAAGTAGAGATCCTTATACGGCTTCAAATTTTCAGTACCATTCCGGACTAGTCGCTTGATGAAGGCTCGACGGCCTTTCTTATCCTCGTCAGAAGTAACAGGTTCAAACACTCGGATAGTTGTAGGTGTGAGTGCACTCGTTTTGACTACGCACACGAGCGTCTTCCCCATGCATACGCCAACGTAAAAAAAGGCGGCGTGTTGACTTATAGGTCGAACGCTTTTCGGTTGAAGTTCGCCAGCTGCTACCATATCGTATGGGAACGCCCACAAAGTTTTATCAGCAAGAACTACCAAATGGGAAAGATCCACAAAACTGATTTGTGACACCTTTTCGACATGTAAAATGCGACTTGTCCTTGGTCCACCGTCCACAATACTATCCTGGTCGACTTCATATTTTGTCGTTGTCGTTTCCAGATTGCTTATATATACTCCTTGATCAGCTCCAATAACAACTCTTGGATGGTGAGTGCTTCCGGCTAGGATAGATATTACATATTAGTACATTATCGTATTGGCTATTCACACATGAGACACAGTTAAACGAGATAATAACTAACGCAACACTGTCGAACTGTTGATTTTGTTGTTTAGGGTAAATTCTCTGCAGACAAGCGGATTTAATGCAAAAACACACCGCTTCTGTGCCAGAGCAGCTTGTTGCTCTTTGATCTTTTCCGCCCATGATTTCCTAGACGATTCTCCCGCTGCATATAACGTCAATGGAGGAGAGCCGCGCCGCCCGTGATGGTGGAACGTGATGCTGTAGCTGCCAGACTTGTTTGCATTGATCGTCTCGGATGTGGATGATTTAGGTTGGATGCTAGCACTGCTGGATACAAGCGTTGTTGAGCGACTATAAGGCAATATGGAACTTGCGCGTTTCGCCCGGTTGTTGGGGGTGTCTTTTGGAAGAGATACTGTCAACAGTTCAAGAGGAATGGGCTGATAGATTAAAATACGTATAGTAAGTTATCATGAGCAAAATTGTGTATGTATCGATTGCTTGTTCTTTATACACCACCCACCTTTCGATAAACTCTGTAGATTTCCAGATGATTGTGATATTTGATTTTTGCAAAAACAAGATAGTGGTCAAATAAAAATAGCTGAAGGTCGGAAGCATCAGATGATGAGTTTCCTTTTCGCTTCATCCGACCTTTCATAATCAACCGACGACCGTTATCTCGCAGCCTCAGATCCTGAGAAACACAATGTGTCTATATGTGAGAAAAGCCAGATGCTACCACACGAGTGTTAAGCCAATCATCAACATATTGGGAAGAGAGAACTTACCACAAAATTTTCAGATACTTTGAACGAGAGTCGAGTCTCAATCTGCTGTAAATTAAACGCATTTTCGCTGTTGCCAGCTTCCGTATTCACTTGGACCAAAAACTCGGTGATAAGATCCATGATTTGTGGTATTAGCTTTCGGTCAGGGTTTTCCTCGGGCGTGCACTTCAAGATTTCTCGTAACAAGAGATTGTAGCGGCCGAGTCTTGTCGTTGGTTTTGTCAAATATCCATTGAGTTCGAGTCTTCGTGACTGAGGCTTCCGTTCAGTTTCCTGTATAGATACAGCATGACAATAACAACAAGGAAACGAGTCAGAGAGACAGATAGAGAGAGAGAGAGAGAGAAACATCATACGCATATTAAACTATAAAGAGATCGTAGAATTTACCTCAACAAATGCTGCAAACCGTGGATTCCGCTTTTTTTCCAGCTCAAAGTAGAATTTGCCAACGACTTGATGTGCCCCATAAGCAACAAATGGATCAAATTCGCAAGCATATTCGAGAAGAATGTCTCCTATCGAAGAAATCCAGTAATGGTTCTTTTGTCGTTCACTTAAAGCTCGCGCTAATTGTGAGTTGACCTTTTCGATATCAGCCATGTTCCAAAATACTTCTTGCACGAAGTGCTCACGACGCTCGTCCGGAATAATATCTCCAGTAATTAAAGGTTTGACCCACAACTAGATATGCAATGGGTGAATGAGGGCGTTAGTATACATATCCGTGTATGTAAACAACGAATGACAGGGTATATCATCAAAGAATTATGAAAACGTACATTATGTACATATTGGAGATCTCTAACAAAGTCCTGCTCTGTGTAGATTAATTCATATATACATTCTTGTCTCTTGCGTTCTTCGCGTGATGTTGCATCCACTAGCTCTTTTGGTACGCTATGCATCCACAAATTTCGAATTTCCTAGAAATATAAACCATATTTTCGTCAAGACCTGTTATTTATAATCATAGACGCGCGCTCCTTTTAGATTCTACTCACTTCATCTTGCATTGAGGATTGACTTTGTGTCCGTCTTAATGTCTAGTGTGAGGTAGCAGGAGAAGGAAATAAAGTAAATCAAGTATTAACAAAGTAGAAAGTGTTACAAAACGCTAAGGGGGAAAAAGTAGCCTTCCTCTCTTATATTACCTTTGTTGCTTTCCGTGGACAATGTGCACTATAACATGTTCTCTCACGAGTACATGTGGGCGAATAACAGTCCGTCAAAACCGTGAATACGCCAGTTGGTATATCACGGTCTTCTCCTGTCATCCATTCATTATTATTGTGTCATCCGATTTTGTAAGTCGGTCCAGGGCAGCACTTTGATATACAAAAGGCAGCAGCAACTAACCTTCATTTTCTATATGTATATGGGTGGTATCGCTTCTTTCAGCAGTTGATAAGCCGATCGTGCTTTCGAGGCTTTCACGAAATTGATATAATTCCTCGGCAGAGTCACGAAGACGATGTTCATAATTGACGTCATGAAAAAAATTCTGTGCATCCAGTGCACGACCCACTAATAACGCCAAGTTTCTATCATGTGTCCGCAGAATCAATAAAAGCCGTTCCTAAGTAATTATTTGATTCATATTTAGAGAAAGAGGCAAAAGGTACGTTGTGCGTGAGAGATATATCACTGCTGCAATAAAGAACATCTTTAAAGTACTGGTACTAACCACCGCGTCTTTTCCGCGAAACACATTATGGTGCTCAATGTCGTCCTTGATTAGCGTAGTGGTCGGTAATCGGCGGTAAAGCTCTCGAGCGACGAGGGAAAGGACCGCAGGATAAACCATAGATGGCTGATGCAGCTGGTGGTGCGGTTGAGGCGACCCAATTCTTGAGTAGCGATAAGCATAGATTGACTTTCTTTGCTCTTCTCGTTTTTGCTGCATACGTAAAAAGATCGAAGTTCGGGAGGACGATCCCTTAATGCTGCTATTATCTATCGGTGAATTCAGTTCGTTGCTTAATTCAGTGTCGCAGGATTCTCGCGGTTTGTCGTCAATAGTAAAGGTTGTGATGGGCTCAGACCGGCTCTGCGCCATCAAAGGTACTTATTATATATCGACATCAAATTCCACGTCAGTCCAAAAGCAACATTTGATTGTTTTTTTTGCCCTTTACAAAATGGTCCTTTTGCTAACAAACAACACGCAGATATACATGTAATATACCTTCTGACTTTGCATAATGCTCGTGTGGACTCGATGACACTGGCGAATACGCCCAATTGCTTGCATCGTCAGTGCCGTCTATTCGCGTCGAAACTGTAGTCATCGTATCGACTGAACCGATATCAGAGGGTCTCCGCGTATTGATGGGTGGCACAGGATGGTTTGGTGTGATCGTTGTTGTCGTTGTTGTGCTGGTAGGAGACGGAAGATCGCATGCTCCTGGACCAGGAGTGTCCGGTGAAAAGGAAGAGGTGGCGTCTGTCACTATAGGTTGTGTACATACGATCATAGAAGGTGGGCGACTCTGAAAGTTAAATTCCTCTTCTTCGTCGATCTCGCCTTGTTCCTGAATACTGTGATTTTCATTTGTCGCGGCCGCCGGTACTAGGTTGGGCGACAACGTAGCTCTTTGAGATTGGGGTGCCAGTGACGACAAGTTTACTATACTTGATGTTCGCGCTGGCACTTTCAAGTTCTGACTATTCATATGTTGTGCATAAGATGACGATGCTGGATCGCTGGGTAACATGGAACGGTACGAATTCCTGCTGGGTTGAGAAGACGGATTACTGTTGTTGTTGCCTTTGGTGTACGCTGCTGCCAAACTTTGGTGTCGTACAGGGAGTTTTTGGCGAACGTAGCTTTTACGAACGTCTTCGGTAATCAGGCCGGCAGAGTCTTCATAGCGAGGTGGTTGTTGCTGTTGCTGCTGTTCAGCAGTAGTTGTGTGTGGTCGGAGAATCGCGTATGCTCCTTGATGCTTGTACGGATGCAGAAGCTGCTGCTCTAAACCAGGTTTTTGTTCATAATGTTGCTGATGTTGTTGAAACTGTTGCTGCTGCTGTTGCTGTTCTGAATGGCTTTCTACGATCGTGTGGGGGAGATATGCATCTTGATTCATGTTCCTGTTCCCATGTAAGCGAAAGGAAGGAAGAGTATTAGTCTCACTGGCCCGGCGCTGGTTTCCAAAATTAAAAGTATATCTTGTGTGTTATTGGCTGCTTGTAATTACACTTTTGGCTTTCATTACCATGCATACGCTACAGCAAGACCGGCAGGAGAAAATCTTTAAGGCCCATCTCTTATGCTGAGTTATCATACACATTCATCCCTTCAAGTTCTGTGAAGGAAGCTCCAGAGCAAAAGTTAAAAGCACAAACTACGAGCTGAAGTGAGCACGAAGAGGATAAATATGTGACAACAATTTTGATTACTTACTGGTTCGACGACCGCTGTAGATATTAGGCGGCGCTTACAGCTTGAGCATTATAGCAGATGCCTTAATGTAGCAGTGCTACCTCAGGTCACACTATACCACGGTGTAATTTCAAGAGCCAACAGAAGCAAAAACCTGTACTTCCAAATTAATAAGGGAATTGCAGACCTATGTCCTCTGTGTGTAGATGTGGATCCGTTGGATATCCAGAATACACATAAGTATTTATCCTAAAAAACCTTTAAGCGATGCATTAGTAGAGCGCCTTCAAGTTTGATAAAACATTATCTCCTAATATCCCAACTCTTTATAGAGAAAAAGCCAACATGTACTGTTCTTATTATCGACAGGCTGAAGATCTGAGCCTACATAATCGCCAGCAAAAAGAAACCTGCAGCATCATCATGTACTTTTAAAAGACGTTTGCATATTACGAAAATAAGTATTCGACTGTGACCCACCATTTGAAAGGAAAAAAACTCTGGGTCTATATGAGAAACATTCATTCAATTACTGAGTAAGAACGCCACAGTTGGCTTGATTAAGTCCCGAAAATCCACATAAGATACACAAGGGGCGCATGTCAATAATATCGTACCGTGATGAACAAAAAACTATTGTAGAACGTGAATGTCATGGAATTTTTATTTAGAAAATCATCGGCATGCCAAAATAAAATATCGCCAAGCAGATTACTATATATATCGGATTGCGGTAATATTGGACGACAAAACCTTATGCCAAATTGTAGGGCCCCTGTCGTCCGGTTTAGCAGAATATTAATATTACTGGTAACTGCGCCCGTCATTCTAAAAAGTGTTTAACGTCGATCGCTCTATGATAACGAGCAGATACCATTGTATGCGTGACTTTTTGTGCACCCTGATATATAACTGATTCCGATCTCTTTCTCTTGTAATCACTTTACGATATGATTACTTCGTTCTTCAATAGGGGCGGCTGTGCAATCAAAGGCATCAGATCAAGATTGATTTGCTTTTGCAAAATTATACCAGCACGTACAAGACTGACGAGTGCTTATCTAATGAATAGAAGGCAGCGACTTCACATGATATCATGAAGGATAAGATTTACTTTGAAAGAATTTGATACTACTGTTGAAGAGCATAGATAATAGTGCGAGTGCGGGCAAGGATAATGTAATCTCCACCAGAAAGGTGTTTACGTATTATAAAAGCTGGAAGATGTATCATTAAATCACCAGTACTGTGCCGTGCAGATATGTAGACCTGCTCCAATAGTAGAAAGGATGTGCTTTATAATCTGTGCTAGGTATCCAGTTGGTACCTGCCTTGCAATAAGTGCTAAATAACTAATGAGAGCTCATATACTTACGCAAATGCACATTGTACGCCACGAGCTTTTGCGTATAATTTTCTAATGACGTCTTGTTCTTTGATAGACTGGCTTGTTTAAAGAAGACGCAAGTAGAATAACAGGCCAAAATATATGGCACCCATTGTCACAGTAACCTTTTAATCTGTAGAAGATCAGGCAACAGTACAGTAACAAAAGCCTATTAGGTGGAACATCGTCATTCGTACAAATGTAGAGCATGTGAGCCACTACAGAGAAATTTACTTAATGACGTACGGGAAGGTTGAATCTTGTGAGTTTCCTTATTTGACCAGCTTATTATACTTCATAGTTAACCGCCTTTTATCAGTGATGCTGGTGAATGAGCTTTCCATCTTTTCTGGCCGTATAGTCCTCCATAAACGCCATTACCCTCACTTCCTGCAGTTCAAATATACTCTAACAGAACGAACAACTCAAGCTTTGTTGTACAGATATCCATCGATAGCTACGCGGCAGAAAGTCCAGGAGTCTCTGAACGGGTTTGTCACAGTACATCTCTAGAATACTCTGCGATACCGAGGAAAAAAGTATGCTATCCAGCATATATTTGTTCGAAAGGGGGTTACACTATACATAATAAGTCAAAAGCACGCTGTTGAAGATTAGTTTACAGGGTATTATCTTTGGTATATGATACTGTCAGAAGCATGTGTTAATGATTGATGACTTGCACATCTCAAAAGCTTCAAATTCCCGTTTGTTGTCGTTTCTTGCCGTTTGTGATCTTTTGAACACCTAAACCGACCTTTCAAAGCACTAATAGGTCCCAAAAGGCCCGCACGGTAATTTGAGATTTTAAATCTAGGCTATCATATTATGCCGAAGGTGAAAGTAGTTACGATGACGAAGAAGAGGAGTTGGATGTTGGTTTGGCGTTTCACCAAGGTGTCTACTGTATGTATCTTGGCTTCGTTATAAAGGCGATATCGATTCTAAAGTCTGGCCTTTTGTCGCCAAACTTTTTAGAGGAATGAACATCAAAGTGAGATACTTTTGCTATTAAATCTTAGGAACCTTAAGATATTTACAGCTCTCAAGTGGTAAGAAGAATCTGCTGCTTTCACCGACCGCCACAACCAACATCGAACCCTGTCTGGTACGGAAAGCATCAGCCGCCAATCTTCGGGCCGGTAGTCTGACATGAATTGCGCCTTGCTATATTACGAGTTAGGACTTTCCGAAGCCGTCAATCTAACAAATAATAGTGCCAACGGCGCAAAGGATTTCTGAAGCGTGGGGTAGAGGCGCCCACGATGCTGGAGGAAACATCGTCAACCGAAAGCTCAAAATCATGAGAATATAGTAATAAAAGTGGCAGCTTTCATCATACATATGAAGTACAAATAATTACTTTGCGCATCGATTCCTCCGAGGCATAATCTGATATATATATTAAGGTGCATCAGGCTTTAAGGTAAGCATTCTGGAGATGGATTGTCCGGGCGGAAGGGTCTACAGTGTAAACAGCGGCGTGCATTGCAGGACTTCATACCGATCCTCGAGCCGTATACCGCACTCGTTCATACCTTTCATCCACCGTTGATGCTATTATCAAAAGGGAAAATTCAATAAAGTCCATAGGAAATATGTAGAGGCGTCAAACGCCCACTTTATTGCCATTTTGCAGCATTAACACGTCTGAAGAGTCTCTGTTAAGTTACTACATTGAAGAAAGCTCTGCCACCAGCTTTTCAAGGAAGATAAAACAAAGCATTAATAGGAACATCTTCTGTAAATAATTGATCCCTTATTATCGCCTTCTTTTTATACACACGCCAATACACATCATAATTAATATGTTGTCGACTGTCAGCTTCAGCTATAAATACAGCGACAAATAAAAAACAACTTCTTTTGCTACGGCTTGATCATTGTGCAATTTTATTTTGCCACGTCATTCAGACACTGTGGTAGCTAAGCTAGCTTGAACTTTTAAGATGTATAAACTCGACAGTTGCATGACTCTAAATAAACAATGTCCCTGGACAGATAAGCACAATATGCACATGTTCGCAAAGCACTAGGGGAAACAAAAGGTATGGCAAATAATAGTATGATAAAACATGGAAGATAAAGTCTAATCAAGAGGTGAGCTTGTGTAACAAAGCATCGATACAGTATTACTGATGCGCCAGCAACATCACCTGTATATACATGCTTATCATAATGAATCATCCTGATCTCTTGCTAGTGGCAGGGGGCTATGTATAAGCGAACATACAGTAAGGTGCTTCTAGAAGGGATAAGATGAAGGAGAAAATGAAGAAGCAATACAAATAAAAAACTAAAGCAAAGATAAGATAGGACGATGCTGAAATTGATGGTCACTTGGCAATGAACAAAACCAAAGAGAAACAGTAATAGCTCTTGAGATTAAATACAGTACGTACCGTGCCTCATCAGTTACGTGCTTTCTGTGGGTGGTCGTCAAAGTGCCTTAAAAGGCAAGGAAACCTTTTTTTTTGTACCCGCTTCCTCCAACTTTAAACTTTTTTTTTTGTTCCCTTTGCCTTTCCCCTTTCCTCTTTCGCTCCTCCTCATTCATATTACAAAATGTCCATCTGGAAATTCAGAAATTGGGTCATCGATCCGGATTTCCCGCGGCAAGAGCAACTCGAAAATCTTCGCTACTACAAGTATGCAGCAACTGACAAGTCGTTATTGACGAAATATGTGCTTCGGCACTACTGGAACTGGGCAGTGACACTGTTTCCGACATGGATGGCGTATGTGTATACAGGCTTTTATCTTTAACCACATATGCTACACCCTACATGCTTCTGCTTCTGCTACTGATATAGAAAAGATGTATTGTTATATCATAGACCGAATCTTATTACACTGACTGGCCTTGTCCTGATGATGTTCAGCGTGGCTGTTATTCTTACGTATGTACCTGACTTACTATACTCGGACGAAACGCCGCGCTGGATCTACTTTTGCTTCGCAGCAAGTCTTTGGCTGTACAGCACACTCGACAATGTGGACGGAAAGCAGGCAAGAAGAACCGGAACATCGTCACCGTTGGGAGAATTGTTCGACCATGGATGCGACGCGATCAACTGCACATTTGTAGCGCTGCTTCAAGCTGCAGCTCTCGGATTGGGCCATAGTGGCGATGCGGGTATTTTACTACTGGTGACGGTCGTCGGATTCTACTTGTCGACAGCCGAAGAATACTACACCGGCGTGCTCTACTTGGGCATCGTGAACGGACCGACGGAAGGCATTCTTGTGTCATGTCTCGCTTTCGTTTGGTCAGGGATCTTTGGCACGTATTATCAATCCATGTCCATTGTTTACACAAACACCAGAGTCATGCACAACAAAGAAGCAGGCGGTAGCTAACACAAACTGCATCATCACCGCCCCGTGTTTGTTTTCTCTGTTTTTGCAGGTGCGGCATCGTGGCACATCCCTCTGCGCGACATCTCGTTGCTGAGTGGGATTGCAGAGTACTTGCCTGAAAATGCAAACTTTGCAAAGGTCTTCGTCTGGGGTATGGTATTCTTCTTTCTGACTACCCATTTGCCATTCTGGTAAGAAATCGCTGATACGTTTTTGTGTGCGTGCTGGATTATCACGGGAAATCTGATTTTGCCATGGAAACGGAATAGCATCCACTCGATTTACAGTGCCTCCAGCTCCGAACCTGTGAAACGTCGTCTAGCCATCTTTGTCAATGTCTTGTATCCCATCGTTCTCTACACTGCTGCCGTGTCCCTCTGGATGTGGTCGCCGTACTCAATCATCTTTGATCAGGAGCACTACATTCTCTTCTCGCTCGCCGCCGGCATCATGTTTGGCATGATGGCATCGAATATCATATTGGCCCATCTGACCTTATCACCGTTCCCTTCATTCACTGGAATTCTCGGATCGCTGTGGCTGATGGCACTCCTTGTTGGCATTGTGCCATCCATTCTTGGAAAGTACGTGTGTGGCGTGCTTTAAAAGCATAGAAAAGCTTAATACTGACTTGAATTTTCATCATATCGGATATGACAGACGCATCCTTGCCCCTGAGGCCGAACACTTGGCGATTTGGATCTACTGTATCATTGCGGTGGTCGTATACAGTATTTGGGCATCTATGGTGATCGATGGCTTTTGCCGGTTCTTGGGAATACGCTGTCTCGTGATAAGTCATGCTGAACAACGGCCAGTGCCCTCATCGTCATCCACTTTGCCAGGTTTGTTTTATTGGATAAATGAAGCGCAAGGGTACAATGTGCAAAAGAGAGGTTTTACTTAAAGCAACGGTGATGTATGTAGAACAAGCCCAGGAGCAAGACTCCTTGTTGCAGGCCCAAGAAGAGGGAGCTGGAAGCAGCAGCAACAACAACAGCAGAAACGGAGGACCCTCTTATAGCACGTTTTAAGCACGGCCCTGAAAGTTCGATCTGTTTATTATGTTTTTCTAGAAAACAGAGATACCTCTAAAAAGTACCCCCGGTAACTAACAAAACCGCTATATATTTATACAACCTACCACTATCATATTTCTCGAGCGAATACATACATATTCATTAATTTGAGAATGGGCGAATATATCTGTACGTCAGATAAGCACTATTTCTAAGTCTGTTCCCATTTCTAGAGATAAGTGAAGAAAATGCTGGGTGTCTCTTCGTCATCGTCATCTTCAGCGTCAACATTGTCATTTTTGCCCGCATATTCGTACTTTGCTGGCGTACTGAAAGAGAAGACGATAAGGCAAAGTGATTTGCATCCGTATCTTTTGGGTACGCTTCATGACAAACGGTGGCAGCTGTTGCTACAGTTGCATACAGCTTTTCTGGGATCTATGCCGTCTGCGACCTGCTTGTCAAGCGGAAACTTTGAGCTTGTTTGCCCGTTTACGTTATAGAATTGCCACGGCGATTACTTAAGGTTTCGGGTTTAGAGTTTCCAATTGATGAGCTTGGATGTATATGGGACTCTCTTCTTCTTCTCCACCACCTCTAATTTTGGATTGTTTTATTTGTTGGGTATTTTATACTTCTTGAGTGCTGATGTATATGTACCTGTATTCGAGAGATAACACTAAAGGTCATGATCGAGATTTGATGTGTACTTGCCGCTCTAATTACTATTTGTTTTGCTGAGATGTAATTTCCAATCAAAAGCTTGAGTCGCGACTCAAACTTTCTAGGCAGTGTCTTTTCCGCCTTTCCAAACGATTCGGTAAAGTCAATCACTCTATCGACATTGTAGCAAGAACAAAGTTTGCTTCGAAATCTCAGAAAACAATATCTTCACTAACAGTTTTTGAGAAGTGATTTAGTGCTGTTGAAATAAAGGTGACGACGACACTACTATGCTAACACTGACTGTAATACAAGAGATACTTTTATATTTGAATAGGCAAAGGTACTTTCGTTACAGTGACCCATTAAAAAAGGTTTATTTTTTTGGCAAGTACTTTTTATATTGACCAACAAATCTCAAATACACATCCGTTCCATTGTTCAGCAGCGTGAACGTTTTCCGCGCACTGGTTGGGGGCGCCTGCAGTCACTTTACGAAATGCATTTCGCCTTGAAACTGAATTCCGTACTCTGCCTGGAGATCCTTGCATCGGTACCTATACATTGCCCAGCAGAACGGTTTTATCTGGTCCTTTGTGCCGTTGGGACATGCTTTAGTCGGGTGCAGGACGTCATCATACTGGGGCAGCCAGCAAAAATAACATGTACCATTAGACAGGTTTCGCACGGCTTTGAATTGGCAGTCTGCTACACTATGTTCTGTGCTGAGGCACGCGAAACACAGATTTCTTCCACCTGAACAACACTTGTGGCCGTTTGATTTTTCCAGCGCTTGTTTAGCCAAAACCAAGTCATTCATGCAATATGTGCCAAAGATATCCAAAAGGTCCTTGAGATCTTCCTTGTCATTCTTGTGCGCGCGTGCCTGGGTGGATACTGACATGGCGTCAATCTCTATATACTGACGGGAGGCTGTGTTGTCAAGGGAATGTGCGATTTCATGGCGGACAGATACGGCAGAGCTTGGGCTTGGTTGGGCAGAGGGAATCGTGATGGGAACTGGGGAGAACTAGATATACAAGGTTAACGATTTTATTTACTATATGCGACGGCCATGTCAACGGTGTAGCTTTATTTTTACCATTGGTCTTTTTCCGCCAAGGCTGTGGTTGGCGCTCATGTGCAGCGATTGCGGTGCACTTCCCTGTGACATGATCTGGTCGAGATTGGGGATCGACGCCATGAATGCTGCTTGTACGCTATTCACACAACTTGCAGCGCTTGTACCCACAGACATTATTGACGGACTTGTTGGCGCATGCGGTGTCTACGGAAAGTTTGGAAACAGTGAGTACAAATGAAAGTGGAACAGCAACAATTGACAAAGATGTATATACCTGCTGTATGGTGGATGGCGCCAGATTCTGCAAATTGGTCAGTTGTGTGCCTTGTACCATGCTGTTGCTGGGAAGTTGCAGAGCTGACATATGCATGTTTATGCTATGATCCGTACTTTGACGCTTTAGTTGAAACGCTCGATCCTACAGACAACAACAGATGGATTAGTACAATATGATAATGTCAAAGATAAACATAAAAGATAATAAAGACACACCTCCACCTGTGCTTGACAGTAGTAACAGAGCTGGACGTTGCTACCATATTCACTACAGGTTTTTGTTTCAACATCGACCATTGCATGTATCTTTTGTCGTAAGCAGCCACGATGAGTGACAAGTTTGCAAAAAGATTTCCTTTTTTCGAGATAATCTCGAATACTCGGATCTTGCTCGGCTTGTATTGCCTTGTTCAGATTTGTGAAGAACTTTGTTGGATTGTACAGTGTACTGACGAGTAGACATTCTGCTGGTTTGCCGTCCCTTCCAGCCCGTCCCGTTTCCTGTATGTAGTCGAGATCGCTTTGAGAATACTGGGCATGGATAACCAGACGAACTTGACCATAATCAACGCCGAGACCACAGGCACTGGTACCACAGAGCACGCGGCAAGCACCACTGCGCCATTTTTCCAAGGACTCTTGCTTTAGTTCTGTAGTCATGGCGCCAAAGAAAGGGAGAACCAGATCCGGGTTTGATGCCAGCTTGCCCTCTTGTTCTGATATTTGGTGGTGATATATGGAGACGGCTCTGCATCACTCGATCCCTTTTGCAATTCGTCGTTCAGTTCTGCGTTCAAGCGTTGCGCCATGTTTTTGGTATCGGTGACTGTGGCACAGTATACAATAGCACGACCACCACCTGTAAGCTCGTCTGTCATTGCACGTCTCAAGCGTCCTTTGATCGTGGACACGACATTGTCAAACTTGTCAGTCTGGATAGTGTTGACCAAATAGTACAAGTTTGGACGTACAGTTGAGGTGCGGAACACGCGAAACTGTGTACTAAAGTGGGCAGACAACCTGTTTTCCATCGACGGCGGCAACGTAGCAGAGAGAAAGACTATTGGCACGGATACCTGGCGAAGTTTTTCAAGGTCATTCATAGCAGGCCTAAACGAGCTCCATGTGAGTGCCAAATGAGCCTCGTCAATGACGATTCTGCTGATACGGCCTTCTGCACTCATTGTTTGCAGCATACTGAGGAACTGGGGGGCCTTTGCATTGTCCGGTGTGACGAGGATGATTTGAGCAGAGAGCATGATGCCATGTTTTATCTCGCCACCACATATGTGTAGTAATTGATCCTTGACCTTGACAAACGGTGCGCCATGTCCAACTGGAGTGATATGATCGGGACCACCAAAACTGCTGTTCTATCTGGCTCCACCATGGCAGGCGCCATAAATACTGCTGACTTGCCACCACCAGTAGGCAGTACAACGAGGATGTTTTCTTGCCCTTTGATTGCTGCAATCATTGCGTCGCGCTGAATGTCAGATCGAAAACTTGCATTGTGATCGTTCATCAGACGCTGCAGTCCCAGGAGAGCCCTTGCTTCGCTAGACATTTGCGGTGATCTGCTGCTCAAATCATTGGCGACACTTGTTTTGTTGACAGCTAGGGCGACACTTTGGTTATTGACAGCTTGAACCGCTGGCTCTCCGTTCGCAATTGCATATCGTGCTAAAAGTTCATGATTTGTTGAATAAACCGACTCTTGAAAATCACGAATCTAATCAAATGATATCTTACCTCGACGGTGCATATCCTCCATGATCATGTTCCTCATCAAAGCTAGGTTTCGTGCCTCAATATATGCCGTGTTTTCTTCAATGAGTTTGTTGACATATTTTATAGCTTGCGTGCGACGATGCAATGGGTCGGATAGATCCTTGGACTTGTCATTCCCCATGCCTATATACAGTAGTGCAGGTTGATGAGTTTACCACGCACGTCTTCCTTTACCGTTACATTTTGTTGACTTACCCAAAACAGCGTGCCATTTTCTGCTCACTTCAAAATACTTTTGCGCCATGATAGGGTCTAGGAACCTGCTGTCAATGTTGCTTCTGGCATATTCCAAACCTGCCGTAGCTGTCGAGTGGCCAGCTTGGATATCAAGCTCCTCCGGCCAGTCATCAAGGTCCTCCTCGCCGATATGTTGTAGTGTCTTTTTTGCACCAATCAGCTGTCGGGCAAATGCAATTGCGACGTGGCGGTGATCGGCAAATGACAAAGGGGGATCCACTTTTTGGGCATAAACCCGGGCAAAGATACGACGTATTTTCTTGCCAGTCATGGGAACGCCACGCTCGATAAACAATCGCTCTGTACAAGCAAGACGTGCATCCTGTCCATAAAGCTCGCCAGTGAACATGCTAAAGAAATCACGCGAATTAGGGTTTGGTTGGGTATTAGTTTGTTTGATAACATTTGCTTACCATTCCAGCGGTCGAAAAAAGGTCAGATAACCTGTCAACAGCACAGCGAGCTTGTGTGGCAGGTAACGAGCTATATACTTGTCAGAGTAGGTGAGTTCTCGACTCTTGTTGTATCGCGTAATGATCATGATGGTATTGTATGCAACGCCCCAAAAAAGAGACCGATCGCCGTATGGAGTGTTGGATATAGACAGCAAGGCCAATTCTTCTCCTCGGCAGGGCTGACCATAACTCAGATGGATGGCAACAATCAAGAGCCTTTGGAGCTGGACACATTTTTCCAACCACGCGTAGAGTGCCGGCTTTTTCCACGAGATGGTACCAGTAGCGTCGATGGTATCTACATAGATTCTCCGCCATTGTGTTTGTTTCAAAAGGGCCGAGACGAGGGTGTGGCGCACGTTAGCAAATCTATTACGCGGGTCGCTGATGTAGGAGTAACCAACATCGGCAAAGCCCATATTGTCACTGATGTTGTGGGTATCTCCTTTACAAAGTCCTAGTATGGTATCCTCAATGTTGCCCAAGCCAAAAGAGATATCCGGCGAATTCATCATGTTTTTCATTTCTTCCATGGAAAGCTCGATACAAATCCGCAAATGATCAATCGATATCTTGTCACTGGTGTTGGCTACAACGAGTTTGCGATAGTTGCTGTCCGGGATCCAGAGAATGCGAGGGAGCCGGGGCTCGTCGCCTGCCGCCGTCGTGGCAATCCGCATGACCTCACGTAATGCATTAAAAGCTGTTGGCTTTCCATCCTGGAGATACATGTCGTATTTTTTGGCAGTTCTATATGAAACATGATTCTAGTTTAGCTATCTAAAAGCAGCGCTTGTTTAATCAGATACATACACATCAAGAGGGACAGTTGGATTCTGCTGATGATCTGACCACATCTTGTACAAGACTGTGAGTCGGCACCAGTACATGAGCATTGCAATAGTCGGCGTCACAAGGCGTACATTTCTAAACTTGCCGGTGTGGTCGAGCGTATAGAAAATAAGATGGCGGTAGAGCGCAAAACCAGTGGGACCTTTGATAGGATCTTTCTCCTCGGTGACGAGTGCCAACATGATCTCTCGGACCAAATTAACATGAGTACCATACGGCTCGGAATGGTTATTGACCATTTGAACCAAACGCTGAAGGGGCTCTAAAGCAGAAGCTGGAATGCTGGACTGCAACTCGGGACAGTATTGTGTAGGATAAGACAAAAGGCGATAAAAGGATACCATGAGGCTGCATCCCACACGAGCATATCGATTGACTGACTCATCGACGGTGAGCTGCTTGAAACCGACAGATGGTGGTTCCACCAACCCTCTAATCAATTTTATAAAGATTGTTAGCTGAGCGTTATTGTCGCGATTGTGAAAAAAAAATCATGTATATAATCTTACTGTTCATTCAGTAAATAACGACGTGCTGTGTAATCTGTTTTAGTGATTTTGTGCATTGCTTCCACAAAAACCGTCTTTGTGGCACGGACAATGGCATTCACTGCATCGTCCTCGTTGCTCTGTTTACGGATACGCACCATTTCTGTTACCGACTACTGTAGGTAGCAGTTAGTCAAGGAACCTGGGCCCCGGCCTGGGTTGTACAAAGCTTATTAGGCCCAGCAGTATATAAAGGCTGGCTGGGCTGGGAAAATAAAAAGTAACCTCTTTTCCACTGAATCATTCACTGACCTGGATAAACGTTCCCTATAGACAAGGCCCTAGTCTATAACACTTGGTAGCGGAAGTTTCGATTCATCAATAAACAGTCAACAAGTTATAAGCAAGTCAGCAAGAGCACGTGCAAGGACAAGGCAAGCTGAACGAACAAGAACAACATCAAGAAATAAAGCAATTCTGGTCAAGCTTTCTATCAACACCAGCAGACCAGCTATTAGAGAAATTTGCATCTCAGAACCAAGAGAAGAGAGTGCAAGACCCACATACTGGAGCAGACTCTTCTAGTCAAGCAAGTACCAGTAAACAGATTATTAGCCCTAAGCCGACACAGTCAACTTCGACTAGGAGCAGGTATTTCGACACAAGTGAAGCCATAGAGCAAGAAGTTCTGGACCACGAAGTAGCTCCCGGCAATACGGAGAACCTAAAGGAAGTAGGACAAGAAGTTCCCTCATTGAACACAAGTATAATGAACGAAGCACAAGAAGTACCTATACCCACGGATCCAGGTGCCGAGCCCCACCACATAGGTGACACAGCGGCACTAGCCCTGCAAGAAGTACACCACCTCCGGGACTAGCTCAATACTCAAATCCCATCAGAAATGCATAAGGTCTATGTTGCCCAGGACAAGATTCAAGAACAAGTAACGACCTTGTCGTCTACTATGTCGCATGTAGTAAGCAAGTTACCAGAGATCACAGCAAACCAAGAAAAGGTGACACAAGTAATGTCGGACAAGGCGCAGCATGAGAACCCCATGGGAAAAAAGGCGCACGGATCCCACGGTCAGGGCACCCGATCTACACAGGCATATGATGATCCTTCTGACTCCGATAAGGACTCATCTTCATCATCTGATGATGATGCCTCAGACCCAGGGATGGAACAGGTGAACAAGTCCTCAGACGAAGACTCCGCTGGTGAGGGTGACGGCAAGCAAGGATCCCACTCACACTCACGCAGCCCTTACAAGTTCAAGCCACTGGAAGAAAAGTACTCAGGTAGCCCCTACAAGATCGAATCCTGGCTATTCAACCTCGAGGAGTATTTTACCAAGGCCAACATAAAGAAGAATA